AAAATTAAGGATCAACGCGTAGGATAAAATTTCAGATTAATCTGTAGATGTTGTTCTTGAGATGAATAATATTTTGGAACAAATAAAGATTTTTTTTTAAGGCTTTTTGAAAGCCTTTAATCTTTGATCATTTTTGATAGTTGATCTTATTTGATCGTTTATCATAAATTATCAAATTTGTAATAAAATAAAATCTTGCTTGTAATAAAATTTTAAGATTGGACCAATTTTTACAGATGGTTTAGAGATTTTAACGCACTAATGCTGTCAGCGATATTGACATTTTTTTCTAAATGCTACATGAAGAAAAAAATCTAGCTTTTACAGGCATACGAGCATGATATATTGATATCAATTTGAGGCAATTTTAATTTTAACAGATAGTATATGTTAATCTGCATATTGTGTTTTTATGAAAGAAGCTTAATGGGACTGAGGTCCGCAGCGTTTTTGAAAACGAAAATTCAGAAAAGAATATTTTTCAAGTTAAATATGAGTCAATTTTTAAGAAATGAAGTGTTGCACAAGGGAGCAATTCCACGCCAAGTGATCATAAGAATTTTCGATGATTTTAGCAATATTAAAAATACTTTCAGAATTTGTTCCTTTTTATACATGGAATAAAAGTGTATAAAAGTTTTTTTTAAATTTTCAAAATTTTTTGAGTTACCTCTTACTCAAAATTTTGGTCGGTTTTTCAAAAAATGCACATAACTTTTTTTCTTGTTAACCGATTAAGATAATTTTTTTGGAAAATACTCATAATAAGAAGTACTTTAAAGAAAAAAAATAAAATTTAATAAAAAATTTTTTTTTGCCCGAAAAAAATTTCAAAAAATTTTTTGAATTCAAATTTTGAAAAAAATATATCTTCGATTTGAAAAGTTTTTTTTGGTAAATATTGTCAATTAAGTAAAGAATACTTCCTGTAAATTTAATTATGGGACAAAAATAACTTTACGAGAAAAAAAATAAAGTGTGCAGCGCGGCGTGCCGGGACTTGTGCATGTATTCACTTATGGCTGCGCAAGTTTCGTTTCAAATCACTCTAATAGGTCACAATTCTTTACCAAAACGCTTTTTCTTTTTTATAAATCTTCGTAATTAAATTCTCTATCAATCTCTTGAGCCTTATTTTTGAATTTTTGTTTTTAAACATTTTTTAAATAACAATAAGTATTAAAAAAATCATAAAATCGTAAAATATATTTTTTTAGTTTTATTAATTAAGAAAATTAATCAAAAAACCTATTAAAATAATTTTTAATTGATAAAAAATAAAAAATTATTTAGTTAAAAATTGTTATACAATAAAAAGTTATTATTTTGTCATAAACTGTACTTAGGGTTAAAAATTTATATTTTTTCTGAATTGTGCAATTTTTCATAAGTAAAGTATTCAAGTATAAAAGAAAAACTAAAAATTTATTATTTAACCCTTGTTTAAACAGTTTATAATTTTCAATTTTTCAATTAATTGTTTAGAAAAAATTAGAAATTTCTAACCCAAATGAAGCTTATGAAAAAATGAAAAAAGTACATAAGAAACAAATATAAATTTCTTACCCTAAGTATAAATAGTTTATGAAAAAATAACAACAATTAATTGTTTAAACAATGTTTTAATAAATAATTGTTTTTTTATCATCAGTAGATATATTACTCATGAAAAATTGTACAATTGAGAAGAAACTAGTAATTTCTAGGCCTAAGTATACAGTTTATAAAAAATAACAACAATTAATTAATTAAAAAGTGTTTAATTAATTTATTTTTTATCAATCAAACATTATTTTAATAGGTTTTTTAAATAATTTTCTTAATCAATAAAACTAAAAAAAATATATTTTACGATTTTATGATTTTTTTAATACTCATTGTTATTTAAAAAATGTTTAAAACAAAAATTCAAAAATAAGGCTCGAGAGATTGATAGAGAATTTAATTACGAAGATTTATAAAAAAGAAAAAGCGTTTTGGTAAAGAATTGTGACCTATAGTGTGATTTGAAACGAAACTTGCGCGGCCATAAGTGAATACATGCACAAGTCCCGGCACGCCGCGCTGCACACTTTATTTTTTTTCTCGTAAAGTTATTTTTGTCCCATAATTAAATTTACAGGAAGTATTCTTTACTTAATTGACAATATTTACCAAAAAAAATTTTTCAAATCGAAGATATATTTTTTTCAAAATTTGAATTCAAAAAATTTTTTGAAATTTTTTTCGGGCAAAAAAAAATTTTTTATTAAATTTTATTTTTTTTCTTTAAAGTACTTCTTATTATGAGTATTTTCCAAAAAAAATTATCTTAATCGGTTAACAAGAAAAAAAGTTATGTGCATTTTTTGAAAAACCGACCAAAATTTTGAGTAAGAGGTAACTTAAAAAATTTTGAAAATTTAAAAAAAACTTTTATACACTTTTATTCTATGTATAAAAAGGAACAAATTCTGAAAGTATTTTTAATATTGCTAAAATCATCGAAAATTCTTATGATCACTTGGCGTGGAATTGCTCAAGGATAACATGCTTGAAAGCAAAATAAAATAGCTTTAATTTTTAATTTTTATTTTCAAAAACATTGCGAAGTTCGGTCTCGGTTTTTTTCTAGCATGAATGATGTACTAAAAGAATGTCAGAATTTATGCATTAACAGTGAGTAAATAGCACGCTAAAAAGTCAAATTTTTGTTCTTAACACCAAAGACAGCTGTAGAAGGCAGAAAATGATGCCAGAAAAAGCTAGATTTTTGTCTCCATGTAAAATTATTCGTATGTGACATAAGAGTGGGAAAGATTTTAGCACTTGAGTGAATTAATTATGATTTTTATCATTGCAAGGAATTTATCGACCGAATTTTTATTTTTATTGCTTTTAATTAATGTATACAATGTGGACACTACATAAAAACAAATATCATCAGTTTTGAAATTTTGGGCTATAAAAGCGACATCGTGAAACTTTGAAAATACGGATTATAACCGCTATACTTTTCTTCTTTTCTTTTGAAAAATAATCTTAGGAGAGTGGAACATGAATCAGATGGAAAATTTGACCGAAAATAGTACGAAAATAGTATAGTATAAACGATAAATTGGTATTAAAAAGATGCATGTGTGTAGTACTAACTTTATTAGCACCACGACATTTCTTTCATTGTTTTCACTGTAAAAAATAATGCAATTTTTTTTATCTATCACAACACTGCGTAAATTTAGAGCGACAGTAAGTCGTTAATATAAGAATAAGAGCTTGATATTTTTGTGTAAAATATTCAAAAACAAAAGTGTAACGAGTGTTAGGCCCTGGTTCATAAAAGTATCTTAAGAATGTCTATTTTCGGTTTACTGGGTAAAAATTAAAAGTGACATTCCTGTGTATAAAAAAGATAAACATGAATCCAGAAGAAGGAAATAGCGATTTGAACTTTTCTAAATTTAGCGGAATATTTCACCTAATTTGAAAGGAGCAATTATAGTGTTTTTAGTTTCAATGTTGAATTTTATTATAGCTTCGCCTAAATGTGACTCAATTTGATACTTTCAAGAAAACTCTGATATTAATGATTCAAAAACTTTAAAACTGTTGTACCTTTTGTTTCGGAGTGTCACAAATATGGCGTGAAAATTGGGAAATTTTCAAAACGTTCTAGTGTTTACTTCCACAACCTATTTTATTGTTGTTGTTTTCAAATTGATCTGAACATGATGTTTATAACATTTTTTTGAAAAGACACCTATTGGAGATATGGCTCTGGTATCAGGCAAGATTTTTAATGGTTTATGATCCATTTGATGTTTTTAGGGTTAAATTTAAAAATGATAATTATTTAACGAAACTATTAAAGTTCTTGTTTAACTAACCTCTGTGTGAACCTAGGGAAAGTTTCACTAATAAAATAAATGTGATGCTCCGCGGTGAAAGGTACCTTACTCGGAAAAAATTTTATGTTATGATTCTTCATTTTAAAGTATTAATACACCAAAAAAAGGACAAACTTTCGGTGTTTAAAAACTAATGATATTTAAATATTTACTACATCGAAAATATTCCAGAAGAGTTACTTTTGGTTTGACAAAATAATGTTTCTTAATAAGAACGATTAAACATAACCTAAAATTTTTTGTCGCGTAAGGTACCTCTCATCGTGAAGCTATTTTTTTTTAAACATTCACTCTAAATTTGAATCAGTGTAAATACGATAAAGAAATAGTGAAATGCGCTTAATTCTTAGTCATTCTCGAGGGAAGGGTTTTTATTTGTTTTTATTAGTGAATTGTGACTAATTGTCAGTAAAAATCCACTGTTTGTTTCAGTGGAATTTTTCAGTAAAATTTCACTGATTGGCAATAAGTTTTAAAAGTTAGTACTAATCATTAAAAATTTGTAATGAGGCTAAAGTTCGCAATGCTTTTTAATGCCAAGAAGCATTTTTTTTATACTAAATCAACTAGTTGATCATTCACTGATTCAAATTTAAAGCGTTGAGCAAACAAATGTAACGCTTCGAAGAAAGGTATACCTAAGAAGGAAATCATGTTTCTTCTTCGTTTTTACCTTCATTTAAAGTTTAATTTAAAACTAAAATCAGTTTTTATGAACTATTTTAGATCAAAAAGACAAGATCAGTTGATGTAAATCCTCTTCGTGTATTTTTATTTCAAAAATTAAAAACATAACCTAAAATTATCCGCTTCTTTAGTACCTTTCTTCGAAGGCGTCACAAATAATGTTTGAAATTAAGTCCCTTAGTTAGGTGCACACAGAAAATGATGCACTTGAAAAAATAGATTTTCTTTTAAAGTGCATTTACCATTGAGAAAAATTTAATTTACATTAAAGTGCAAAAAATCGGTTATAATTATATAATATAATACTTACGTGATTAAAAATAGAGTAAAGTTACTTTATAAGAAAAATTAAAAAAAAAAAAAGTTTCGCGAATAGTAAAAAATATCAATGATTGCAAGTACTTACTAGCTTATTTGCAATTCCAGGGCCATAACTCGAAATACTTCGAAGGGACTTCTTTGAATACATCTGCTCAACCCAAAACTAACGCTCCAAATTTTGAAAGGAAGGGATTATGAAATGAAGGTATTATAGGTCCACTTGATTTCGCGTGAGAGACACGTTCAATAATCAATAACAGTAGAAATATTTGATAATTTTCAAATCCTACTTTGAAAAAAAAGCAATTCTGACAGTTGGTTATTCCAAAAAGTCATTAAATAGAAGAAGAGGAAGAGAAGAAGAAGAAGAAGAAGAAAGAGGAAAAAGAAGCTTTAAATCTTTGAAGAACGTGTGGTTTATGAAACCCTGTCTGTCAAGGAATTTTTCAGTGCAATATTAAATTGATAACTTACAATAATGTGAAAGGTTAGTTCTTCAGGTTTTCTTCATCAATTGATTTTAAATGTTTTAACCGTTATTACTAACACGTTACGTTTTTTTAAATATTTGATTCATTTATTTAAATCGTAATTCAATTTAGAGTTCCATTCATAATTTAGTAAAAAAGTACATTTATCGTTTTTACAAATTATCTTCATTAGTAAACTGATGAATAGATGCATTCAAATTTAGTAAATCATAATTTCTGTAAATTCTTACCTCAAAATAAGACAGTGGTTTATTTGCTGAAACCGCTGAAACAGTGATCAGTAGAATTTGAGTAAGAATTATGGAATCATTTTTTGAATTTTTATTTTTGACATTATTTTGCACGATTTTAATACTATAAATTACTTTATAAAAAATATTTAACGTATACGTAAAGTAATACTTAGTTAAGAAGAAATTTCTCTGTTATATGAAAAACCCACTCAAAAAAAAATTATATTCGAATTACTCTTATTTTGTTGTAGAAAGCTTATTTTTAGGTTATTCTAAATAAGTTTCTATTTTAATTTATTCTCAGTAAAATATTTATTTGATTTAAATAAACATTTGTGACACGTGGTGAAGAAAGAGGGCTAAGAATCGAACATAACCTAAAATATTTTGTCGCTCTTTCTTCAGAGCGTGTTACATTTAATACTCGACTAAAGAAATTATTTAGTTGAACCAAATAAAGGTCCAATTAAGGCAATGCCTTTATTTGGTTAATTTAATCAAAATTCGATTATTTTGAATACATTTTTTTCCTGGGTGTGAAAAGACCTTTAAAGGAGATAAAAAAAATTATCTCTTGGTTTTTGACAGTTCATTACTTTTATGAAATTTCTTTTTTCTAAAAAATATTCACATTTTGTAATCAGGAAAGAAAACTGGAATTTTTTTTAAACGTAGAAATGAGATGAAATTTAAGAAAGAAATTTCGAGTATAAAAATGAGATTAAATTTTTCTAGTTTCGAAAAAAATCAATTATTTAAATAGATTTTTAGAAAATTCTTCGCAAGAATTCAATTATGTTTATAAATAATAAAATTCTTTTCACGAATTCAATTCTTTAAAAAAATTCGTAATAAAATTCGTTGCAAGAATTCAATTATTTTCATAAATAACAAAACTTATCGCAGAATTTCAATTATTTCTTTAAACAATTTTAAATAAAATAATAGAAGATTGCATTTATTCCTAATTTTTGTTTTAAATTCGCCGAAAGAATTCAATTATTTTTTAAAATTGTGATAGAATTCTTCATAAAAATTCGATTTTAAGAATAATATTCAATTATTTAATCAATTATTTATTATTGTATTGAAATAATTGAATTCTCGAAAAATTTTCTACTAAAAATTGATTAAAAAATTATTTCACTTAAAATTTTAAATTATAATTGAATATTAAAAGCATTATAGCGTAATTTTTCGAAATAATTGAATTTTGCAAAGAATTTTATTACTTTTAAAAATAATTGAATTTCTGAGAAAGAATTTTACTACTTTTGAAAATAATTGAAATTTCAGCAAGAATTTTTATTAAAATTTCTTAAAGTAATTGAATTTCGGCTAAGAATTTTGGTATTTATAAGGATAATTGAAATATTAAAAAAAATTTTATTTAAATTTCTCAATATAATTGAATTTCTGCGAAAAATTTTATTAATTTTGAAAATAATTGAATATCTGGGAAGAATTTTAATATTTATAAAGATAATTGAAATCTTGAAAAGAACTTTATTAAAATTTCTTAAAATAATTAAATTTCTGCGAAGAATTTTGTTACTTATGACAATAATTGAATTTTGCAAAGAATTTTATTAAAATTTCTGAAAGTAATTAAATTTCTGTGAAGAATTTTTACATTTATCAAGATAATTGAATTCCTGCAAAGAATTTTACTATTTTTGAAAATATTTAAATATTTTGAAATATTGTAAAGAATTTTATTTAAATTTTGGAAAATAATTGAATTTCGGCTACGAACTTTGTTACTTATGACAATAATTGAAATATTCAAAAGAATTTTGTTCAAACTTTTGAAAATAATTGAATTTTTGCAAAGACTTTTTGAAAATAATTGTATTTCTCGGAAGAATTTATGATATTTATAAAGATAATTGAAATCTTGAAAAGAACTTTATTAAAATTTCTTTAAATAATTAAATTTCTGCGAAGAATTTTATTACTTTTGACAATTTTGTTTTTCTTTCTACAAAAATGGAATTTTCCTTTTATTTCGACTAGAAGTATTTCAAGTTTTCATCCCTGATTACAATTTATTTAAATATTTTAATTTTAAGTATATATATTTAAAAAAAAAAGAAAAAACAATGAAGGAAAAAGGAAAGAAGAAAAAGAAAAATTTGATATAATTTCACAGAATATTATGGACGGAATTAGAGGAATCCTGTGACATTAAATTTTAATCGTCTTTGGTGAAATGGAGACAAAAATTGACATACTTCCTTCAAACGAATCAAAAAAAATTTCCACAGTGTTGACCACGGATTTAGATATTATAACAAAGGAAAGAGAGGAAGAATTATTAAATGATGATGAGGATATTGATGAAGACGGAGCACTATCCGATGACAGTTTACGTTTGAAATTGTCCGATGACGATGAAGTTGAACAGGACGATGTTGATTCAACTGAATGTTCTTATAAACAACTAAAGGAAGAAGAATCTAATGAGGGTAAGATTGTTTATCATGTTTCATGATTAAAAGGAACAAAGAATATTATTGTCATTATAATCATCGTTAATATTTTTAATTATTATCATTTGTCTACATGTTTCGTGAATTTTTTTTTAATACAAACTTGACAATATATTTTAATGCATATATTTATATTTTCTACGTTATTTTGTGTGTGAAAATATTAATTTATATTCAAAAATCATTATTTTCGAAAATTGAGTTATTTTTTAATAGTATTTTTTTATAACGGGACTAATTGGTGTGTCGTGGCATTATATTTAATTAAGTTCCATAGAGACCTGAAGGTCTTGAAAATATTTCAGTTCTTCAAAAATGATTTTGATCTGTGCTTTAATACTGCGTATGGAGTATAATATTGCAGACGGGAAAAATTATTCTCTTTTTTCAAAATTCTTGTTTTTTTGCTGAAAAATTACTTAAATCTTGGCATTTTTTTCAGTCACTGAAAGATGAAAAGAATAGTTCTTTTAGGAACAGTATATTTTTTCTTGGAATATATTTTGAGGGATCACAATGAGACCCCTTTTTTCTTTTTGTCCCTTTTTTATCTTCTAAAATTCAGAAAATTGACTAAAATAATTGCCTTTTTTCCCTATTTTCCCCTTAAATTTATAAAATTGCTAAAAATACCTAAAATCATCATTATTTCGACCCTTTTTTTGTTGACAAGAAATTACATTAATTGTAATTTTTCTGTTAGGAAAAAATAACTAAAAAGTTATTCTTAAAAAAAATTTTACTTTTTGCAAACTTTGGAAAAATTTTAGTTTTTTGAAACTTTTTCATTAAATTATTTTCTCGAAGTTTTTAAAATTGGAAATTTTTTTTACTAGGTAACAATTATTTAGTAACTTTTACTAAAATAAATAAAAATCCCAAATCGTTTGGAATTTCTGTCAACTTTTACTATTCAGAAGAAAATTTTACTGAATTCAAAGTATATTTTACTTATTATTATTATTAAAATTTACCTTGAATATTATAAATTACTCTGAAAATTACAATTTTTTATTTAGACAATTTTACTATTTTCAATGTTAATTTTTGTATATATAAATTAACATTTTTATACAGTAATAACATTTTTCCTCGAAAATATTACAATTAACTATTAAAATTTGTTATTTCCACAGTAAATTTTATTATTTATGAAGTAAATTTTTCTTTTTTTATAAAAATAAAAATTTTTTGACAAATATTAAAAATTATTCTGAAAAATTACAAATTTTCATAGTAAATTTTACTATTTTTCCTCGGAAATATTACAATTAGCTATTAAAATTTGTTATTTCCAGAGTAAATTTTATACTATTACTGAAATATATTTTTCCTATTTTTATAAAAAAAAACATTCGTAAATAGTAAAAATTATTCTGAAAAATTACAAATTTTAATAGCAAAATTTTACTATTTTTCCTCGAAATTATTATAATTAGCTATTAAAATTTTTTATTTCCAGAGTAAATTTTACTATTTCTTAAGTAAATTTTTCTTATTTTTATAAAAGAAAATAAGTTTCAAAAATAGTAAAACTTATTCTGAAAAAATACAAATTTTAATAGTGAATTTTACTATTTTTCCTCAGAAATATTATAATTAGCTATTAAAATTTGTTATTTCCAGAGTAAATTTTACTATTTCTGAAGTAAATTTTTCTTATTTTTATAAAAGAAAATAAATTTCAGAAATAGTAAAATTTATTCTGTAAAATTACAAATTTTAGTATTTATTTTTGAAAACAAAAATTTTTTATGGAAATTGTAAAAGTTATTTTGGATAAAACAATTTTTAATTGTAAATTTTAGGATTAATTTTTATAAAAGAAAATTATCTACGAAAACGGTAAAAATTATTCTGATAATAATTTTCTATAGTAAATTTTACTATTTATTCTTCATTTTTTGAAGGAAATTTCACGAAGTTCAAAGAAAAAATTTACCAATTTTCTACTGAAATTTAAATCATGGAATTTAAAAGAACAATAGAAATATTTCAAAATATTTCTAAATTGTTGAAAATATTTCAAAATATTTCTAAATTGTTAAAAATATTTCCAAATATTTCCAAATATTTAAAACTATTTAAAAACCTGTTTTTCATAATTGTTTTTGTGAAAAAACATTTATAAAAACTGGATTTATCTAATTTTACATGTAAATAGTATTTATGTAGTTTTTCTTATTTTGCTTGACATTTACAAATTTATTAGATCGTACCTGAAAATTATCCCCATGGAAAATATTGAATTAGTATAAAAAAATGCTACTTTAAAGAAATATTATTTTAGCCACTAAAAAGTAACTATTTTGATAGTTGGATCAAAAATTTTATCTAGTTGTTGAAAACTAGATAAATTATTGTTGTCTATCAAAATAGTTGCAATATCATAAAAAGCCCACATTTTTGAATATTCTATTATACTTTTTCTACACAACTTGAATTTTTATCTTTTTTTTCATTTTTATTTCATTTTTTTCATTTTATTTTATATAAAAAAATTAAATTAAAAAATGATTTTAAATATTACGTTACCAAACAAAATTTAATTTAAGAGACAAATATTAAAGATTACGTTATGAGACCAAAAAAAATTAATTTAAAAGACAAATATTAAAGATTACGTTTCAGTATGGTAAACACAACTTTGTTAACTAGTTATATTTATCATACAGTCGTCATCTTTCAATATGTCAAATTCAATCATCGAAATACTTTCAAAAATATTTTTTTTTTACTATTATTCTTTTTCCTAGTTTTGCAAATTTTTCTACTAATCTAGAATATGTTGACAAATTACACAACGCACGATTTTTTTTCGTAAAATTTGTAATAAATAAAAAGGTATGTTTTTTCCTTAGGTTTTTTTAATACACAGCAAAGGAAATTTACTCTAAAATTAACATATTTTTGAAACAGATTTTTCCTATTAGAGAAATTATAAATTTTTAAATTCTCGTATTTGATTATTTTTCTATAGTTAATTAAATACTATCTTTAAATATTTAAATATAAAATTAAATACTGTCTTTAAATGTTTAAATATAAAATTAAATTCTGTCTTTAAGTGTTTAAATATAAAATTAAATTCTGTCTTTATAAGTTTGAATATAAAATTAAAAACTGTCTTTAAATATTTAAGTACTATAGTATGAAATACAGTATTTGAATATTTAAATAGTATAATATAAAATACAGTATTTAAATATTTAAATACCATAATATTAAATATTAAATAATGTCAAATATTACATCTAACATAAAAAAAACATTATCGATTACGAGAAGAGCAATTAAATTTCCATATACGAAATTGCAGTATTAAAGTAGAGAACAAAAGATAATTTTTCATTTCTAAAAAACCATAAAAAAAATTATATATATATATATGTATGTTTACAGATAAGAAGTACAAAGAAAAATTTGCCACAAGTGAAGAAGAAAAAGATTCACAGCAGGAAGAATTTTTATTGCTAGAAAATACTGATCTCAAGAAAAAGCAGTCAAGTGAGGGAAAATCAGAAGATAATTTTAATATCAATCAAGGCGAATTAATCGATGAATTGAGCGAATCCGTTAATTTAAATTCTACAGAAATTGCACATGATCCAGAGAATCAAGAAATAATAATGAACGGAAACGATCCACGATTTTATCCAAATTCAATTAGGCCAATATTCGAGAATCGATGGAGTCCATCAAATCATCGTATGCGAATGGGTTTTAATAGTCGTCCACCACTGCCTCCTCATCAAAGATATTATCCAAATAGTAATTACAATAATTCCGACATGACGGACTTGAGATATTACAATAAATACAAACATTACAATAGGGTTAGAGGAACGGGTGGTAAACATTATCACTATAAACAAAAATCGGGAGATAAGAAGAATGATGTTTCGACGAATGACAAGGGAAACGATGATAAACTCGATTATACTGCCGATGATGATCTTCTGAAAAGTGTAGAAGAGAAAACGGAAGAAAAGGAATCTGGTGAGAAAGAATCTATCGAAAATGATAAAGGGGAGAATACTGATCCTAAGGTTGACGAAATCAATTCTACCGAACTCGAGAAAAATGATAACGAAAAGGAGAATATTGCCGATTCGCAGGAATGCGAAAATGTCAAAAGTGTTACAACCGAATCCACCGAGGACGATCTTCCCGATTCATTGAAATTAGATGACGAAACGCCCGTTCAAAGTCCGGAGAAATCACAAATTAATGAAGCAAATCCGACGATATCTGCACCAACGAACGACGATGATTCTCAGGAAGAATCAACTAAAATAGTTGATAATGCCACTGAAAAATCCGATTGCAGTGCCGTTGCTAGTGATAATAACGATAAACTCGATAATATTAAAGAATTAGATAAAGAAATTTCTGAAAACGTACAGACTGAATTAAAATTGAATGATGAGAAGGAAATTAGTGAGAAAATAGATGAAGACTTACCGAAAAAAAGTAACGATGAAATGGATGTGGAGGAGGAAGAAAATAGTCCAACGTCGAAGAGGGAAGAAATTAATGTCTTGAACGAAGACTCCGGATCGACAATGGACAACTTGCCAAAAGTCTATCAGTGTCTAGAGGAAATCGCAAGTATGGAAGCTTCGAGAATTGCCGAAGAAATGAAGAAAGTTGAGAAAAAATCTCAAGACAGTGAAATCGACACTGAGAGTATAAAATTAAAATTATCTCAAGGTTGTGATGACACCGATGGTGAAAATCAGTCCGAATCGAAAATTCCCCCCGAGGAAAATGATAAATCGAACGATAAACTGATTGAGAAAAAATCGGCAGAAATTGATGAAAATTCGATAGACACTGAAGGAGTAAAAGAACAAATTGATAAAGATGATAATATCGACGAGGAAGAAATGTCGAATCTAACAATTGAATCCACTGAATCAGTGAATTCCTCCTCGAAAAATAATGCCGACGATAAAGAATCGATTGAAAAAATGAATTTCGACGACAACGCCTGTCATCCGAATGAAGATTCCAAAGAGACAAATGTCAACCCAACCGAAGTGACGAAAGAAAAATATACAAACAGTCTTTACGATTCTTTACTTGTCAAGAAAAGTGATATAATTATGGAAGATATTAGTAGTGATAAATTAGATGCCAGCAATGACGTTAGTAATGACATTAGCAACGATATTAATTACGATATTAGTAACGATATTAGTAACGATGTAAGTAACGACACAAATGTCGACGTCCAGATAAAATTGAGCGAAGAAGAAGAAGAAGAAGAAGAAGATGATGATGAAGAAAGTAATTCACAAAATTCTGTCGCAGTTGAAAAAGAGAAAAATCAACAAATCGATGTGAAATCCCCACAAGATGAAGAATCTACAATCGACGAAATTGAACCTACGAGTGATAAATTAGAAGCAAGCACAACAAATATTGAGAAGATTAAGGAAATTATCGGTGTTCAAGAGGAGAAAATGATTGTTGACGATAGTATCGATGAGGAGAGTGAGGCTTCCAAGTCGGAAAAGAAAGAAGAAGAGACGGAGAAAAATTGTGATGTTGAAAGTTCGAGTGAAAAAGTTGAAAAATCCACGGATGTCACAATGAAAGATGCAGAAAAAGAACAGAAGGAAAAGAAGCAGGAAAATTATCTACGACTGAAATCGCAAACTGATGATACATTATTTGCGCCAAAAACATCTCCGGTTGAAAATAAAGAAGGTGAGTTGAAGTTATCAGCTATTATTTCTTTAATGACTAACTTCAGTTTGTTTTTAAATGTCAAATTTGACGAAAAAAGAATGAATTTAATCAAGTTTGAATACGAATCTGAAGAGGATTATTCTGAAGGTGGTAAAGAGAAATTAATTATAAATAATTCTTGAAAATAAATTCAAATCTCTATTTTTAAATATTTAATTACTAAATTGACGAATAAGGAATTTATTCCATTATTAGGTTAGCTTTTTTAGTTTTATTAAAATCAAATAGAATAATTTTTGTTATAAAAATATTTTTATACTAAACGTAGATTTTTAGAATCAATTTAATTTTTCGCTTATTTTAGAAATAAAATATAAAGTGTTTTTTTTTATTCTTTTATTAAAATGGAAAAATAGAATTTTTTCTTTCAATAAAATGCGAACGAATAGAATAATTGTGGTTATAAAACTATTTTTATACAAAACATACATTTTTAGAATCTATTTTTTCGTTAAAATTTATTTAGAATTAAAATCTAGAGTATTTTTTTATTTTTATTAAAATCGAAAAGTAAAATTTATTTTCCGTTTATTAAAATTAAAGAATAGAATTTTATGAAAATCAAAAAATAGAATTTATTTTCCGTTTATTAAAATCAAAGAATAGAATTTTATGAAATTGAATTTTTTAGATACTTGGATTTAAAAAAAAATTGTAACAATAAATTATCAAAATGTAAAATTGAAATTCTTGAAAGTTTTGATTATTGTCAAGAAATAATTTAATAACAAATAAGTAAAAAAAGTAATAATAATTAAAAATTTATTTAAAAAATTATTTCAGTTTTAAATATTTACTTTAATTTAAAATTCTGAAAAAATTGAGTTTTGACAAATTTTAGTTCAATTTTTTGAAGATACTTGTAATTGAAAAATATTATTAATAAATTATCAAACTAATTGTTTCATAATTGAATTTTAAAGAACAAGCAATTAAAATTTTTGACATAATTGAATTTTTTAAAAAATTTTATTAAAATTTTTGAAATAATAGAAATTTTTAATAATTGTTTAAAAAAAATTTAAATTTTTTTTAGAATTTTATTGAAATCTTCTAAAATTTTATTAAAAGTAATTGAATTTTTAAAGATTTTTATTGCAATTTTGAAATAATCGAAAGTTCCTAAAATTGTATTAACAATAATTGAATTTTTTAAGAATTTTATTGCAAGTTTGAAATAATCGAAATTTTTTAAAATTTTATTTAAAAAAATTGAATTTTTTCAGAATTTTATTGAACTTTTTATAACAATCTAAATTTCCTAAAATTAAATTTTTAATGAATTTTATTGTAATTTTGAAATAATTGAATTTTTTAAAGACTTTTATTAAAATTTTTAAAATGATAGAAATTTTCGAAAATTTTATTTAATGATTTGAATTTTTTTAAGACTTTTATTGAAATTTTTTAAATGATCGTAATTTTCTAAAATTATATTACAAATAATTGGATTTTTTAAGAATTTTATGGAAATTTCTTAAAATTCTACAAAAAGTAATTGAATTTTTAGTCAATTTTATTGCAATTTTGAAATAATTCAAGTTTTCTAAAATGTTATTAAAAATATTTGAATTTTTTAAGAAATTGAACTTTTTGAAATAATCGAAATTTCCTAAAACTGTATTAAAAATAATTGAATGTTTTAAGAATTTACTAAAATTGTATGAAAAGTAATTAAATTTTATTGAAATTTAAAATAATTTAAATTTTCTAAAATTTTCAATTAAAAATAATTAAATTTTTTAATAATTTTTCTGAACTTTTTAGAATTCTTGAAATTTTTTAAAATTCTATTATAAATAATTGAATTTTCAAAGAATTTTATTAAACTTTTTAAAATAATTGAAATCTTCTAAAAGTTTTAATGAAAAATATTTTTATTTTAAAAGAATTTTATTGAACATTTTAAAATAATTGAAATTGTTTAAAATTGTCTTAAAAATAATTGAATATTTTAAGAATTTTATTTTTAAAATAATTAGGAACTCGTAAAGTTTTAAATTAAATGTTTCCTTCTTAATAGAATTATCTTTTTTTACACTTGAACTCAATTTGAATTTTTTTTTATAATTATCAAAGAAAAAGTCATAATTCTGTCTGGAAGTCAGAAAAAAGTAACGGAAAAGCAAATAAAAATTTTTTTGGTCACCCGGGTTGTAAAAATAGTTCAACAAATCACATTTTTAAAATCAATTTATTTATTTATTTAGTTTTTGTTGTTTTGTAAACAATTTTTTTCATTTCCAGGTGAAACGAGTGTTCGACAAAAGAGAAGAACGGCAAAAAATGCCGAGGAACTTATTAAAACGAAATTCTTGAAAAGTGACAGCGAAGTGGACAGTGATGATTCAGGAAAATACGTTAGTGTTAATTACAAGAAACCAAAACTCTCGGTTAATGCATCTTCATCCTTGTCGCCTTCGACATTGAAGCGAAATCTCGGCGACGATGAGGACGACGTTGACAATGAAATTGATTCCCTAGACAGACAAGTGACTGTCAAAAAATTAAAAATGTCCGTTGACTCACCGAAAAAATCATCAAACGAATCTCTCTTCTCGTTCAAAAAAGATGTTAAAAGGGACATAACCAAGGATATCAAAAATATTGGCGATGTAAAGGATGCAAAGGACACAAAGGACATAAAAAAGGCAAAGGATCAAGAGTCCATTCGTAATCTTGTTCATGTTCGTAAATTTTTCCAACGCGACATTAAAGGAAAATTGAAGAAATTAAAACAAGAGGTGAGTTCAAAAATTTTATTGTAAGACTAGTTTTTATTTTCTTTAATTCTATTTTATTCTTTTTTAAGATTGTGGTCAGTTTTAAAAATATTTATCGGTGTTTAAATATAAATATATTTATATAAATATAAATTAAATAAATATATGGATTTAAAATAAATTTCTAAAGAAGCGACCACGTCAAGTGTCTCAGACTTTCGTTTTCACGAGTGATAGATATTAATTGAAAAAAATGTTTTTTTTATAGGAATTGGAAGAATTACTTATTCAGAAGATTGTTGAAACAATTACAATGGCTAGTGAAATTGGAAAATTACGAGAACAAGCGCGTTTATCGGAGAAAAATCAGGAGGCAACGCGTGCCAGATGTCAACAGCTCGCTAAACAAATTCAGGACTTTGAAATGGTTCTCAAGCGCAATGCAGCCGATAGAAGTTCGTCTAACGATAAATTTGTTGCTCCAATAAAAATTAATCGATCTGTTGGATTGCAAGTTAATTTTATATCGGTTAGTAATTAGTAATTACGTTTTTTGAAAAAGGGAAACAATAGAGAAAAGAATATTTTTTCTAATTATTTTGTAACTAAAGATCTTTTATTGCAAAATAAAAAATAAATATAATAAAAGGCCTTTTATTACAAAATGATAAATAAATTCAATAAAAGGCCTTTTAGTACAAAATAAAATAAAAAAATAAAAAAAAATAAAAATAAAAATAAAAATAAAATAAATAAAAATAAATAAATGGAATAAAAGACCTTTTATTGGAAAGTAATGGAGAAAAGAATCGATATTACAATTTGAAACTATTTTCAGGATCAGGGAATGCAGAATATGAGGCAGATTCAACAGAATGCGAAAACTGCATCAATGTCAAGTTCCTCATCATCAACCTCATCGTCCAGTGAAGTTGGTACGCCACATCCGAGGAAGGGAATAAAAGTGCGATCGCCTAGACGAAGCGAGAATATCCCATCTGTTGGTCCACCACCACTAAGCACCATCCCATCACAAGCACAGATTCAACCTCCAATTATCGCAAATCCAGTAACACCGGCTGCTTTAGTCTCAACGAAAACTGTTTCTGTTGAATCTGTATCTCGCACAATGCCTCTGCAATCGATTAACGCACAACAGCCAGTGATATCGAATGTGAATATCCGTTCACCGAATGTGAGTTGAAAAATCATTTTTACAATCTATAGTTTTATGTAAAATGACAGGGATCACAGTTAGTTCCCTTTCTTTATCCCCTAAAACATTTTCTCCCTTTCACCCCCCCCCCTTATTTTAAAGAAGAACTTAAATAGAATTTTTCTATCTTACAAAAAATGGCAATTTTTATAAGTTTGAAAAATTCATACAATTATTTAATTAATTAATTAATTTCTTTATTATTATTTTTTTCTGTTTTATTATCAGAGTTGTCACAGGTCAGGGAATTCAGGAAAAAGTGATGAAAAATAAAATTGGTCAGAGAAATTAGGAAAAAGTCAGGAATTTTTATTAAAAGTACTGGAAAAAATTAAATTTTTGAAATTCATGAGAAAATTATGAACTTTTGTCTTTTTGTTTGCCTCATGAACTAAGAAACTACCACAAATTCTAATACAAAACCTTTACAATTTTTTTTTTCTATTTCTTAATAAAATGAATTTTTTAATATTATTTACTAATTTCAAAAGTTTTAATACAATTATCTTAATAAATAACAAAATTCTTCACAAAGATTCAGTTATTTTTAGTAATTTCAAAAAAAATTCTTTGCAATATTTAATTATTTTTATAAATAACAATATTCATCACAAGAATAAAATTTCATTTAGGAATTCAATTATTTTCATCGCAGAATTTCAAATATTTTTAATACAATTTTTAATAAATTCCTCGAAAAATGCAATTATTCTTAAAAATTTTATTAAAACATGACTGAAGAATTCAAATTTAAGAAACATTCAATTATTCAATAATAACATTCGTTCCAATGATTCAAATATTTTTATAAATAATAAAACTCTTCTAAGGAATTAAATTATTTTCAAAAATGTTAATAACATTTTTCTCAAAAATTCAATTCTTGTCATAAATAATAAAATTCTTAGCAGGAATTTAATTATTTTCAAAACAATTTTGATAAAATTTTCGAAAGAATTCAATTTTTTCCCAAAAAAATACAATTGTTTGGAAAAATTTAATTATTTTCAAATTACAATTTATATTATATTCTCCAAATAAATTCTATAATTTTAAAAAATTTTTTATAAAATTAGTCAAAAGTATTAGATTTTTTTCAAAAATGTGAATACAATTCTTTATAAGAATGCAATTATTTTCTTAAATAATAAAATTATTCTTAAGACTTCAATTATTTTTAAAGAATTGAATAAAATTTCTTGAAAGAATTCAATTATTTTCATAAATTTTTAATAAATTTTAAAATGAATCAATTTCTGCAAAAAATTATATTTTTTATGAAAATAATTGAGTTCTTTTGAAAATGTAATTAAAATCATATTTAAAATAATTAAATTTCTTCAAAGAATTTTATTATTTATAACAAGAATTGAATTTTTGATCAATTTTAAATAAATTCCACGAAAAATGCAATTACTCTTAAAAATTTTATTAAAACTTGACGAAAGAATTCAAATTTAAGAAACATTCAATTATTCAAAAAATAATAAAATTCGTTGCAATGATTTAATCATTTTCATGAATAACTTTTAATTCGTCTCAGAAAACCAATTATACTCAAAAATTTTTAAATAAATCCTCCAAAAGAATTCAATTATCTTGTTAAACAACAAAATTCTCCCAATAAAATCAATTATTTTAAGGAATTTTCATAAAATTCTTTACCAAAATTTAATTATTTTTATAAATAAATTCTCGTCAATAATTAAATTTTAATGAATATTCAATTATTGAATAAATTATTTATTTTTGTATTTAAATAATTGAATTCTCGTAGCATTTTCTAATAAAAATTGAGTTAAAATTTTAGATAATAATTTAATATTAAGCATAAACGAGATATGAGAAAAAAATGAAATTTCGAAAATCATGTAAATTTACTCCAAATTATCAATTACATTATTATTAATTGCAGGTGGCGCAACCTGCAAGCCGTAAAGTGAGTCAACCTGTAATTTTTAACTCTATTTTTAAATCGATGAAAAAAATATTAATTCATGATATTTTAAAAATATGTTAGCACATGAAAAAGTCACAATTTTAATTTTTCAATTTTTTCACAAGCGAATTTTCAGAATTTGTTTAACAAGAACATTTTTATTGCTTCTTTTTGCTCCAAAAGATCATAAAAAAAATTCACTTTGAAAATAGTAAAAGTCATACTCTTTATGAGAATTGAAATATTTTATTTTCAATTCACAAAAAATGCAATTAATTGTGAAAAATTTTGATTTAATAATTCTTTATGAGAATTAAAATATTTTTAGTACAATATTTTAATGAAATTCCTGAAAAAATTCAATTATTTTCATTATTTATAAAATTTTTCGCAGGAATTTAATTATTTTAAAAGAATTTTAATAAATTTCTCACAAAAATTTTATTATTTTGAATAATTTCAATAAACTTCTTTATAAAGAATAATTAATTTAATTAAATAGATACTTTGAAAAAAATTAATTCTTTTCCTATATAATAAAATTCTTCACAGAAATTAAATTATTTTCAAAAATTTTGAATAAAACTCTTTATAAAAATTTAAATATTTAAAATATTGTTTTAATTCAATTTCTCGTAAAAAGTAACTTATTATTGAGGATTTTGATTAAATCTTTCCCAAGAACTTTAATTATTTTGAAGTATGGATTTTTACTTAATTTGAAACTTCTTTTAATAAGCTGAATCCCTTTTTTGAAAATTAAAATCCCATTTTTTACCTAAAATCACAGGGGAAAAATGACTGTGATCTCTGAAATGATTATATATGATTTCTATTAACGATGACAATAATAAAATTAACAAAAATTATTTTAGAAATTAAATATGATACAAGGACTTCAGCAAGTTCAACAAGCTGTTATTCTTAATGGAAATCTTAACGCAAACCGAGTTCCAAACACAACTCCAATTACCGTTCAAAAAGCAAAGGCCAATAATGATCTCATTGATCTTACTGATGAGGAGGAGAAAACGAAGAGTAAGTTTTATTAATTTTTTTTATATTTCTCTAATATTTATTACTCTCATCAGATACCTTAGCTCCAAATAATATTAAATTGTGCTTTTTTATTATTTTCATTGAAAATATACAAATATGATTAACTCTTAATACAAAGTATTCAGATTTAAATTTTTATTCTATATGAAATATTGTAATTTAAAGAAAAGCCACACTTTGCGATCACCAGTAATATTTATAACTTTGAAGTGTTCATGAAGTTTTTTGGCTTTGAAGTTCGACAAAAATTGAACGTACGGATCTTGAAGCGGATATTTCGGTTATCTCTTTAAATTATTAAATTATAAAAGATAAATTTTGTTCATTATTATTTATTGATGAAAATGTTGAATTGCAGCCACTGTGAGTACTCCGATTGTGACAACTGCGACGATTATATCGAATCATCCACAAGCGCGGGGAAACATTATTCAAAGTAATGCAACGTCACACTATCAAAGAGTTATCCAAGCCATTCCTACCAGTGTTGCTCTCTCAGGACAAACTACCAACATCAGGGTGGTTCAACCTAATAGTCAAACAACGCCTACTGCCTTAGTGGTTAGTATTATTATTTTTTTTTATTTAAATTAATTTTAAATAATTATTATTATTAAATAATTAATAAATTTAAATTATTATTTTTTGTTAACTGTCTGTACTAATAATCGTCGTTTCGCACTTAAAAATTATTTGTTTTTTCCTTGCTTTTTTGTCTCCTAATTTTTTGTTGACAACATTTTTAAATGTTTTAAATACAAAAATTAACGAAATTTTATTCATTTTATTTAATAAGTTGTTCTAGGTAGAATTAAAAAATGAATTTTGAGAAATTTCATACATCTGTTGTTCTCTTTAGTCCAAATTTTTACAAATTTACAAATTCTTTGAAAATAATTAAGTTCCTGTGAAGTAATTTATTATTTTTGGAAATATATTAATTTTTTTAAAGAATTTTATTAAAACTTTTGAAAATAATTGAATTTTTTCGAAGAATTTTATTAAAATTTTTGAAAATTATTAAATTCTTTTATCAAAATTTATGTATTTCCAATTTATTGAAAAAGGAAGATAAATAGATAAAATAATAAAGCATTTTCTAAAAAAGTACTTTTCTTGTTTTCAGAATAATATAAATGCGTCCAGAATGTTTGTGATGCAAAGTGGCGGACAACCAAGACAAATATTAATTACCAACCCTAATTCGGTGAGTTATTTAATAAAAATATAAAAAAACTAGCTGTCGTACCCGTCTTCGACGGGTTTTAGTTTCTACAAATACATTTAACAATGCTTCTACCAATCTGGAAAATCAGAAAATAGCCGGGAATTTAATTTGACCGGAAAATTAATAATTAGTTACCATTAGCTATTTCGGTAGTATAACAAAACCAAATTTCTTAAAATTTAAGATTTTTCTCTTCTCTTTTATATCATTAAGCTTCATGATTTTTGGGCTCTTCAAAAATACTTTACCTAATTTGTTATCTCCAACCTTTGGTAAAAAATCTAAAATTATGGAAATTTAGCAAAATTAAAAAAACCGAATTTCATAAAATTCAACATTTTTCCCTCTTTTTTATTGCATTTAGCTTCATTATTTTTGTGCTCTTCAAAAATACTTTACTTATTAAATAGTCTCCACCCTTTGGAAAAAAATCCAAAATTATCAAAAATTATAAAAAATTCAAAAATCCGAATTTTTTAAAATTCACCATTTTCTCTCCTCTTTTATGGCATTCAGCTTCATTATTTTTGTGCTCTTTAAAAATACTTTACTTATTTAGTAGTCTCGAATCTTTGGTAAAAAATCTAAAATTATCGAAAATGATCAAAAATTAAAAAATCCGAATTTCTTAAAATTCAAAATTTTCTCTCCTCTTTTATGGTATTTAGCTTTATTATTTTTGTGCTTCTGGAAAATACTTAACTTATTTAATAGTCTTGACTCTTTGGTAAAAAATCCAAAGTTATCGTAAATTATCGAAAATTCAAAAATCCGAATTTCTTAAAATTTAATATTTTTTCCTCTCTTTTATGGGATTTAGCTACATTATTTTTGTGCTCTTGGAAAATACTTTACTTATTTAGTAGTCTTGACTCTTTGGTAAAAAATCAAAAATTATCGAAAATGATCAAAAATTCAAAAATCCGAATTTCTTAAAATTCACTATTTTCTCTCCTCTTTTATGGCATTTAGCTTCATTATTTTTGTGCTCTTGGAAAATACTTTACTTATTTAATAGTCTCGACGCTTTGGTAAAAAATATAAAATTATCCAAAATTATCAAAAATTCAAAAATCCGAATTTCTTAAAATTCACTATTTTCTCTCCTCTTTTATGGCATTTAGCTTCATTATTTTTGTGCTCTTGGAAAATACTTTACTTATTTAATAGTCTTGACGCTTTGGTAAAAAATCTAAAATTATCCAAAATTATCAAAAATTCAAAAATTCGAATTTCTTAAAATTCACTATTTTCTCTCCTCTTTTATGGCATTTAGCTTCATTATTTTTGTGCTCTTGGAAAATACTTTACTTATTTAATAGTTTCGACGCTTTGGTAAAAAATCTGAAATTATCGAAAATGATCAAAAATTCAAAAATCCGAATTTCTTAAAATTCACTATTTCTCTCCTCTTTTATGGCATTTAGCTTCATTATTTTTGTGCTTTTGGAAAATACTTTACTTATTTAATAGTCTCGACGCTTTGGTAAAAAATCTAAAATTATCCAAAATTATCAAAAATTCAAAAATCCGAATTTCTTAAAATTCACTATTTTCTCTCCTCTTTTATGGCATTTAGCTTCATTATTTTTGTGCTCTTGGAAAATACTTTACTTATTTAATAGTCTCGACGCTTTGGTAAAAAATCTATAATTATCCTAAATTATGAAAAATTCAAAAATCCGAATTTCTTAAAATTTAATATTTTTTCCTCTCTTTTATGGGATTTAGCTACATTATTTTTGTGCTCTTGGAAAATACTTTACTTATTTAATAGTCTTGACGCTTTGGTAAAAAATCTAAAATTATCCAAAATTATCAAAAATTCAAAAATCCGAATTTCTTAAAATTCACTATTTTCTCTCCTCTTTTATGGCATTTAGCATCATTATTTTTGTGCTCTTGGAAAATACTTTACTTATTTAATAGTCTCGACGCTTTGGTAAAAAATCTAAAATTATCGAAAATGATCAAAAATTCAAAAATCCGAATTTCTTAAAATTCACTATTTTCTCTCCTCTTTTATGGCATTTAGCTTCATTACTTTTGTGCTCTTGGAAAATACTTTACTTATTTAATAGTCTCGACGCTTTGGTAAAAAATCTAAAATTATCCAAAATTATCAAAAATTCAAAAATCCGAATTTCTTTAAATTCATTATTTTCTCTCCTCTTTTATGGCATTTAGCATCATTATTTTTGTGCTCTTGGAAAATACTTTACTTATTTAATAGTCTCGACGCTTTGGTAAAAAATCTAAAATTATCGAAAATGATCAAAAATTCAAAAATCCGAATTTCTTAAAATTCACTATTTTCTATCCTCTTTTATGGCATTTAGCTTCATTACTTTTGTGCTCTTGGAAAATACTTTACTTATTTAATAGTCTCGACGCTTTGGTAAAAAATCTAAAATTATCCAAAATTATCAAAAATTCAAAAATCCGAATTTCTTTAAATTCATTATTTTCTCTCCTCTTTTATGGCATTTAGCTTCATTATTTTTGTGCTCTTGGAAAATACTTTACTTATTTAATAGTCTTGACGCTTTGGTAAAAAATCTAAAATTATCCAAAATTATCAAAAATTCAAAAATTCGAATTTCTTAAAATTCACTATTTTCTCTCCTCTTTTATGGCATTTAGCTTCATTATTTTTGTGCTCTTGGAAATTACTTTACTTATTTAATAGTCTCGAATCTTTGGTAAAAAATCTAAAATTATCGAAAATGATCAAAAATTAAAAAATCCGAATTTCTTAAAATTCAAAATTTTCTCTCCTCTTTTATGGTATTTAGCTTTATTATTTTTGTGCTTCTGGAAAATACTTAACTTATTTAATAGTCTTGACTCTTTGGTAAAAAATCCAAAGTTATCGTAAATTATCGAAAATTCAAAAATCCGAATTTCTTAAAATTTAATATTTTTTCCTCTCTTTTATGGGATTTAGCTACATTATTTTTGTGCTCTTGGAAAATACTTTACTTATTTAGTAGTCTTGACTCTTTGGTAAAAAATCAAAAATTATCGAAAATGATCAAAAATTCAAAAATCCGAATTTCTTAAAATTCACTATTTTCTCTCCTCTTTTATGGCATTTAGCTTCATTATTTTTGTGCTCTTGGAAAATACTTTACTTATTTAATAGTCTCGACGCTTTGGTAAAAAATATAAAATTATCCAAAATTATCAAAAATTCAAAAATCCGAATTTCTTAAAATTCACTATTTTCTCTCCTCTTTTATGGCATTTAGCTTCATTATTTTTGTGCTCTTGGAAAATACTTTACTTATTTAATAGTCTTGACGCTTTGGTAAAAAATCTAAAATTATCCAAAATTATCAAAAATTCAAAAATTCGAATTTCTTAAAATTCACTATTTTCTCTCCTCTTTTATGGCATTTAGCTTCATTATTTTTGTGCTCTTGGAAAATACTTTACTTATTTAATAGTTTCGACGCTTTGGTAAAAAATCTGAAATTATCGAAAATGATCAAAAATTCAAAAATCCGAATTTCTTAAAATTCACTATTTCTCTCCTCTTTTATGGCATTTAGCTTCATTATTTTTGTGCTTTTGGAAAATACTTTACTTATTTAATAGTCTCGACGCTTTGGTAAAAAATCTAAAATTATCCAAAATTATCAAAAATTCAAAAATCCGAATTTCTTAAAATTCACTATTTTCTCTCCTCTTTTATGGCATTTAGCTTCATTATTTTTGTGCTCTTGGAAAATACTTTACTTATTTAATAGTCTCGACGCTTTGGTAAAAAATCTATAATTATCCTAAATTATGAAAAATTCAAAAATCCGAATTTCTTAAAATTTAATATTTTTTCCTCTCTTTTATGGGATTTAGCTACATTATTTTTGTGCTCTTGGAAAATACTTTACTTATTTAATAGTCTTGACGCTTTGGTAAAAAATCTAAAATTATCCAAAATTATCAAAAATTCAAAAATCCGAATTTCTTAAAATTCACTATTTTCTCTCCTCTTTTATGGCATTTAGCATCATTATTTTTGTGCTCTTGGAAAATACTTTACTTATTTAATAGTCTCGACGCTTTGGTAAAAAATCTAAAATTATCGAAAATGATCAAAAATTCAAAAATCCGAATTTCTTAAAATTCACTATTTTCTCTCCTCTTTTATGGCATTTAGCTTCATTACTTTTGTGCTCTTGGAAAATACTTTACTTATTTAATAGTCTCGACGCTTTGGTAAAAAATCTAAAATTATCCAAAATTATCAAAAATTCAAAAATCCGAATTTCTTTAAATTCATTATTTTCTCTCCTCTTTTATGGCATTTAGCTTCATTATTTTTGTGCTCTTGGAAAATACTTTACTTATTTAATAGTCTTGACGCTTTGGTAAAAAATCTAAAATTATCCAAAATTATCAAAAATTCAAAAATTCGAATTTCTTAAAATTCACTATTTTCTCTCCTCTTTTATGGCATTTAGCTTCATTATTTTTGTGCTCTTGGAAATTACTTTACTTATTTAATAGTCTCGACGCTTTGGTAAAAAATCTATAATTATCCAAAATTATCAAAAATTCAAAAATCCGAATTTCTTAAAATTTAATATTTTTTCCTCTCTTTTATGGGATTTAGCTACATTATTTTTGTGCTCTTGGAAAATACTTTACTTATTTAGTAGTCTTGACTCTTTGGTAAAAAATCTAAAATTATCAAAAATGATCAATAATTCAAAAATCCGAATTTCTTAAAATTCACTATTTTCTCTCCTCTTTTATGGCATTTAGCTTCATTATTTTTGTGCTCTTGGAAAATACTTTACTTATTTAGTAGTCTTGAATCTTTGGTAAAAAATCTAAAATTATCAAAAATGATCAATAATTCAAAAATCCGAATTTCTTAAAATTCACTATTTTCTCTCCTCTTTTATGGCATTTAGCTTCATTATTTTTGTGCTCTTGGAAAATACTTTACTTATTTAATAGTCTCGACGCTTTGGTAAAAAATATAAAATTATCCAAAATTATCAAAAATTCAAAAATCCGAATTTCTTAAAATTCACTATTTTCTCTCCTCTTTTATGGCATTTAGCTTCATTATTTTTGTGCTCTTGGAAAATACTTTACTTATTTTATAGTCTTGACGCTTTGGTAAAAAATCTAAAATTATCCAAAATTATCAAAAATTCAAAAATCCGAATTTCTTAAAATTCACTATTTTCTCTCCTCTTTTATGGCATTTAGCTTCATTATTTTTGCGCTCTTGGAAAATACTTTACTTATTTAATAGTCTCGACGCTTTGGTAAAAAATCTATAATTATCCTAAATTATGAAAAATTCAAAAATCCGAATTTCTTAAAATTTAATATTTTTTCCTCTCTTTTATGGGATTTAGCTACATTATTTTTGTGCTCTTGGAAAATACTTTACTTATTTAATAGTCTTGACGCTTTGGTAAAAAATCTAAAATTATCCAAAATTATCAAAAATTCAAAAATCCGAATTTCTTAAAATTCACTATTTTCTCTCCTCTTTTATGGCATTTAGCTTCATTATTTTTGTGCTCTTGGAAAATACTTTACTTATTTAATAGTCTCGACGCTTTGGTAAAAAATCTAAAATTATCGAAAATGATCAAAAATTCAAAAATCCGAATTTCATAAAATTCACTATTTCTCTCCTCTTTTATGGCATTTAGCTTCATTATTTTTGTGCTTTTGGAAAATACTTTACTTATTTAATAGTCTCGACGCTTTGGTAAAAAATCTAAAATTATCCAAAATTATCAAAAATTCAAAAATTCGAATTTCTTAAAATTCACTATTTTCTCTCCTCTTTTATGGCATTTAGCTTCATTATTTTTGTGCTCTTGGAAAATACTTTACTTATTTAATAGTCTCGACGCTTTGGTAAAAAATCTAAAATTATCGAAAATGATCAAAAATTCAAAAATCCGAATTTCATAAAATTCACTATTTCTCTCCTCTTTTATGGCATTTAGCTTCATTATTTTTGTGCTCTTGGAAAATACTTTACTTATTTAATAGTCTCGACGCTTTGGTAAAAAATCTAAAATTATCGAAAATGATCAAAAATTCAAAAATCCGAATTTCTTAAAATTCACTATTTTCTCTCCTCTTTTATGGCATTTAGCTTCATTATTTTTGTGCTCTTGGAAATTACTTTACTTATTTAATAGTCTCGACGCTTTGGTAAAAAATCTATAATTATCCAAAATTATCAAAAATTCAAAAATCCGAATTTCTTAAAATTTAATATTTTTTCCTCTCTTTTATGGGATTTAGCTACATTATTTTTGTGCTCTTGGAAAATACTTTACTTATTTAGTAGTCTTGACTCTTTGGTAAAAAATCTAAAATTATCAAAAATGATCAAAAATTCAAAAATCCGAATTTCTTAAAATTCACTATTTTCTCTCCTCTTTTATGGCATTTAGCTTCATTATTTTTGTGCTCTTGGAAATTACTTTACTTATTTAATAGTCTCGACGTTTTGGTAAAAAATCTATAATTATCCAGAATTATCAAAAATTCAAAAATCCGAATTTCTTAAAATTTAATATTTTTTCCTCTCTTTTATGGGATTTAGCTACATTATTTTTGTGCTCTTGGAAAATACTTTACTTATTTAGTAGTCTTGACTCTTTGGTAAAAAATCTAAAATTATCAAAAATGATCAATAATTCAAAAATCCGAATTTCTTAAAATTCACTATTTTCTCTCCTCTTTTATGGCATTTAGCTTTATTATTTTTGTGCTTTTGGAAAATACTTTACTTATTAAATAGTCTTGACGCTTTGGTAAAAAATCTAAAATTATCAAAAATGATCAAAAATTCAAAAATCCGAATTTCTTAAAATTCACTATTTTCTCTCCTCTTTTATGGCATTTAGCTTCATTATTTTTGTCTAATGTAGGAAATTTCTTACTTTAAATACTAATCTTTGAATAAAAAACTTTAATAACTTTTCCTGTAAAGCTTTCTTAAAGATTAAAAATCACTATTTTCTTAGAAAAAAGTTGATCTAAAAACGAAAAAAATTTCAAAATACGTCTTTTTTAAAAATTTTATTTTAGAAATGGGTTGTATTTATCTGAAAAAGTTAGCTAAGGATAGTTTTGCATTCATTTTACAAAAAATAAAAAATTTGCATTTTTTTTTATTTTTCGAATTTTTTGGAAAAATGTCATAACTTTCGTTCAAGTTAATATCTTTTTAATCGGATAAGGCTATGATTTTAAGTTACGTTAATACCTAATAGACTGTTAAGTTTCACTGTAATTGGTTAAACCGTTTTCAATTGATGCTCGAACAAAGTTTTGCATACAGACAGACGGACAGAAATTTTTTTTTTACATTTTTCGAATTCTAATGTCTTAAAACTAAAAAATATATAAAAATTGTTAAGTTTGGAGCAATGTACAGACAGAAGTCTGATTTTATTAATATAGATATTCGTTATTTTTGAGACTTAGTAATTGCAATTTTAAAAATCTTAATATAAATTAAATAAAAGTTTTATTTTTTCAAATAAAAATAATTATTAATTATAATACGACTAGTTTTAAATGAAAATTATTGAGTACAATAGAGTGAAAAATTGTTCTTTCTTTATTTCAGATAAGACAAAATACTTCTAGTGGTAATAGGAACCAATTTTCGACAATTACGTATAAAACAGGTAGGTTTTAATTTTTTTTTTGCTAACATAACTTTAGCCAATTATAAATATTAATATTATTAAGTATTTTATACTGTTTGATTATATTAATTCTTATTAAATATTTAAAAAAAAATATCTATCAAATCAAATTCTTATTAAAATATGAATTTTTTTCAACTTAAATTCATTTCAAATTTTCAATTAAATTCTAATTAATTTTTTTTCTCACTAGCGAATGGAATTCCAGCTACTGCAAATGGTACTTTAAGACTTGTAACGACACAAGCAACTGTAAATGCTCAAATAACCAAGGTTTGTAAAATAATTTTAATTAAAGTTTTAATATTAAAAATCTTTAAATTCTTAGTATAAAGAATTTTATTAAAATTGAAATTAATATTTGAAATTAAAATATTTGTTTAATTTTCATGATAATAATAATAATAGATGAAATTTATTTTGAATTATTCTGTGTCACAGCATCCTGCACCATTACCAGATTCTGCACCATGTGATAATAATCCAAATTGGAAATTACCTCCTCCTGCCCCTTCGCTCAAGATCTCGAAAGTAGCTTCCGGTAAGCAATATTTATAATATTCACAATTATATATATTTTAAAAAGAATATTTGTTCTACTTTTCTTTTGGAAAATTATTAATGTTTTCGGTATTTGTTTCTCTTTATAGGAATAGTCTTGTCTTGGAATATGACACTGTCTGAAAAGCATGCGGAGATAGTTAGTTATCAATTATTTGCCTATCAGGAAGTAAATGGCACGCCGCCTAGTACATTACTTTGGAAGAAAGTTGGCGATGTTATGGCGCTCCCATTGCCAATGGCATGTACATTAACTCAAGTAAGTTCTATATTTTTATTATTCTATATTAAAAACTATTAGAATAATTTTATCAAATCCGGATTACTGAAAAATTGAAAGTGGCCTTTATACTTTATAATACTTATACTTTATACTTATACTTTATACTTTATAAAATCTAAAAATTAGAATGAAAATTAGATGAAAATCTAATTTATAAATATTATAAATCGATAAAAGTCGATAAAAGAATTACAAAAGAAAATCGTAGGTACTTAAAAATAATAACAAAAGCTTTAACGTCCGTGAAATTTAATAATATGGAAATTGAAAATGAAGACATTCGGACAAGGATTTTTTAATAATACTGCAACGTTTCGAAATCTACTTCTTTTCTAATATCGATGAATATATTAAAAATTAAACATAAATAAAATGAAACAAAATAAAATAAACACTATTTTTCGAAAAAAAAATACAGGGTTGACACAGGTAAGAGAAAAGTCAGGGAAAATAAAATTGTTCATGTAAATTTGGGAAATGTCAGGAATTTTTAACAAAAGTACAGTAAAAATATCAATTTTCCAGAATTATTACAAAAATTCTGGTTTGTAGTCCCACAAAGATTAAACATTTTAAAAATTATTAAAAATAATTGATTTAGTAAAGAATTTGTGTTAAAAATAATATAAAATAATTGAATTTTACAGAAGGTATTGTAGAAATTTTGAAAACAATTAAATTTTGACATTCTGCACGAATTTATGTTAAAAATTCTAAATTTAGTTTTTAAAGAAGTTAAAAAAAATCTTTTTGAAATTAGTTAAATTTTTGAATAGAATGCATTTTGTAATTAAAAAAATATTTAAATAATCGAAATTTTTGTTAAATTGAATTGAAAATAATTGAATTTCGACTTGTGTTACTTTAGTGATCTTTTTTTTTTATAATTGAAGTCTCAAAGAATTTTCTCAAAATTATTAAAAATAATTGATTTAGTAAACAATTTTGGTAAAAAATTCTAGAAAATAATTGAATTTCGGAGAAGTTACAGTAAAAATTGTTGGAATTAAAATTCTAATCAATTTAGTGTTTTAAAAAGTTTGAAACGAAATCTTTTTGAAATTAGTTGAACTTTGAATATAAAATCAAAAAATTGTCAGAGTCAATTTTTCAAAATTTAATTAAAAACAATTGTATTTTAAGTGAATTTTCCTTTTTTAATAATTCATTTCTCAAAAAAGTTTTTCAAAAAATATTAAAAATAATTGATTGAGAGAAGAATTTTAGTTAAAAATTGTAGAAAATAATTGAATTGAAATCTTGAAAATAATTTTGCAGAATTAACAATTTTTATAAATTATTGAGTTTCAAAAGGTTTGAAATTTGAAATTTTCGAAAATATAGTTATTTTTAAAGTGAATTAGAATATTCTTTAAGACAGGAAAACAGTAAAAATTCTCTTGGGAAATCAGGGAAAATCGTAATCAAATTTTTGTTGGCAACCTTGTAATAATAATTGACATAAAAAATTCTAAAATAACAAAAATGAAACGTATAGATAAAATAAAAATTTAGTTAAATAAAAATTAAATTTTTAAAGTTCGTCCGATTGTCTTCGTTTTTATTTTTCGTATTTAAAAAAATGGAGGAAATTAAAAAGGTTTTTTTAACTTCTATTTCCACTATTTAATGAATTATTATCATTCTAGTTTTCTGCGGGCAACAATTATTACTTTGCTGTTCGAGCCGTTGATTCACATTCCAGACTTGGACAGTATAGCTTACCAGGGAATATTTCTTTGTAGAAAAAATAAAGGGAAGAAAGAACACGATACATTTTAAAAATTCTTCTCATAATAATAAAAAAAAAGTCTTCTTAATATTTATCTCTAATTTTATATTAAAAATAACGGACTGAATGATTTTTTGAGTTTTGTATGTTTAATGCGTGATTTGTATATTAGTTACTTTATTAATTGAGTTTCAATATAGAAAAAATTATTAAAAAAACAAATATATTGTCACTTAATTTTTGAATGTTCTAAAATAGAAAAATCTTAGAGATAAATTGATATAAAGAAAGATAAATTTTTTTTTCTCTTCAAGGAATTTAAAAAAAAATGTACGAATGGATTTTTAAGTATGACTTAAAAATAGTTATCGAATTTAAAACGAATGCATAATATATCCATAAGAATAATTCTAAGATTCTCATTGCCGTGTAAGATTTTTAGTCAATGAATCAATAACAATAAAAATAATTTGAATTAATTTTTATAAACTACAATAAATTAATTATTTATAAAATATACTAGTGTACAAATATGTTTCATCATGTGTATGATATGGAAAAAAAGGTTGTAATAATTGTATAATGATTAAAACAAATTTCATTTTGTTTTCATTTACATTTGACAATTAATATTTAAGTACTTAAAATCACATCTAAAGCGAAATCTTATGTTAATTTAAAAATATATTAAGTAACATATAAGTATATAATAATACATATATACTGAAATACATTTCTATTTCAAAATTGAAATTTTAGATTCCATTGTTTTTATATATTTTTTTGTTTTTAATACTTGATTCTCTTTATCCAGTCGATTAATCTAGTCAGACTAATTAATTTTAAATTCGATTTTACATTTTTTGTTTAACTTAACTTTCGTCTCTTTTAGTTTCAAATATAGATATTTCTAAATGAAACACAAATTGGACATTTTGAAATTTTTTATTTAATAAGTCGTTTCGATTGTTGTAAGATACATTTTAGTTTTAGTCCTTCTTAATAACCTTAAGCGACTAAATTCTGTGTGAGAATTTCCAAATGGATCTAAAATTTTCTCTTTAAATACTCATTATTATATATATTTTTTATAAACAATTTTCCAGTTTTGGAAAATATTCAACTGTTTTCAAAATCAATTTTTTTGTTGTTGTTACTTTTTGCTAAAGTGCGATAATAGTGTTCTAGTGTTCTAAATCACAAATTTTTCAAATTTTCTATTGTATAATTAAGCATTATTATTTATAATTGATTTGTACCTAATTGATTATTAATTATTTATAATTAACAATATTAATTTCAAGAGAATTTTTCGTTTTGTAACGTATTATATTTTTCTTTGTTCTGTATTCAATTTTCTATTATTTGTGATTTGTAATTTTTTATTTTCATTTATCTTATAATACTAGATCATTGTTTATCATTATAATTATAAATTTATAATAATTAGAATAATTTATAATAAATATTATAATAGTAATAATAATTTATTCTTATTTTATATTACGATAATAATATTCCTATTATTTAAAGATTTTCTTCACTAAAAGAAAAGTTTTTTTTTCTTTAATTAATAAATTTCAGTGTTAACTGACAATTATATTTATTTACAACTATATGTATCGTATTTTTTAATTTTTAAAAAGAGCCAACACATTTTTTTTCGCAAATACTTAGTGATAGATATCACAAAAAATCAATGACCTTTTTATTTTATTTAAAAATATTTTTCACTAAGGTTATCGAGAAGGATCTTATAATATATAGAAACTTTTAAATAAGACGCTCTTTACTGCTCATATACTTTAGAAGATAATCACAATAATATTAAATATTTAACAATGCTTGATAACAGCGATTTATCATTTTTTTAAAAGTTGATATTGTAAGTTTTTTTTTAATTTCCTATAATATGCCATTTACACCGGCAATTTTAAATTTATTTTCATTTTACATAGGTTTTAATTTTTATGGAAAAAAATCGATTTTCATCATTTGAAATACGAGTGTAGTATAAAAAAAAATGCAAAATAATTCGTACAGGCTTCGGATAGACATTAAAACAAACAAAAATTATTTTATAAGAAATTAATTGATTTCAATATTTTAATTTAATTAATTTTATTTTTCATTTTGATTCAAATTAGGAAAAAGTCGACGAATCGTACAAAAATTTCATTTTGTATTTCCCTGACTTTTTCCTGAGTTTTAGAAAATTTTCGAACTTTTTCCCTTATTCTGATAACTTCAATTCTAAATTTTTGTAAAATGAAATTATTTTCAAACAATTTCTTCAAATTCTTTTTTGAAGAAAAATGAAAGACACTTTGAAATGAAATTTGTCACTTTGAAATTTTACTGTAGATATTTTTCACTCTTTGAAAATCAAAATTAGTGTATTTTAATTTTGTAAAAATGAAAAATTAAAAAAAAAAGTTGTATTTTGTTGAAATATTGCGAGAAAAAGTCGAAATTGTGGCTATTTTCAAAAATAAGTCGAGAACAGTCACATTTTTCAAAAATAAATCGAAAAAGTGACATTTTTCGAAAATAAATCGAAAAAAGTGACATTTTTTGAAAATAAATCGAAAAAAGTCACACTTTTCAAAAATAGTCGACCAAAAGTAATAAAAAGTCAATTATCCGAGGCCTGTTCATAGAATACAATTTGATATTTTTTTTATAGTTTTACATGTTTAATTCATGTAGATAATTAGACGCTGAACTCAAAATATTTTTTTCCTCTTTCCGTAAGAATAATACACTTAAAAAAATAATTTTCTTAATTTTCCAAGAATGAAAATTGATTCTCTATAAAGCTGATATTATATATTTGTTTATAAACAATTATTTCAAAAATCAAATGCTTCTTCCTCATTTAATCGTCCGAATAATTTACTATTTTTTTATTTACATGTCCAAATACGTAACAAACGTCTTTTTTATGATAATTTTTTTTCTCGATTATGTATATCTTAAATAGTATACGAATAATTTTATACATAGCGCATTCTAAGTGCATATAATCATCAGCATATTTAGTGTTTAGATTTTTGTAAAAATTTTTGTTTTACTTTTCAAAAATATAATTTTTTTTTCAAAAATTGGAAATCAAAGTTCTTGTTTGCTATTATAAAGAATTTGTATCGTAATTTCTGTTTTTGTTAAAGAAATCCTACTCATTTCTGTTAGTTTACAAACTAGACTAAAATTCTTTTCTTTTACGTAAAATATTTCGATTACTGACATCACAATTTATCATGACTCAAAGGTGTACCCAAGAATTATACTTTCGGTGATAATTTCGATAATTTTTCTAAAAAGGGAAGAAATTTATAAACAAAAATATTTTATTTGTTCATAATTAATTGATAATTTCTTTGACAATTTATTGAGATTTATTTATTATCAAATAAAGAAATTATTTATTTGATAATAAATAAATTTTTTCATTTTAAAATAAATTAAAAATTTATAAACAAAAATATTTTACAATTGATTTCAATTTATTTATTTGCTCGTAAATAAATTTTTTTTCAAAATAAATCTTTTCCTTGTGTAAAATAAAAACATTTTCCGAAAAAAATTTAATTTTTAAATAAATATTAAAAACAGTTAAAGGAAATTCCACCGAAAGTTTAAAGTCTCGGGATGTAAGTTATTACAGTAACAATAAATTACTGTAATTTAAGTCGTAATTACCGGAAACTAATCAATTCCTAGCTATATTAATATTTTTAGGAATAATTTGAAAATTAATTTCAATTTGATTCAATTTAACGCTTGGAAAGTTAATTAACTTTAAAAATATTTCTATATAATATTATAATTATATTTCTATATTATTTTCATATTTTGAAATAATAAGTTGTTTGGAAAAAATATATACAAAAAGAAAATTGAGTAAATGTCATTACAAAGTATACTGAAATGTGGAGAAACTGATAAAATTCCTTGTCGAGAATTTTCCTTCCTTTAATCGTCACATTTGTAAAAACTTGTTTCTACAAATAACGTATTTTCAAATACGTGACAAAAATGGAAAGAAAAAATTAGCAAAAGGAAGATAATCAATGCGTTGATAATATTTTTACTTCTCAACGTTTGCACTCTGGTTAAATTATAAACTAAAAAATTTCATAAACAAAAATATCACAAATATTTTGAGAGAAAAAGATCTATATCCTTACTAGTTAATAAAAACAAATATAAAAAAATAACTCTTGAGCAATAAGACAAATATTATTATTATAATAATAATCGGGATTTTCTATCGTCACATGAAGTTATTTTTTTTTGATTCCAAACTGTTTTATAGTTCAGTCTTAAATCTACTTTTTGATACTTCTTTTAAAATTAATTACACGAGTCGTTCAAACAATTCATAATTTTTTTAATTTAAAAAAACTGTCCAAAAAATATTTTTCAAAAAATAGAAAAATTAACAATGGCCGTCGAAAAATAAAGACAGCGACGAAAAAAGTAACGAAAAACGTCAATAAATAATCAACTTTCCCCACGCAATTGACTCAAATGTAAATTAATATATTATTTGAAAATGAGTTTGACCCACTTACTTAAAGAAAAGTATAAAAAAAATGAACAATTTGTGTTTCATTTCATTAAAATAATATATATCGTAATATATTAAGGAAATATAATCTTTTAAATGCGTAAACTTTATAAGTAATGGAAAAAAAAATAACGGAATCTTATTTTTCCCGAGTGGACTTAGATTTACAGAAAGCATATAAATATAAATTACTTGACTTGATTTGTTTCTGTTTTTGTTTTTTTTTCTTTTGTTTCTTTTCTTTTATGTCCCAGCAGTTGTGTCTTCATGTGAACTTTCTTCCTGATCGAGTCGCGATGAACCACAAACACGACATTTACAGCACACTATACAGGGGGAAGCAAGTAAAAGTAGTGGTGAAGCGACAAGAAGAAGAAGTCCAAAGCCAGCGAATATTCCAATAACTTGAGTTCTATGCCATATCACTGACGCTCGTGAATGTCCAAGTTTATTTTTGCATGGTCCTTTGTCATAATGTCGTAATAAGTAGTCATCCTGTGAATCAGAGCGTAATAGATAAATTTCCCAAAAATTAATATAAAAAATTATTTATACGCGAGAATTCATTGAATTTAGAAAATTACAGGTTTGCCAGAAAAAATAAAAAATTTTGTTTTTTCCTGATTTCCGGATAAAATTTTGACTTTTTCCCTGAACCTAAAGAATATTTTTATTTACTCTAAAAATTATTGGGCACTCAAAAAAATTTTCTATTACATTTATTTACAAATTTCTTTAAAAATAAAATTATTCAAAAACATCAATAACTTCTTTTTTAAATAAATATTCAATTATTATTATTTTTCCGCAGGAATTAAGATTTTCAAAACATTCAAATTGGAAACTATTTGAAATTCAATAACTTATGAGAATATTATTAGAAAACATGAAGCTATCAATCATTCCGAGTCTTCGACTCGAAGTGATCGTTACCTTCATGTTTTATAACAATTATATATGACGCAGTGAGAAAATCATTATTTTATATTATAAGAATATAATTACAATAACTTCTTCAAAATCATTTTCATCATTTCAATTCAATTATTATTTTCTAGAATTTTTAAATTCTTCTTTGAATCAATTATTTTTAATAATTTTTTACAAAGTTCTACAAGAATATTTAAATCCATTTGTTTACAATTTAATTTCACGAAATTAAATATATATTAGAAAATAAAAACTTCAAATAATTTTTAAAAAAATTCAATTAGATACCTGAAAGTTTATTCAAAAAAAATTAATTCCACAGAATTGCAATAAGTTTTGTTATTTATGAAAATAATTGAATTCATGAGAAGAATTTTATTATTTGTGAAAATAATTCAATTCGTGTTAAGAATTTTATAAACTTTACAAATAATTTAGTCTTTGTAAAGAATTTTACTGAAATTTTTAGAAATAATTCAATTCCTGCCAAGAACTTTATTATTTATTAAAAGTATTGGAAATAATTGAATTTTTCCAAAAATGTTCTTATTTACGAAACTAATTGAATTCTTACGAAATAATTTACTAAATTTTTTGAAAATAATTTCCGGTGAAGAATTTTATTTATTTTATTATTTATGAAAATAATTAAATTCTCGCGGAAAAATTTATTACTTTTTCAATATAATTAAATTCAATTTTTATGAATAATTCTATTAAATTTTCGAAAATAAATTTAATAGTGAAATAAAATTTTACTATGAATTATATTACAAATTTTCAAAATCATTGAATTCTTTCGACAAATTTTATTAAAATTTTTAAAAATATGTAATATAATTTTTTCGAAGAATTCAATAATTAAAATTGTATTAAAAATAATGGAAATTTTGCGAAAAGTTTTATTCAGGGTTCCTACAGTACCTGGAAATCATGGAAATCATGAAAATGGTATGGGAATTTTAAAAGGCTTCTGGAAATCAGGGAAATCATGGAAAAGACCTGGAATTTTTAAAAGTTTCTAAATTTTTCCGTTTTTCCATTTTTTCTCTTCAATAGAAATTCAATTAGAAATTTCAAGATACATATATTATATTTAAATTTAAAATTACACTGGAATTTTTGATAATTTAAAATTTTTTACCAAAGGGTGGAGACTATTAAATAAGTAAAGTGTTTTTCAAGAGCCCAAAAATAATGAAGCTAAATGCCACAAAAGAGAAGGAAAAATGATGAATTCTAGGAAATTCGGATTTTTGAATTTTTGATAATTTTCGATAATTTTAGATTTTTTACCAAAGAGTCGAGACTATTAAATAAGTATGTAAAGTATTTTCCAAGAGCACAAAAATAATAAAGCTAAATCCCATAAAAGGGAGGAAAAAATGCTGAATTTTAAGAAATTCGGATTTTTGAATTTTTGATAATTTTCGATAATTTTAGATTTTTTACCAAAGAGTCGAGACTATTAAATAAGTATGTAAAGTATTTTCCAAGAGCACAAAAATAATAAAGCTAAATCCCATAAAAAGGAGGAAAAAATGTTGAATTTTAAGAAATTCGGATTTTTGAATTTTTGATAATTTTGGATAATTTTAGATTTTTTACCAAAGGGTGGAGACTATTAAATAAGTAAAGTGTTTTTCAAGAGCACAAAAATAATGAAGCTAAATGCCACAAAAGAGAAGAAAAAATGATGAATTCTAAGAAATTCGGTTTTTTGAATTTTTTTAAATTTTTTATAATTTTAGATTTTTTACCAAAGGGTGGAGACTATTAAATAAGTAAAGTGTTTTTCAAGAGCCCAAAAATAATGAAGCTAAATGCCATAAAACAGAAAAAAAATGTTATTGTTTATGAAAATAATTTAATTCTTGTTAAGAATTTTATATGCTTTAAAAATAATTTAGTTTTTGTAAAAAATTTTATTGAAATGTTTAGAAAAGAATTCAATTCCTGCGAAGAATTTTATTATTTATGAAAAGAATTCAATTTCTGCAGAGAATTTTGTTATATTTAAAGGTAATTGAATTCTTGTCAAGAATGTTATTAAATTTTTTGAAATTAATTGAAATTTTGTCAAGAATGTTATTAAAATTTTTAAAAATAATGGAATTTCTCCAAAGAATTTAAAATAATAAAACATTTTTACAAGAAATTTATAAAAAGTTTTAAGTATATATTTGAATTCTTATGAGAAATTTTATCAAAAAAATTATTGATATTTTAACAGGAAATATATTAAAAAATTTTATAGAACAATTGAATTCTTTCCACATTGAAAATAATTGAATTCTTGCAAATAATTCAAAATAATTTAAATTCTACAAGTAAATTTATCAAATATTTAAAGAATAAATTGAATTCTTGCGAATAATTCAAAATAATTTAAATTCTGCAAGTAAATTTATCAAATATTTGAAGAATAAATTGAATTCTTTTCAGAAATTTTATTGAATATAATTGAATGTATACGAAAAATTCAAAATACATAATTGAAATTCTGACAAGAAATTTATAAAAAAATCTGAAGACACCAAAATTTCGTATTTTCTTATGAATTCTAAAAATTTAATGTTCTTCCAGTACTTTTTATAAAATTCCCTGACTTTTCACTAATTTTCCTCATTTGTAGCAGATAAGAAAAAAACACTTTTTTAATACAGAAAATTCCAAATTCCCGGTCAAGAAAGAAATTCCCGGTCCAGTGGTCACCTTGTATTTGCTTAATCAAAGCAAAACTATCACTAAAGGTAATTTAAAATTTTCCACGTCTAAGTTTGTTTTCTCGTGGAATGTGAAAAATACAATTCTTTTTTGTAAAATTATGTATGAAAAACTTACGTCTAAAGAAGCTAAGCAGTACCAGCAAAAGACATGTTTACATCTCTTGCACATCATTTGGGCACAACCTTCATCCTTTTCAATTGGAACTGAACACATGGGACAGCATTTTATGTGATCACTGTCAAATGGAATACCTAGGGAAAGATCCGAGCAGCGACCACTGTGCCAGGGTTCTCGGCATGCGGAACAAAAGTCTGTGGAACAATTTGGACAATGCACCGGGCCATGTGGCGTGTTTCCATTTGAACTGCCTCCGCCACCGTTTAATGAGCAAATTGTCTCGCAACCAGCTCGTGGACACCAGGCTCTCTCCTTATCCATCGACACATCTTAAACAAAGTGTAAATCAATTTTTAATAATTTAATTTCTTTAGAATTAAAAATTTAATTTAAATGTAATTTAAATTTAAATTTCAAGAAAATTTCTGAATTTCTAAACAAAATTCATTAATAAAAAAAATAAAAATTCATTAATATTGTTAAAAATTAAAAATTTTCTTAAAATTTAAATTACATTTAAATTACATTCAAATAATTGCAAAGGAAGAAAATTACAAAAAAATGAATACTCATAATAAATATTTTTGTTATTAAATTTAAATAATAATTAAAGTCGCATTTTTTGAAAATAAAAGAATTCATTCACTCCGAGGTCTCGATATTTAGTTCGTTGAATAATAAACTGACAGTACCTCGATTCAGGCGAAATTTATGGTGCTTCTCCATTAGTTCTACCGAAACGATGGTAGATATATCCTTCAAGGAAATAATTCCTTCATGCTCACACTTTGCGTCCGGACAGCTTATCTCATATGCGCCTTCTTCAATTTCAAATTCGAGATATGCACTCATGCACTGAAATTCAAGACACTTTTTTAGCTAAAACTTTCACAAAAAATCAAATATCAGTATTAATATGGTCAAGTTGATTAATTTCGGATTTATTCATTTTTCTCAACAATCATATAATTATTATAATTGTATAGAATTTAATCATATAATTATTATAATTATTTATATAGAATATTATATAGAAATAAAATTATATAAATAATAATAATAAAATTATATGGTGAATCAAATTTTGTTCGTCCTTCTCTCGTGTTTTGGAACGTTTGTCTTCAACATAAAAGCAAAGATATTTTTAAAATTCTAATTGCAAACGCGTAAATTCGCATTTATGCATGAGAATATGCAGAGAAATTTGCATAACAAAACTGAAGATCCTTGTAGAGACGAGAAGAATTAGTAATTTAGTGAATGTTTTTCAAAAAGGAAAAATTTATAAATAATACATAAATAAAGTGATGGAGTAAAAAAATAGAGATAAATAAAATAGTTTGTAACGAAGATAATAATAATTTTAAAACTATTTGTAAAAAGTTTATTATCAATAACAGATTAGTGAGAATTACAAACTCTGACACTTGTTAATTAATAAAAATAAGTAGCAAAAAGTAGCTTTAAGACTAAAATTTTCAGTATATAATTAATTATTATTTTCGAAAATTTTAATAAAATTCTTCTCAAGAATTCAATCATTTTCTCACTATTTTCAAAATTTCTAATAAAATTCCTTTAAAAAATTCGATTATTTTCAAAAATTCAGATAAAATTATACGAAACAATTAAATTACTTTTATGAATTGTTAAATCCTCCACAAGAATTCAATTATTTTTATAAATAAAAAAATTCTTCGCAAGATTAAAATATTCTCATAAATAATAAAATTCTTCAAATGAATTCAATTATTTTCATAAAAATAATAAAATTTTTCGGGGGAATTCAATTATTTTCAATTCAATTTTAATCAAATTTCTCGAAAGAATACAATTATTTTTAAAAATATTATTTAAATTTAATTATCATCAAGAGTTTAAAAAAAAATTCAATTATTTTCAACAATTCTGATAAAATTCTTGGCAAGAATTCAATTATTTTTATAAATTGCAAAATTCTTGGCAAGAATTCAATTATTTTCGTAAATTTTAATTCTTCTGAGAACTTCAAATATTTTTAATACAATTTTAATAAAATTTCTAGGAAAAAATACAATTATATTTAAGATAATTTTAATAAAATTGTTAACAGGTTCAATTATTTTAAAAAATTGTAATAAAATTTTTCTAAACAATTCAATTGTATTATTGTACTCAAAAGTTTTTAATAAAATTCGAGATAAAATTCTTAGTAAATTTCAATTATTTTCAAAATTTTTAATTAAAATTATTTTAAAATATTACGTCATTTTTACGAAATTTAATGAAATTCTTAAAGAAAAATTGTAATTATTTACAAAAACTCTAATAAAATTGTTTAAAAGAATTTAATTTTCTATAAATAATTTTAATATAAATTAATAGAAAAAATTATTTATTACAATTAATAATAAACACGATTATTAAAATCATTGAATTACGAAAAGCCTTTTAGATAATTTTTTGATAAAATTCTTTGCAGGAATTCAATAATTTTCAATAAATTGATATTAAAAAGAGTTAAAAAGAAGAATTATTAAAAAAAATGTGTGAAACAAAAAAGCAAACAAGAACTTGAAACTACGAATATATTACAGGAATACAATTTACTAATAGTAATTTAGTAAAATTAAAAAAAGGAAGAAAAAAATTACCTCTTTACAATAAGAGCATCCACAGTCTTCAATGGTAAATGTTTTGTTAAGGGGAACTTCATTGAGGCAGAGTTTGCAAAAAAGACGTCCCACCGTTTGTTGAGATGCGGTGGTGGTGGTAGCGGCGGTCACCGATGCTGGTACAAAATTCCCCGCGGCTAAACTATAACGCGAACTAGACGCTAGAGAAAGTAAACTAGAACAACGCGAGCAAACACGACTACGATTAATGGGTCGTAAGCCTTCTAAAGCTAAACTGCTCAATCCCATGGCAGTTTCACATTTTCTTAAAGCTCCAGGACCCAAACTTATCCAACTTCCACCACGTGGCTCAAGACTTGCACTACTTTCTGGTCTCAATAAAAGTGTTTCGGCCGCTTTACGCGACGTCTTCTCCATTAATGATAAATTCACCGCGCTCGATTCCTTTCTCACTAGCGGTATTTTAACACCCATTATTTTATTCTTCTCCGATTTCTTCTGCGAATTGATATTTTGCGAATGATTATTTTTATTTGACGAATTATTAACAGTTGTCACTGAACTTGTACCAGTCCCCATATCCATGGGAGGAGCTCGTCGTACGACGAGCGAATGTAGACTAGGCATCCCCTAATTAATATTTCTTATTTCATCGACACCTGCACTGAAATTTAAATTTTATAATTATTATTATTATTGTACCTTTAATTCTACTCATTTATTTAAATTTAAATTTATTTAAACTTAATTTATTTTAATTTAAATTTAAATTTAAATTTAAATTTAAATTTTTTCAAAAAAAAAAAAAAACTAAAGTAAAACTGAAGTACAAAATTTATTTTACTACGAAAGTAAACATTTTCCTTTATTTGCATAAGTAGCTTGATATTCAATTTATTATTTTTATGCAAATTACAAAATTTTTTATTTTCAAATATAAATTTTTTAAATAATTTCATAATCATAATCAAAATTTAAAACATTACTTATTAAGTACAAAATGAATTACTGCTGTTCATATTTTCAAAAATTTTACTAAAATTTCACGAAAGTATTCAATTATTTTCTAAAACTTTAATAAATCCTTCTAAACAATTCAATTATTTTTTTAAATAGTAAAATTCTTGGCAGGAATTCAATTATTTTCTAAAATTTTAATAAATCTTTCGAAAAAATTCAATTATTTTTAAAACAATTTTAATTGAATTTCTCGGATGAATTCAAATATTTTAAAATATTTTCATTAATTTCAAGTATTTCCTAAAATTTTAATAAATTCTTCAAAAAACAATTCAACTATTTTTATAAATAGTAGAATTCTTTGCAGGAATTAAATTATTTTTAAAAGAATATAAATAAAATTTCACGAAAGTATTTAATTATTTTCAAAAATTTCCATAAAATTCAATTTCAACAAGAATTTAAAATTCTCTAAAAATAATGCAATTATTCTCAAAATTATTGTAAAAAATTCAATATAAATATTAAATTACTTTCAATGCAATTTTTAAATATATTCCTCAAAACAATTGAAAGAATTCAATTATTTTCAAAAAATAATAAAATTTTTGTGATGAATTCAATTATTTTGAAGTATACTTAATTTGAATAAAATTCTTTGAAGAAATTCAACTATTTTTTTAACTATTTCATAACAATTTAATTATTTCTTAAAATTTTAATAAATTCTTCGAAACATTTCAATTATTTTTATGAATAGTAAAATTCTTCGCAATAATTCAATTATTTTTATAAATAGTAAAATTCTAGAATTTATTAAAATTTTAGTAAATAATTGAATTCTTTCGAGAAAATGTAATTAAAATTGTATTGAAAATAATTTAATTCTTGGCAAGATGTTTTATTGAAATTCTTTAAAATAATTGAGTTTTTTTTAACAATTGTTACTGAAAATTTTGAAAGTACATAATTGAATTTTTTGAAGATTTTCTTTTAAGTTTTTAAAATAATCGTGTTTATTATTAATTGTATAATTAATAATTTTCCTATTAAATTATATTAAAATAGAAAATTAAATTCATTTACAGAATTTTATTAGAGTTTTTGTAAATACATAATTACATTTTTTTTAAAGAATTTCATTAAATTTCGTAAAAATAATGTAATTTTTTAAAATAATTTAAACTGAAAATTTTGAAAATACATACAAAGAATTTTATTAAAAACTTTTGTGAACAACTGAATTGTTTAGAAAAATTTTATTACAATTTTTAAAAATAATTCAATTTTTTCGAAGAATTTTATCAGAATTGTTGAAAATAATTGAATTTTTATTAAAACTCTTGAAAATAATTGAATTTAAATAATATTTTTAAAAATGTTTATAAAAAATTGTTTTTTTAATTATAAAATTTTATTAAAATTATATTGAAAATAATTTAATGCCTCCAAAACATTTAATTATGTATGAAAGTAATTGAATTCCTTTGAAGAATTTTAATAAATTCTTCGCGAGAATTCAATTATTTTCCTAAATAATAAAATTCTTTGAAGGAATTCTACTATAAAATTTTTTGATAAAATTCTTTGCAACAATTCGATGATTTTCAGATACATTAATTTTAAAATCGAAAATATTTGAAAATAAAAATTATAAAAAAGTTAAGAAACAAAAAAGCAAACAACAATTAACTTTAAACTGCGAACAGATTACCGGAACATGTACTTTATTATTATTAATAATTAATTAATAATAATATTTGAGTTCTTTTTTTTCCAAGTATTTCAAAATTCGAAATCAATGTTTCTAGTGATTAATAACTGCAATAAAAAGCGATAAATCAAAATTCTCTGATAACTAATCTCCGGAAAATCGTAAGACATTTTAATAGGAGTAAATTCCAAATAAATGTGTCAGCATTATGGATGTAAAAAATCAGAACAAAGAAAATGTATAAAATAATTGAAAGTTTTACAAGAAATAAAGTAAGAGGTCTAACAATATTTATTCAAAAGTTGCATTAATCATTAACGATTGATGATTAAGAAAAAAAATTTTCGTTAAAATCGACAATACAATTTTTTTCTGTTTTTTCTTTCTCTTCACGAAAAAAAAATGAACTCAAAAAATACAGGAAATGTTTTACTTTATAATTTTTAGTTTTCGGAATAAATATTATTTTTAAAAAAATATACATACCACTTATTGCTTCTGTTTGTTACTGTTAGTAACAGTAACGTCATCCTTACTGTTATTTTTTTTTACAATTAAATTTGGCACTGTGTATAACTGTTTTTCAACATTTTTAAATAGCAAAATTTATTTTTCCACTTTCACTGGTTTAATATGGAAGGCAAAGTTTATAACTTCTAGAATGGAGCATTTTCTCAATTCGCATCTGCTATATTTTTCGTACCATTGACACTTTAATCGAGAATTTATCAATGTCATTCGAGAAAATCAATTCATTTCCGTAATTATCAATGTTTAAGGTAAATCTTATCAAGATTACGAATAGTTTGATGTGTCACCCACTTTTGTTTTGATCACAAAGAATGACTTATTTTTCCAGAACAAAAAAAAAATTGACCAAAATTCACACAAGAAGAAACTGAGTGTGAGTACTATATTGTTATAAACTGCAGTTCATTTGCGATTAATTGCATTTCTGACGTTTCGAAAGATGGAGGGGGAAACATAAGTTTCCTTGTGAATGAACCTTTAGTGTCTCAACTGAAAAACCCCTTATATTTCAACTTGAAATCATCGACCCAACCCTGGATAACTACGAAAAAAAATGACAGCTAAAAACAGTAAACAAATATAATGAAAAATAACTTATTAAATACTGTTAAATACCCCCTAACCGGTAATATAAATTGATTTATTATCCTTTTGATATTAAAATGTATTAATAATTAATAATTTAATGAAATGAAATTAAAATCGAGTATTCTTAAATTTTTGATTATCATGTCAAATTAATTGAAGAAGAAAAAACCAAAGAAATTATATTTTTATCAAATTCGAAATCGATTGCAATTATTAAATTGAGATTTTTATTTGTGATGTGGAGCACCGTAGAATTATTTTTTAATGGTGCTTTGTTGTGGATTATCTTCGAGGTTTCTTGCATTTTATTGGTGAATGCATTTTATTTTTCTGTACCTTGGTTCGTTTGGGGTGCTTTAATTGTGACAGTGATATTATGGTTTTTAAAACTTCCACAACCCGACTCGACTATTGTGAAAGAGATATTTGGAGATGATCTTTTAAATCTAAAGAGGATTAATAATTCTTGCAATGACATTCAGGATAATAAGAAGCAATATTGCATGCGTGTTGTCGCTCATCGTGGTGGAGGCTACGATTATCCAGAAAACAGCTTAGCGGCTTTTCGTAATGTAAATTTCACTTTTAATTCTTTAAAAACCACTTTTTTGTGCTTTTTCAGAACTATTTCGCTAAATAAATAATATTTTCTTCCAGCTATTTAAAATTTTTTTTTGGATTAAATCAGGCTTCGCACTCCTACTAAAACCTACTACTTACTACTTTTTTACGATTTTCTACTATTTGGATACTTTTTTTTATTTGTTAGACTAAAAGCAACTTTTTTTCCATGTTTGAGAATTTACACTACTTTTAATTTGTTAACAGTTGAAATAACAAAAATTAATTAACAAAATTTTAATAAAGTTATTGAAAAAAATTCAATTATTTTTATAAATTTTAAAATTCTTGGCAAGAATAAAATTATTTTTGTAAATAATAAAATTATTCTGAGAAATTCAATTATTTTCAATATAATTTAAATAAAATTTCTAGGAAAAAATTTAATTATATTGAAGATAATTTTAATAAAATTTCTCTAACAGGTTCAATTATTTTTTTAAATTGAAATAATAATTTTCTAAACAATTCAATTCTTCTGAAAAGTTTTTAATAAAATTCTTTGTAAATTTCAATTATTTTCAAAATTTTTAATTAAAATTATTTTCAAAAATTACGTTATTTTTACGAAATTTAATGAAATTCTTGAATAGAAACTGTAATTATTTATAAAAATTCTAATAAAATTGTTTAAAAGAATTTTTAATACAATCTAAACTGAATTGTGCAAGAAATGCAACTATTCTTAAAAATTTTAATAAATTTCTTTTGAAGAATTCAATTATTTTAAAAGTTTTAATGAAATTCTTTATTTAATAATAATTGAATTGTTTTCAATATAATTTAAATAAAATTTTGTTTGAAAGAATTCAATTATTTTCATAAATAATTACAATTTTTCAAAGAAATTCAATTATTTAAAATACAATTTTCATTAAATTTTTTGAAAAAAATCATTTCTTTAAAAAGATTTGTTTTAAATTCTTCTCAACAATGCAATTATTTTAAAAACTTTATTAATGTTCGGTGACAAAAATTCAATTATTTTTATAAATAATAAAACTTGTAGCTGAATTTCAATTATTTTTAATATATTTTTAAATTAATTCCGCTAAAAATGCAATTATTTTTAAAAATTTGAATAAAATTCTTCGTAAAAATTCAATTATTTTAAAAAATTTGGATAAAGTTCTTTATAAAAATTCAAATTTAAGAAATATTCAATTATTCAATAAATTATTTATTTTTGTATTTAAATAATTGAATTCTCGTAGAATTTTCTAGTGAAAATTGATTTAGAATTGAATAAAATAAAATGATTAAAGTTTTGAATAATTTTATTTATAAATTTCAAGAAAAAAATGATTGAACTTTGAAAGAAGTAGTTTTTAGAAATAGTTAAATTTCAAAAATCCGTTACATTGAAATGATTTGAAATATTTTAATTCCCGTAGACAAAATAAATAGGCATTTAAAAATTTATTTAAAAAAATTATTCTATTGTTGAATGTAATTAAGAAATTATAAAAAAAATGATTCTTCAAGTATAATTTTTCGCTAGCTACTTTTTTAATATTTTTTTTCTGCCTTTAAATTCCTTTTTTAAAATTAATTATCGAGTACGAAGTCTGTTTAATTCTTTTTTCGAATCAGTTTCATTTGGTTTTTGATTATTATAATTATTATATCAAGATTTGATTTTATATTTCGAAAAGTTATTTTAAAATTAAGATTTTTTAAATTTATTTTGAAAATATTGACTACTATATTTTTATTATCTAATATATTGATTATAATGACAAGTGAATACTGATTATATCTTTAAATTAACAATGTATATATAAAATAAAATAATTATAAAATAACACTAGTAGTGTTGTGAAGTTGAAATTATTGCATGAAAATATTTTTGAAAATAAATAGTTTCTCATGGTTTTTTTTTTGTTTGCTTTTCAAGTGCAAGGAAAAGGGCTGCAATGTGGTGGAATTTGATGTAGCCCTTACAAAAGATAACATTCCAATAATATTCCATGATGTAACAATTGAAAGACTAACAGGCCACGTAGGAATGGTTAAAGAAATGACATGGAGTGAACTTAAAGAATTAGATATAACGTACAATCATCCTCTTAGGTATAGTAAATTAACATCTTTTTCTTCACTTTTAACAAAAATTATAATTTTTCAGTTTTTCTTATGTAATTTTTTCAAAAATCATAGTTTTCAAAGATTTAAATTCTAAATTGTTTAGATATGAAGGTGCTTTTATATAATAATTTATCAGCTTTATAGAAATTCTCTAACAAAAATAATATTAAGCAGTATTAATGAATATTAATAATTAATAACTATAACTATTAATAAATATTGACAGATATTTATCAATAATAAGAAAATCGAATTTATATAATAATATTGATATAATTCAAGAATTAAATCATTTTTACTATATTTGAACTTTTGCTTTTTTTGTTTAAGAAATAAATTTCTGAGTGGTGCAAAAATCGCCTTATTTGATGAGGCGATTAAAGAATGTTTGGAAAATGGTCAACGTATGTTCATTGATATCAAGGAAAAAGATCTGGCAATCGTGCAAATAATTGTTAATGCTTTTAATAGTAATCCGGAGTTATTTCGAAAAGCAGTGGTGTCGAGTTTTAATCCTCTAGTTATTTACATGGTGAGTTTATACAAAATTTGTCAATAATTCTCATGAATAAATTATTATTCAGGGTAGCCAGAAAAATTTAATTACGTTTTTTCCTGACTTCCAGACAATTTAAATCAAATTCCTCGAAAAAATGCAATTATTTTTAAAAAATACTAATAAAATTCTTCGAAAATAATTCACTGATTTTGAAAATTTTTCAATTTTCAGATAAGAAAGAAGGAGCCAAGAATTATATCAAGCCTGGCTTGGAGGCCTCGAATTTTCTCAACAACGAATTACACTGGTTTGGATGGACCCACCATTGGACGCTTTCGTAGTCCATTTAAAAATCTCTTTGCCACATTTGTCGACATCCTTCATGACTGGGCCTTACATCGTTTCACTTATTACATTTTGGGCATTTCCGCAATATTATTGCACAAAGACGTTGTCAATCCGTAAGTATTTTAATCACTAGTTTTAAATGGAAATATTATTTTCTTAGAAAAATTAATAATAGTATTTTTTATATTATAAATATTTTGATAGTATTTTCTTTTTTTATATTATTTTTTTATTTTCATAATATTTTTTATTTTGATAGTATTTTCTTATTTTGATAGTATTTTTTTATTTTAATGGTATTTTTTTATTCTGATAGTATTTTTTATGTTGATAGTATTTTATTATTTTAATAGTATTTTCTTATCTTGATAGTATTTTTTATATTGATAGCATTTTATTATTTTGATAGTACTTTTTATTTTGATAGTACTTTTTATTTTGATAGAATTTTTGTATTTTGATAGTACTTTTATATTTTGATAGTATTTTGTCATTACTCAAAATAATGTTTATTTTTGTATTAAAAACTAATTTTATTTCTAATGCAAATATTATTTTATCCAGTGACGTTGTACGTTGGTGGCACAAAAGGGGAATACGTGTAATTATATGGATTGTAAATCTGCCATCCGAAAAAGCGCACTTTTCAAGAGTTCTCAAAGTACCATATCTAACGGACACTTTACTATCTGAAGAGATACTTTAATTAAAGTAATTTTTATTTTCCTTTTTTCATACCAAAATGATTTGACGTTATACTTTAAAGTATATAAGAAATTCGACATTTTTTTTTAATATTGCAATCATTAAATAAATTAAATATCTTTTCATACGCATTGCCTAAAGAATTTTTAGTTTTTAAACATCAACTTATAAAATCTACGATTGAAAATAATAGATAATAAACTCTGTATATACAATATACATATTATATATTTTATATAAATTGATGTCACGCAGCATTTTTTATCGACAAAAGATATAAAATGCCAATTTTACATTTATAGATAATATAATGAATTTATTATTATGTTTACGTGTATGTATTTCTACATAAATTAAAATATTGATCAAAGCTTTACATAAAATGGTTTTTTATTTATAGTAAATTTATGTTTTGGGTCATCTACAAAAGTATGATCCCTATATCGTTGCGTAAAAAATCTTATTCGTTATTTTGTGCTTCACTTAAAATTCTAATGACATAAAAATCATCACTTGTGAAAAACTCTGTTTTTCACTTTTAATATATTGACTTTATGCGATAAATCATTTTTTTTAGTTTTTCACTCTCGGCGAGTTTTTTTTATACACACATCTTTTTTTGCACTTTGCAGACTAATAGTAGTAACATACAATAATAGAATGTTATAATACTTCTTAATTATAATATTAGAATATAATAATAAAAGTGGAGTAAATAATAATCTGTGTAGAGTATAAAAAACAGCACGTGTGGAATTATTTCCATTTCAATTAATATTCTTGATTAAAATATTCTCACTTAAAATTCAAGTATTAGACGTATTTAGATTAAAAATACACAATTATGGACGGTATAGAAATAAGAATCACAGTTTTAAACAATCGTTGCCAATTTCGTTTTACGAGATTCCATTCCTTCAATTAATCCTGTTAATAAATCTTCCATTTCGGTTGCGGCGCGTTTCAATTCACAATTATTGTCGACACTCAAACTTTCTGAAATTCAAGTATTTTGTTTACGTTTGCCTCTTTTTATGGACTATTTAAAATTAAGTAGTTAATTTTATTTTATTTAAATAACTTACCATCAAGTAAACAATCGTTGGTCACCATATTTTGTAATCTATCCAAAATATCGTTGAGATCTCCTTGAATATTTTCAATGCCACTGCGTTGAGAGCGTTTTTTGGATTCTTGAATAGAATACAATGAATTATCACGAGGCACATTTTTTGGAGACAAATAATTTGGCTTCTTTGATAAAGTGAAATTGTTATCGAAAATTCTTTTATCCCCATGTCTATTGCTATTTTCTTCCGATGAGCAAGCAAACCATTGAGAAAATCCACTTTCCTTTGGTGTAAAATCACATTTACCTCCTGTAATTAAATTTTTTTTTAAACAAAAATATCATCTTTTAAAATGAAAAAAAAAATACTTATGGAAAATAGTATAATTTTTTAATTAATTTTCAATTAATATAGAAGATGCAAATTTTGTTCACCTCCAATCCATGTACTTAATTCCATTTGAGGACGTTCCGCTGACAATTCATTAAATGCCGAATCTGTTGACGTTCTTTCCGAAAAATGTCGGGACATTGATTCATCAATGTCATTTTTTGATGACGTTTTATCATTTTTACCACTTGCTTGACGAACAATTGGACTCAATTCAAATGCCATTGGCAAGCGTGTAATTCGCGACACTGCTGGATGAATCATTGGTGTGCTTTGCAGCAAATTTGGTCCCGGTGGAGTTTTAAAAAGACAATTCTGCAATAAAACAATTTTCAAATTGTTAAAATAGATAATAGAAAATAATAAAATAGCTAGTATTTTTATTTTATAATTTTATAATTATTTTTTAATTTTTATCTGTATTTTTCTATTTCTATTCTATATAAATTTTCTAATGCAATGGAATTAGAAAATAATAAAATAGAAATAGAAAAATACAAATAAAAATAGAAGAAACATAAAAATAAAAAGAAAACGACATTTAAAAGTAATTATCTAAATATCAACAAGTACCTTCAAAACTTTAAGACGCTCTAATTGAGATTGTATGGCAACACGATGATTCTGCAATCTTCCGAATTTAGAATCATTTATTTTGAGTAATTCTGTTTGCAATTGTCTATTCTCCTCTTCTAGACTGCTGATAATATTTTGTAATTCCTTCTGCGGATCATTACATATTCTTCGTTTAATGGTACTTCTAACTGATATGGAATCGAAAGCGGTTTTTTGATTTCTATCATCCATATCGGGCAGTGAAGTTTCCAATGCACTCATAACAGAGCGCGAAGGACAGAGCATTAATTTATTACGTATCAATTCAAAAACTAATTTCGTTACTTCCTTATTCGACGCTTTTATACAATATTCACGAATTGGATGCTTTAATTTATGTTTTCCCGATGTTTTACCAAATAAAAAGCACTTTTGACATTGATGATAGCCCGAACATCTCAAACAAGAATATCGTGGTCCGGATATTGGATTTACTTTACATGTGGAGCATTTAATATTGTGAATAATATTTTCGGCTGATTTGAAGCGATTTAGTGTTGAAATCCACGTCAGTAGTGGAGGTTCTTCCATTAGCCATTTGGAGAACTCTGCTTCAGTTATACCAAGCGATCCTTGACACTGAAACATTAATTTTAATTAATTCAAGTGTATAATTATTGTTTTACAGGATTGTCAAAGATCAGGAAAAATAAAAACGTACCTCTTTGAAACAATTAGCAACTGTCGAGCGAATCAAATGATTTCCGTAAGCAACACTCTCGCCGAGCATTTCCGTTACTTTACAAATGTTCGTCAACATCGTGAATAGTGCAGCTTCAGATAAACAAGCATTATGATCCGCAAGCTGATGAAATAAATAACCATATTTCTCTTCCAATTTTGCTGAACTCAACAATGTCAATGCAACTTTTACCGAAAATACTAAAATATTGTCTTCATAGTTTCTAAAAGAGAGAAATAATATTATTTCCTTGTCCCTAAATTACGAAAGATTGAAAATTTGTCCCTGAAATACCAAAGATTGTAAAATATAAAAAAAAAAATAATAAACGAACCTGTGAAATATTTTAAAAATAAAATTTATCGCCAATTTTGTGACTTGATCAACATTGAAATTAATGCCCGCTTCCTTCTGTGCGGCAAAAAATATATCCGACAGTACATCCTCCACTTCATGGCAATCTAAATTCACAGAATTTTCAGTCACTGAAAGTCGATGACGTTCAAAAATGCCGGCTATCAATTTCAATTGAACATTTTGCACTGAAACACATAAATTATAAGTAATTGTAATAATTATCAAAAAAAAATTTCCAACTATTTATAGAAATATTCGAAATTAATTTACGTACTGTGTAAATTCTTCTGTAAAATTTGTAGTTTTGAAGCGGTTCTATGAGACGCGTAACGAATTATATTGCACTCGTTAATGTTTTGTAAAATTTCTTCCATCTTTGGATGAGTTGATGTTAATCCCTCCATTGGAATACAACTAGATTATGAAATTTAAAAAATTATTATTATTTATATAAATTTATTTATTTAAATTATTGTTAGATAATAATAATAGATTATTAACTATATAATAAAAACACAAACGAATGATTATGATCCACAAGTTTTGAAAGCTCAAATAAAGAAAATATTTTTTATTAAGAATATTTCCTAAGATTACTGATTACTAAAGAAAATTGAAAACTTAAATTTCAAATTTCAAATCTTTTAATTTATCGTTTTGTACTTGCGTAAAATATAATTATATTTATATAAAATTCAATTTTTGAATAATTTCAGATTCAAAATTTAAAAAATTCATTTATTATGTAAATAATTAGCGATTTTGTTCATTTAAACATTCAGAACTTTCGGAACATGAACGATGGAAAATTTTAGTAAACAGTAAATAAATTTTGAAATTACTTGCTAAAATTTCTTGGATCGTTTCTTTCGTTAATTGAGTGGTCTTCGCTTCTATTTCTGATCGCAAATCCTGAAACATAATATAATATTTAAATTTTAAATAAAATACCTGTTAGACTTAATTTATTATTTAATTTGAGAGAAACTCAAGTTTTGTGCTTTAATTAATTTAATTGTGCTTTAATTTAATTAATCAAATATTTTTTAAATAATTGAATTTTTTCGAAGAATGTTATTCATATAACATTCTTGAGAAGAATTAAAAAAATCTTTTTAAAGAAATGATTTTTCTAAAAAAATTTTATGAAAATTCTGTTTTAAATATAATTGAATTTAATTTTTTTATAATTAAATTATAGTTCTGAAGAGGACAGCTGTGCTGCCGAAACGTAAAAAGAATTGAATTTCTTTTATTTTTATTTTCCTTGACTCGGAGTGATCGTTAATTTTCACTATTTATTTATAATTGAATTTCCTTGAAAATTGTATATTATTTATGAAAATAATTGAATTCTTATCAAAAAATTTACTAAATTCCTGTAAAAATTTTATTATTTCAGAAAATAATTGAATTTTTGCAAAAAGAGTTTTATTATTTATGAAATTCATTCAATTCTTGTTAAGAATCTTATTAACTTTAAAAATAATTGAATTTTTGGGAAAAATTTTATTGAAATTTTCAAGAATAATTCAATTTCTACGAAAAATTTTATTATTTATTAAAAGAATTGAATTCTTAAGAAGAAATTATTATTTATTGAAAGAATTGAATTTTTAAGAAGAAATTTATTAACTTTTTAAAAAAAATTGAATTATTTTTGAAATAATTGAATTTCAGCGAACAATTTTGTTATTTATGATACTATTTGAATTCTTATCAAAAAATTTACTAAATTTTTGAAAATAATTGTATTTTGTTGAAAGTAATTAATTTCCTATGAAGAATTTGATTATTTATGAAAATAATTCAATTCCTGCAAAAATAAATTATGTATTTATAAAAATTATTTAATTCTTAATATGAATTTTATTAACTTTGAAAATAATTGAATTTTTGTGAAAAATTTTAGAAATAATTCAATTTCTGCGAAGAACTTTATTATTTATTAAACGAATTATTGAATTCTTAAGAATTCGTGACGAAAAATATTATTTAAAATTCTAAAAAATTAGTATTTTAAAATACCTAAATTTTTTTAAGAGATTATGAAATTTAAAAAAAAATTATTCAAATTTTCTGAAATAATGAAAATTTCCAAGAATTTGATTAAATATAATTGAATTCTTTCATAATTTTACTCTAATTTCACCGAAGAATTTTATTAATTTCAAAACTAATGGAATTCTTTCGGAAATATTTACTACATTTTTGAAAATAATTGAATCGCATGAAAAACAATTTACTTCTTGTAAAGAATTTTATTATTTATGAAAATAATTCAATTCTTAAGGATAAAATTATTACATTTTTTAAAATAATTGAATTCCTGGGAAAAATTTTGCTAGTTATGAAACTAATTGAATTCTTACGAATAAATTTCCTGAATTTTTAAAAATAATTCAATTATATTGAAAATAATTAATTTCCGGTGAAGAATTTTATTATTTATGAAAATAATTAAATTCTTGGTGATTCTTTCAAAGAATTATATTATTTTTAAGAATAATAGTCTTTGCATTTTTTGCGGAATTCATTTAAAATTGTATTTTAAAAATAATTGAAATCCTGCGATAAGTTTCAATATTTATAAAAATAATTGAATTCTTTCAAGGATAATTGTTAAAATTTTAAAAATAATTGAAGTATTAAATAATAGGTTTTAGCAGATGAGTGCAAGGCCTTCAAACTTTGGAGCAAATTTATGTAAATACACAAAGGGAAAATTAATTTTACGTATTTCGGAATTTAAGTACAAAATATAACTACAAATCTTAAGAGACTTACCCTCCATAATTTGATGAATACTTTGATTAATTGATTTTATAAAACATGTTTCTTTCGAAGCAAATAAACGCAAACAGTTAGGAAAACTTTGTTTTGTAAATCCTGTCACATGGTGGCTTCATTGTTTTCACTTGTATCTTCTTTGAAATCAATTTTTCACTCCGAAATAAATAGACCAAAAGCCTGAAAATTTCACTACTAGTAAAGCACACAAACTGGAACAAATTTGTTATTTTTAACTTATTTTTAAACGTAATTACTCCATTTTGTAAACAATTCAAAAGTTTCAAAGCTGTTAAAGAGCGGTGTTAAGGGCTGGGTAGGCAAAAGTATGTTTACGTTTATTGACAGAGTTGGATAACTCGACTCTCTGTCATTTTAAGCTCTGTTCATTGTTTTAAGCCTCTTTCACACCAAATATATCAACCCACCCCTGAATTTTTTTTCCATCTGTGATTTTTCATTGTGTCTTCTTGTCAATTTTTTTTGTCTTCGTGGTCACTAAACTCGGAAATTCGTTTTTTTTTTAATTGTAAATTTTCCCTTTCGTGATGCGTTCCGCATCGTAAATAATAAAACAACAACCAGTGAATCATTTTCAACTTTTTACACATATTTTCATAAATAAAAAGTAGAAAATTTTTGACGTGAAAAATGACGACTCGCATGGAAAAAGAACGTGCCAAACAGATTCAAGACAAATGTCAAAATTTGCTTAATCAAATGCTTCGCGATGAAGACAACAAGTATTGTGTTGATTGTGATGCCAAAGGTTCGTGAACTTTAAAAATATTAATTATAGAAAATTGATTAGGAAGTTACTTAATTTTTTTCGAAAATCGACTCTTCTCATTTCTCATCCGGCTTTGTTGTTCATTTCCGACCTAATTTGTTCTGATAAATTTTGCAAATTATTTTAATTGCACATTCTGAAAAAATTGTTTAGTTTTAAGTGTTAGGTGTTTATTGTTAGTATAAGAACAATAGAAATTGACGAGTGGAAATTATGGAATTTTACATATTTTTATTTTGCCTTCGCAGTTCTTATTTAGAAAAAATATTCTTATTTTTCATAAAAGCGATTCGACTGTTCGTTTAAATTGACAATTTGTTCAGGTTAAAAATACTTTTTGTTGCATAACTTTAATATGATTTGATTTCAAGTCTGTCATCGACATTGAAATTGTAACTGATAATAATTTTATCTAATTGATTTATAATGTGTGGAGTATTTTGAGTATGTATTATATTCGATTTTTGGTATGTTTTCTAATTTTTCAATAGGGAAAATTCTGGAATGGTATTTAAACAATTTATTAATTAATTATTGCTAAAGTATTCGGAAAATTATTCTCTGATTTTTGAGACGATTTTTTTAGGACCGAGATGGGCGAGTTGGAATTTGGGAATATTTCTCTGCATTCGTTGCGCTGGTATTCACAGAAATCTGGGCGTTCATATAAGCAAAGTGAGATCTGTTAATTTAGACACATGGACTCCGGAACAAGTTGTTGTAAGTTGGGAATTTGTTTATTAATTTTAATCTTAAAAAAATAGGATTAAAAGTGTTTTTTTCTTTTTCTTTGTAGAGTTTACAACAAATGGGAAATTCGAGAGCTCGAGCTGTTTATGAGGCGAATCTCCCGGATAGTTTTCGTCGTCCTCAGACTGACAGTAGCCTTGAAAATTTTATTCGTGCAAAATACGAGCATAAGAAATATATTGCCAGGGAATGGGTTCCCCCAACATTGCCCAAGGTGAGCAGAGAAGAAGAAGAATAATAAATAAAATAACAATTTTACTATTTCAAAATTGTTGAAAATTTATAACGTAATTTTTGAATTGAAGGTAAATTGGGATAAGGAACTCGATGAGGAGGCAGAGAAGCAACGAAGACGTAAAAAGGAAGTTTCAAAATCAAATGTATCGCAAGCTCCTCTGCCACCTGTGAAAAAGCCTGAAGTTGTGCCTCAATTGCCGAAACCAAGAAGCTCCGTTAGTCCAAAACCAAATAGAATAAGCAATTCTGGTGGCGGTGGCGGTACACTCGATCTACTCGGCCTCGGTATGATTTCCCTTTTTTATTGTTATTGAAAAGGAAGAACTTTTTCTTTTTGTTGGTTTTTTTAACTTAATTTGTTTTCCTCGTAAATATATTTGGATATTTTCATTTTCAACAGGTTCAACTGAAAATACAACCAGCTCAAATGGTTCAGATGATATTTTCTCCTCATTTCTGTCAGCTCCACCATCGAGTTCAGCTAACAATGATACTGCAAACACAACGACCAGTACAAGTAGCACAACAACAAAATCCGAAGAAGAGAGCTTTTTTAATCAAACCGTTCCCTCTGCTCAAGAAAAGAGCAAAATGACCAAGGACAGTATTCTAGCTCTTTATGGAACACCGAGTCATCAACAATCCGTTTTTGGAGTTTCTGGTTTGTTCATTTTCTATTCTTAATTCAATTATTTTCTATCTCGAACATTATTAAGACTTGATTAATATATTTTAATTCGTATAAATAAATTTCTGTTTTATATTTCAGGTGGCATGTTTCCACAACAAATGCCAGTACAGCAATTTGCACAACAAAATATGAATGCTTTCAGTCAAAACAGTTTTCCAAGTCAACAACAAGTGAATCAACAATTTCAAATGGGAATACAAGCAACAAATCAAATTCCTCAAATGTGTATGAATTCACAAATGACTGCAATGGGTGCTAATCAAATGGCGTTAGGACATGTTAATGGACAAATTAATTCTGCAATGACAATGCAAGCTCAAATGGTAAATAAATATTTTTAAATTCCATTCGTTTCTCTAAATAAACAGGATTTGCGAAAGGTCTGGAAAATCAGGGAAAAGTCCAGATCCTTGCATATCCTGAAAGTCTTTTTTACCTTGAAAACTTTAAAAAAACAGTGAATTTCAAAAAATAGCTTTATTTTACTTATTTCAGTAGATAATTAAATCTATTTTCATTACCTAATTAAATTCTTGAATAAATTTTCTATAATTGTGAATTACAATAAACTTAAAAAAATTTTAGTTAAAATTCATTTTCTCTGAAGGTATTAATAGTAAATGCATATTTAAAAAATTATTTCAATTTTAGATGTCTGAGAAATTTTAATTCAATTTTTTAAAGAAACTTTAATTTTCTAAAAGTATTATTTAATTGTATTGTAAATAATTGAATCCCTGCAACAAGAATTTTATTAATTTATGAAAATCATTCAGTCCTTATTAAGAATTTTATTAACTTTGAAAATAATTGAATTTTTATGAAAAATTTTATTGAGATTTTTACAAATAATTCAATTTCTATGAAGAATTTTAATATAATTATTAAAAGAATTGAATTTTTAAAAAGAAATTCAATTCAATTTCTGCGAAGAACTTTATTATTTATTAAAAGAATTATTGAATTCTTAAGAATTCGTGTCGAAAAATATTTAAAATTCTAAAAAATTTGGTATTTAAAATATCTAAGTTTTTTTTAAAGATTATTAAATTTGAAATAAAAATTATTCAAAATTTTCTAAAATAATTAAAACTTCCAAGAATTGGATGAAAAATAATTTAATTCTTTAATTCCTAATTTTATTCTAATTTCTCCGAAGAATTTTATTAATTTCGGAACTAATTGAATTTTTTCGGAAAAATTTACTAAATTTTTAAAAATAATTGAACTGAAATGAAAATAATTTATTTCTTGGGAAGAATTTTATTATTTATGAAATTAATTCAATTCTTCCCTATAAATTTATTACACTTTTGGAAATAATTGAATTGTATTGAAAATAATTGAATTCTTTAATAATTTTTCTCTATTTTTTTAAATAATTGAGGATAGTTCGCGACAGTATAATTAATTTTATTTTTAAAACATAGACACTTAAAATTTTGAATACAATTTTTTTTTCTATAAAAATTAGCTTTTTCGGTTTTTTTTATTGTATTGATTTGAATATTTATAAATTTCTTTAATAAAAATCTACGGGATCAAATTAATATGGAATATTTATTAATAAATATTCAAGGGCAGTTGAATATTTCTTATGGGAAACAGGGAAAAATTAAAAATTCTCTCTAGAAATCAGGGAAAAGTAAAAAAAAAAAACGAAATCAAATTTCTGAACTTTGATGGAAGAATGTAATTTTTTTCTCTCTTTCAGATGAATCCCCTTGGACAAAATAACATTGTTGGTAATAATTCGTGGAGTGGAATGATGACAAATCCAAATATCCTACCAGCACCAGGAAGTAATCCTTTCTTCAATTTACCAACGCAACAAATTCATAATTCCAATCCTGCTCCTCAGGTCTGTTCATAATTCTAATCAATTATTACATTTCCCAATAATTTTTGTTGATTTTTATCATCATTTAAAGAATTTTAAATTTATTTTGAAGAAATGAATTTGAATCAAAAACAAAAAATTTTCTAGTTGCAACAACAAATGTCTCAACTTTCAATGAATGGACTTGGATTTACGGCCGCAAAACCAGCAAATTCTGCATTGCCTGGACAAACTCTCTCGACGAATCTCTGGCAGTAACGAAACAAATGGAATATAAAATTAAAATCTTTAGGCCGTTGATTTGTTTGATGTCACACTAGTATTTACAAAAAAAAGTATTTGTTACGAAGCGCATCATTTTCATCATAAAGCTTCAAAAATACAATTTAACGTTGGCACCAAGGAAAAACGTTATTTTTCAGCACTTGTAAATGAATGTTTATGGACAGCAAAATTACGACAGAATTACAAAAGAAAAATTATTCAATTGTCAAAAATCAAGGAAACGAGGTAATTCCGAAATTTTTCAATTTCGAGTCCCGTGACTCAAAAGTAAAATTTCGATTCTTGATTTTTAAATTAAATCGTAGGACAAAATAATATTTATTCTTTACGTGTCTCCAGCGTTTAAACGTTTAGATTTTTCTTTTATACTCATTCTAGTTAAAAAAAGAACATAATTATAAATTTTTTAAATTAAAACCAAATTTAGATTAGATTTTTTAAAAAATTCTGACGAATTTATTATTTATTATTATGACTGGAGAGAAGTAAAGAGCGTAGATAACAAAAACAGTAAAAATGGTAAAAATAACTTAAAAAGGAAAAAAAAGTTGATTAGAATACTAGATTGCCTATTTTTCTTCTCGAAACTTATAAAATGGAAGAGAAAATATTCCTCTAGCTAGTATATTTGTCGACTGATTTTAAGTGTGCGTGTGTGAAATTGTTCTTAAAAACAATGAGCAAACAAAATGTAAAGTTAGATTTTCATTGTTTGTAACAACACGATTTTTTCGTTAATAATATTCCATACATCACAAGTATACTTTGAAAATTTTAATTCTTTATAAAGTTTCTTTTCTTTACTAAATTTTCTTTATAAATGAATAATTGAAATTCTTTTGAATTTACTATCGATTGAATAGAATTTTATTTTTAATCAAAACAGCGAAAATGTTTAGGTAAAATTTTTAAGGCGATCTTTATTTTCAAAACTGAAAAACCGTCCGAAATACGAATTTATGATGCGATATTTGATTTAAACGAAAATTTGACAATAATTATTCATTTCTGATCATATAATTAAAATCAGAGAAGAAAATTTTAAGAAACTTATGACTCGTTTGTTGTTACAAAATTGAAACGAGTTTAATTGAATAAATAATTCTAAAAATTACTGTCAAAGTCGAGAAAAAATCGCTTTTTTTATTTTTTTTTTAGAAAATAATTTCGTTTGGAAAAATTCTGCAAAAAAAAAACGCCTTGAAAATTAAAAATTAACGATCATTTTTTAAGGAAAGTGCAATGTAGAGAAATTTGTGATAATTTTTTTTCTCTTTTTTTTCGAAATATTTCTCTCCTTAAGCTTTTTTTTTAATCGTCACGCTTAATTTTTTTGACTTATATATATATTATGATAGAAATTTGAATTTATTTACGAAATTAATTTATGTATTGAAATATTTACATGATTTTTTTTAGTTTTCTTCACGTTTTTTTAATTTTTTTTTTGGGCATTTATAGGAGCAAATTTCTTTAGAATATTTTAATTCCTCTTATAAATTATGCAAATAGAGAAAATTCGCGCACATAGCCGAATTAGTCGTTAACTCACAAAAAGTATTTTTTTATTTTCTTTTTGTGTGCTAATAATTGTAAAATATCCATACTTTTAATTATTATACAATAAAATACTAAATTGCATTTATTACTTCTGAATAAATTGTACAATAACCAGTAATACAGTGTGCTGTTGTACAACGTCAAGATTTAAATCATGCGCGTGAAGAAATATATATAATTGATATGTAAAAACAATTTTTTTTATTTCATTTTAACAACCCCTTTAATTTTAGGTTATGTTTAATGTCAAAAGTATAATTTTCAATGAATTTTTTCTAAACGGTTTCGAATCGTTTTAATTAAGAATTAAATAAAAAAATTCTATAAATAATTCTAAAAACATTTAATCTGTAAATAAATAAACGAATTTTAAATACCGTAGGGAGCAAAAAATGTGGAACGCTTCACGATTTTGCGTGTCATCCTTGCGCAGGGGCCATGCTAATCTTCTCTGTATCGTTCCAATTTTAGTATATGTACTGCCGAAGCAAGTACACAAGTTTGTCGAAAATATTTTCTTATATACTAACTGCACACTTTATTCTACACTTGCGAGAGATATTTTGTACATGAAACCTATCGGTAGCCATCTAACAGACATAATTAGATTTAACACTGTAGATAATTTTTCGGGAAATCTACCTTACCCACAAATTCAAATAATATTTCGTTTCTTGTTTTTGGACATTCTTCGGATTCTACAAGTTGGAAATTCTACCTTTTGGATCTTTTGGATATTCTACTAGTGTTGAGAAAAATGACCTCGATTTTTTTTTTGTAAAATTGATCTAATAACAAACCGAAAAATTTAAAAACAGCGCCATAATGACAGTAGAAATTGAACCAATCACGTTCGTCATCCATCTACATTTCCTGTCATTCCTAACCTATAAACTATCAAAATTATCTTTTCAACAACCAATGAGAATGCACATTACACTAGTAAATTTGCCTCCGATTGGTTGAAATCAACATGTTTTTAATTTGACCGGAAGTTAAATCAAGTTGCGCGGCGCAGGCAACTTTTCTTTTTCGGCGAGAAACGCTCTTTTGCCCAAGTGACTGTTTTAGAGACACGTGCATTCCCTAAAAAATAATGGATAAACCAGTTGTTTTAGCGCGTGTTATTAAAGTTTTGGGCCGCACTGGATCACAGGGCCAGTGTACCCAAGTCAAAGTTGAATTTTTAGGCGAACAAAATCGTCAAATTATCAGAAATGTAAAAGGACCAGTAAGAGAAGGTGATCTCTTAACCCTCCTCGAATCTGAACGTGAAGCAAGAAGACTTCGATGAGTTTTACATTTTAAAAAACTACTATTCCAAAATACAAAAAAATGGGTAAGTTGTGTTTATGCTCCAAAAGTTATTTTGCACATTTTAAGTGGGTCGGTGTTATTTTTCATTTTGAGGTTATCATCCTGACGTCCCACGTTGGAAATTCGCATTTATCACGTGGAACTTGTATTTTTTTGTTCTTCAACTTATTCCGAATCGTGTAATCCAAAGCAAACATTATTTTATATAAACAAAAATTAACATTACATAAATAATAATAATAATACTCCAAGAGTGGAAACCTAACCTAAAAATTTCTTCGAATTAAAAATTTTTCTTAACATATTTTAAGTAATTGTTTTTAATCTTTTGATATTTACATACTTTGCTTAAGATTTTTGCATTATTTTTGAAATATATCTATTTTGTCTATATCTGAGTATGTAAAAATAATAAATATTTCGAAGAATCATTATTTTGTCACCGGTTTAAAAAATTCTATTGATTCTATTTAATCTTCTTAAAATCTGAATTTTAATTAATCTTTTTTATAAATTTAATTGTTCCTCATTTTAATGTTTCAGTTACCAGTATCTTTGTAAAAATGGAAGAACATCAACACCTGTGTGGGGAATTTGCCGATGATGTCCTTATTTTCAACGACTATTTATAAATGATTTTATATACTCCATCAAGTTAAAAATATACTTCTGGTAACCAAACAATCTTCTGCATTTTTATTATCAAATTTCAAAAAAAAGTTTATTTACATAATTTTGCGATAAAATAAATTATTTGCTATATTTTTCGAATACAGTAAAACTATGGAAATTACTGGCCTACTAAAAAATCTACTAATATTTACTATTTTCAATTATTTTCACAAATTTTTCCTAATTCAATAATTTTTAGTATCTACTATTTTAATAAAAAATTTCCCAAAAAAATTGAATAATTTTTAAAAAATATTTATAAAATTCTTTGCAAAAATTCAATTATTTTCATAAATAAAAAAATGTTCAAAGGAATTCAATTATTTTATAAATAATATAATTCTCAGGAATTCAATTATTTCTTAAAATTTTAATAATAATCGTTGCAAGAATTCAATTATTTTTATAAATATTACAACTTATCGCAGGATTTCAATTATTTTTAATATAATTTTAAATTAACTCCGCTTAAAACGCAATTATTATTAAAAATTTGAATAAAATTCATCGAAAAAATTCAATTATTTAAAAAAATTTGTTCATTGTTTCTTAGAGTGTAATAATTATTTTCAATTCATTTTTAATTAAATTTCTTAAATGAATTTAATTATTATAAAAAAATTTAATGCAATTCTTCGTAAACAATTCAATTATTTAAAAAAATGTTGATAAAATTCTTTAGAAGAATTCAAGTTTAAAAAATATTTAATTATTCATTAAATTATTTATTTTTGTATATAAATAATTGAATTCTCGTAGAACTTTCTTTTAAGAATTGAATAAAATAAAATGATTAAAGTTTTGAATAATTTTATTTATAAATTCCAAGAAAAAAATGATTGAATTTTGAAAAAATTCCTTTTGTAATTAAAAAATTTCTTTTTTTTAATTATAAAAAAAATTCAGTCTTTAAGTTTAATTAATTCGATAGCTGCTTTTTTTTACTTTTAAACTTAGTTTTATTTACATAAAATGTATTGTTAAAAAAAGATAAGATTTCCATAAACACTGAATATGGTGGACATTTGACATTAATAGAAAATTGAAGTAAAAATTATCGTTTCTTAAGTGTAGAATGAAACGTTTGAATTTTACAATAATTTTATCTTAATACTTGAATAATTACGGATAGAAAAAAAAGTATTTACAGTTGTTTTTGGGTAATACTTAAAATCTTACTGAGATTTATACTTAAAAGTTAACAGTAAAATTTATTCATAGTATTGTAAAACTATTCTAGGTAACATTTTTTATAAAATAGATACAAAACAGTCAATTTAAATTCTTCGACGTTTCGGAGGTGGCGTATCGCGAGGACTAGAAGATGCTTTAGATGAACTATCAATACTTTGTCTCGTTGGTCGTTTTGGCGCTCTCTTTGGGCCTTCTCGATTTGATTCCGATTCTTTGCGCTCTTTCTTGATAACAACGACTGCGAAAAGAATATTTTCTTTATTTGTTTTCTATTTTTCGCATTTATTAAAATTTTTCTATTTACTTAAATAAAACTTACAAGGAGCTAAAAATAACTTTAAAATATCTAAATATTTCTAATATTTGGAATAATAAATACCTGGTTCTTCTTGTTCGTCCTTTCCTTTTAATCTGCCTTTGGCGGGTGTTTTTTGTTCCTTTTTAACATCCTTGACTTCCTTTTGTTTCTCCTTCTTAACTTCCGGTTCTTTGGCAACTTTTTTCACTTCCTCCTTTTTCTTTTCAATCTCCTTTGGAGTTTTTGTTTCCCGGGGTATTTCCTTTTTCACTGGTTCCTTAACTTCTTTCTCCTTTTTCACCTCTTTTTGCTTCTCCTTTTGCTCCTTCAACTTAGCCTCTTGCTCTTCCTGACGGTACTTAATTATATCCTGAAATTCCGCTTCGGGAAGACTGAAATCGGCTTCGTTGCTGGGAAACGGAAAATCCTCCATATCATCCTAAAGATGAAGAGGGAAAAAAATAAAACCGGCGTCTGTTCTATTAGATTACATTTAGAAAATTTGTTTTTACTAATGAAATTAAAAATGAAACAATAAAACATACCAGTGACATTAAATCGTACATTGACTCCAAGTGATCCCAAATTGTTTTCAAGGACACTTCCTTGTGAATAGCAGCACGAAATTTCTCCCAAATGCAAACCATGTGGAAATATTTGTTTACTCCTAAAAATAGATGGGAAATTTTCTTAAGATCGCATATTTTTAATTTACTTTTTTACAGAAGCTGCAGAAGTTAACAAGATAAACAAAAACTATCCTCTAATGAAATTTTTAATAAAAGAATTTTATTCAATATTAATATAAAACATACCAACTGGTTTGTGACCATTCATTGCAAAGAAAAGTTGTATTTCATTTTCCACATTCCACTCGATTTCCTCAGTGGAGTCGGATTGTTTTTCTTTGACAGCCATTCTTAACATCAAATAAATAAAACGTCAAACGAAAATACAATTGCGAGCGAGACTTTTTGTTTTTGATTTTACAAGGCTCAAAAGTTGTTTAGGGTTATTAAAAGCAGTGAACATATCAGGGTTGAGAAGCTATAAAGAGAGTTTATTATTAAGGTGTTTTCACATCTCGATTAGTGTTAAAAACCCCTCTTGTTTCCAGCGAATCGTGAACTCGCCTTTATGAAAATCGGTAAATTTTTTTAGGTTAGGTCTGTTCGTGAGACAGTCAATCAGCTGATAATCCAAAAAATTGTTTTTGATATCTAATTAACGTTTAACAATTTTATTGGCATTTAATTATATCTATATTGTACATAGAAACATGGAAAGTGATAATCCAGACATCAAATGGGCACTGGATTTACTTTCGTTTGATCCTTTATACGAACCACATCTTATTGCAAAATATTGGATGAAAATACCTCCTTTCGTAGTTGGTCCTGGACTAGCTTGTTACATAAATCATACTAGAGGATTAAAAGCCTTTTCTCGTAAGTTATAAATTTAATAATAATTTTTTTTGTACTCTGATAAACGTATCTTGAATTTCAGACATTTAAAAAATCTGAAAAGTAAAAATATTTTTGTTTATTTTGTATCTTTTCAACATATAAATGAATCCTGTTGTGATGTTATGATATTTTATTACTACTATTTGGATATTTTTTTTAGATTTGTGACACTAAACACTAATTTTTTTTTGCATTTTTAAATCCTCTAATAGTTGAAATAAAAAAATTATTTTCAACAATTTTAATAAAATTCTTCGATACGATTCAATTATTTACAAATACAATTATTTTGAAAAATTTGTCAAAATTCTTCTCAAAAATTCAATTATTTTCAAAAATCAGACAAAATTCTTCGCCAAAATTCAATTATTTTCAGAAATAAGATAAAATTCTTCGCAAAAATTCAATTATTTTGAAAAATTTTAATTAAATTCTGTATGAAAATTGGAATATATTTTCAATGCAATTTTAATTAAATTCCTCGAAAAAATTCAATTACTTTCGAAAATTTTAATAAAATTAATTATTTTTAAAAATTAAATAAAATTCTTAGCAAAAATTCAATTATTTTTAAATGTTTTCATTAAATTCTTTATGAGAATTGAAATGTATTTTCAATACAATTTTAATTATATTCCTCGAAAAAATTCAATTATAAAATTCTTCGCAGTAATTTGATTATTTTAAAGAATATTATTAAAATTGTATTATTTTGAAAATTCCAATAAAATTGTTTGTTAAAAAAAATTTAATTAATTCCTAAATAATATAATTCTTCGCAGAAATTCAATTATTTTGAAAAATTTTGTTAAAATTCTTTATAAGAATTTAATATTATTTTTAATAAAATTCTTACCAAGATTTCAATTATTTTCACAATTAATAACATTTCTCAAAAGAATTCAATTATTTTGAATAAATTTCTTAGCAATAATTCAATTATTTTCATTAATGATAAAAATGTTTACAGAAATACAATTTTTTTTTTCTTAAAAATGTTCTTACAATTCTTCGAAAGAAATCAATTAATTATTTATAACATTTTTTTTTTTGAACAAAATTATTAAATTATTAATTTAAATTTAACAAAAATCACTCCAGTTTTGAATAATTTAATATAGAAATTATGAAAGAAGTCTTTTGAAAAATTGTAATTAAAATTTTTTGAAGATAGTACAATTCCTGTATAAATAATTTAAAAAGATTAAATTAAATTTCCAATTAATTGGAAATTTTGTTAAATTTCATTGAAATAAATTTTATATTTTAAAGAATTTAATTTTTTTATTACTTTTAAAAATTATTTTGAAATATAATTCTATTTTTAAAGAATTCTAATCTAAACTTTGAAAAATATTGAATTTTAGAAAAATTGAGAATTGAAATTATTACCAGGACGAGAAAAAAAATTAATTTTATTTTTTTTTATTGAAATCTGGAAAGTCAGGAAAGTATATAGTGAATCAAATTTTTGTTAATCGACTAAAATGAATTTCATTTTTGGCGTTAAATTTAATTTTTCGAATAAAATTTTAATTATTTTTCTTTACTTTTTCATACATTTTTTTTATCTACTTTTGTTTATAAATTGATTTTAAATTCTCGAAATTATTCCACTTTAGGACCTTATTTACATCTCGGAATAACAGCCGTATTATTCGGTTGGGGATATGCAGCAGAAAGTTATGTGAATAGAAGAAATGCTAGAAGAGATGCAATTTTACGAGATTACATAATTCGCCATCCTGAAGATTTTCCTCCGCCTGGTAAATTTCACAAATATCTCATTATGAATTCTACAACTAATATTTATTATTATAATTGCAATTTCAATTATCTTGACTCATAAAAAAAAATGTTAAGAATAAAAATAAATTGCAATTTAAGAAAAATTGAATCAAAATAATATTTGAATAATTATTTTTTCAGAACGCAAAAAGCATGGAGAATTATTCAATACATGGATACCAATACGATAATGAGGTAAAGTTAATTAATAGCTTTTTATTATTACTATTATCTTATTTCTGCGAAATAGACAAACAGAGATAAGTGAAACAAACGTCTTGTAATTAATGGTTGAAATAAATAAATATTGTCAATATGAATAATAAGAATTCTAAAATCAAATTTCTTTTTCAACAAAAATTGTATCTTATTTTCAACGAATCATTTTTTATGTGACAGTTTTCTTATTTTTCTATAAAAAATTGAATTTGAGCAATAGGATTTTTTTTATCTTCATCATTACAATTGCATTTAACACACACTCAAATAATCATGCACCATTGACAAGAACAAAACAAAAAAAAGAAAACAAAAATAAAAACACTAATAACAAAATGAATCCTCGACAATGGATTCGAAAGATTGTTCGCGAAATTTTTCGTTAATTCATTTAAAAAAAAGCATTCGATCGACACTAAATATTTTAATAGGCGCTCTCGTAAAAGTTGACGATAAACTCATTCTTCGAAGAGAATAAGTTGTCGATTTTTCAAAATTATTTTGATATCGTTTATATCATCGTTTACGGGGGGTTTCTTTTACAGGAAACGGCGTTACTTTGTACAAAGTCTCGAAGTCTTTAAAATATTTTCAATGTGAAGAATATTATTTTATTTTCTCAGGATTGTAGATATCATTCGAATATCCTGTGCCTTTTGCGTCTCCAACCCAGGGATATTTATTCGGACATTCCCTACATGCTTCCAAGTATCTAGAAACAAAAATTTAAATATAGAACGTTTTTCTTTTTCTAATAATATTTTCTACTTTCCTGTTATTATTAAGGTTGAATTTTTGAATCTAAAACTTATTTGAAAATTGAAGTTGATTTTGAGAATAAAAAATTTTTTAATTTGTATAGATAGCAATATAATAATATAAATTTGAAATCAGCATTGCAGGGTGCAAATTGTGTCTAAAATAATTTAATTTCGAAAAAATAACAATTACAATTTTTTAATAACTTAGAAAAATTGTAATTTCTTATTTTTTTAATTTTAAACAAATTTAAATTTATAATCTTACCTAACTGAAGTAAAATTAGACTCTGGTGGTTTAAAGTCCAGAGCACATTTATTAGGATTATTGCAAGGTGGTCCGGGAATATTTCCTTTCTTTGCACATGCCCATCCTCCGAAATTATGCAACTCATTGAGTGGCTTTGGATCTGTTATCCAAGTTAGGGCTTGCGTTGCAGTTACAAAATAAACGTCAGGTCTGTAAATTAAGATAAAAATTTATTTCTTTTCTCATTTCAAAATTGTTATTTATTAATTAATCAATTTCTTGTTTTTAGGAGAAATAAAGAATAAAAGTAGCTTAAAGTCCGAAAAAAGTAGCTATCGAATTAATTAAACTTGACGACTCAATTTTTCTATAATTTCTTAATTACATTCAAAAATAGAATAATTTTTTTAAATAAATATTTAAATACCTATTTATTTTGTCTACAGGAATTAAAATATTTCAAATCATTTCAAAGTAACGCATTTTTGAAATTTAACTATTTCTAAAAATTACAAAAGTAATTCTTTCAAAATCCAATCATTTTTTTTCTTGAAATTTATAAATAAAATTATTCAAAACTATTATCATTTTATTTTATTCAATTCTAAATCAATTCTTATTAGAAAGTTCTACGAGAATTCAATCTGATTCAATTATTTAAATAATAAATAATTTATCTGAAAAATTGAATATTTCTTAAAATTGAATTCTTATAAAGAACTTTATCAACATTTTTTAAAATAATTGAATGTTTACGAAGAATTGTATTCAAATTTTTGATAATAATTAAATTCATTCAAAAAATGTAATTGAAAATGAGTTGAAAATAATTATTACACTCTAAGAAGCAAATTATATCAAATTTTGTTAAATAATTGACTTTTCTCGAAGAATTTTATTAAAATTTTTAAGAATAATTGCGTTTTTAACGGAATTAATTTTAAATTACTTTAAAAATAATCGAAATTCTGCGATGAGTTTTTATTATTTATGAAAATAATTGAATTTTTATCAACGAATTTTAATAAAGTTTTTAAAATAATTGCATTCTTGAGAAGAATTTAAAAAATCTTTTTAAAGAAATATTTTTTTTTTCAAAAAATTTTATGAAAATTGTGTAATTATTTTAAATAATTGAATATCTTTGAAAATTGTATATTATTTATGAAAATAAATAAGAATTGTTTCAAAAAATTTTATTAAAATTAATATTTTTGCCTGATTTTTTAAAACTTTTGAATATAAATAAATTTCTGTGAAGAATATTATTATTATTTTTTAAAATAATTAATTTCCTAAAAGGAATAATGATATTATTTAAGAAAATAATTGAATTCTTAAAAAGAATTTTATGAAAATAATTGAATTCACTGTAGAAAATTTTCTTATTTATAAAAATAATTCAATTATCACGAAAAATTAATCAATTATTTATTTATTATTTGTAAATAATTGAATTCCTGTCTAATTTTTATTATTTATGAAAATAATTAAATGTTTGCGTAGAAAATAATTGAATTCTTTTAAAGAAGTTTATTAAAATTTGTGAAAATAATTAAATTCTTTCCAGGAATTTGATTATTTATGAATATAATTGAATTCTAGCCGAAAAAATGTGTTAATATTTTTAATAATTGAATTGTTGCGAAGAATTTTATTAAAATTTGTGAGAATAATTAAATTCTTTCAAGAAATTGAAAACAATTATATTGAAAATAATTAAACTCTGTCGAATAATTTTATTAAAGTTTTTGGGAAAAAATTGAATTGTTCCGAAGAATTTTATTAAAATTTGTTGAAAATAATTAAATTATTTTAAGGAATTTAATTACATTTGTTTAGAAATTAATTGATTTATTCTGAAAAATGTTATCAACATTTTTGAAAATAATTGAATTATTTCGAAGAATTTTATTAAAATCAAAATTAAGAAAAAGAATTATTGAATTCCTTGTAAAAAATTTTATTATTTATGAATATAATTGAATTCTTTAGAAGAAGTTTATTAAAATTTGTAAACACAATTAAATTCATTCCAGGAATTTTATTATTTATTAAAATAATTGATTTTTTGCCAAAAAAATTTCTTAGTATTTTTGAAAATAATTGAATTTTGCAAAAAAAATTTTTGAACATGATTGAAATTCTCTAAAGAATTTTATTACTTTTGAAAATAATTGAATTTTATAAAAATCTATTTAAATAATTGATTTTTTTCGAAAAATATTAAGAAAATTCTGTTTTAAGTAATTGAATTCCTGTGAAAATTTTTTTATTTATGAAAATAATTGAATGTTTGCGAAGAATTTTAGAAACTTATTGGAATAAAAATTAAGAAATAGAAAGAAAACTTACTGTTCAAGGGCCCAGTCTAAAAATTTATGAAGACCTCGTTCGAGTTCTTTAATTTGAAACCAATTTGTGTGGAATGTCATCATATATGGAGCACGATTCTGTCTATAGTAGCGATCAAAATCTTCTCTAAGCCATTCAAAAACTTCATGAGGATCGTGATTGTGAAGTACACATTGATCGAGGTATGGACAATGACCGCCTTCGTAGGTCTCGACGTAGTGAGCATTTAAAGGTAGTTCCCAAATTCCTGAAAATTATTTTCTAAATTACTGTATGTACTTTAAAAATGTTTTCTTTTTTTACTACTTTTTTCAGTCTTAAAGCTACTTTTTTAAAATTAATTATCGATTTAATTAATTACGCGAAATCTGTTTTCTAATTTTAGTTTCTTATTTTCGAATTTTAGTTCTTTATTTTCAAATTTTACCTTTTTATTTTCAAATGTTAGTTTTCTATTTTTAAATTTTAGTTGTTTAGTTTCATATTTTAGTTATCTATTTTCAAATTTTAGTTTTCTATTTTAAAATTTTGTTAGTTTCCTATTTTGTTTTCGAAATAATTTCTCAAAAATTCTTAATTGTGAATGAAAATAATCTTTTGATTTTTTCCAAGTTCAGTTTGATACCTGGGAAAGATCTCGTGGGACACGTTCCCGATTTGCATTCGTGGGGGATTTTATAATCGAGAGTATAAGGCCAGATAGGAACCTTAAGAGGTGAAATTCCAATGCTACTGTCATAAATGTAACCAAAATCTTCAATGACACTGTACTGAGTATTTCGTCCTGGTTTTAAATATGGAGCTCTCATACCAGCAACTTCGGAACTTGAAATATTGCTAAAGTTTTTAAGAATTTCTCTCATTCCAATCATTTCGCCCACCCATTCTTCATAGCCTTTATCTTCTAAGCCCTTTTGAAGTCTAAAAATAAATAATTCACAATTATCGCACATCAATTTTTCCAAATATTCATTTTATAGAAAATTAAATTGTGCATAATTTTAAAAAATCAACTTACGAAATTGTTTCAGTCGCAATTTCATGTCCATCGTGAGCGAGACTTTGAACCATATTGTAATTACAATATTCGTGAGAAATGAAGAATGTACCTTTCAGAGGACAATTATTTGGATTTATTCGATCTTTGGTGAATATTTTCTGATAGTGATCGAAGTTATTGTGATTTATCGCCCCATCGAAAGTCATTATTATCATCTGTGGTGTCTGTAAATTATTTTTTGGTTAATTAGAAAAGAATTCAATTTTTAGTTTCAATTTTTAGTTTTATTTTCTGATTTCAGTTTTTAGTTTCATTTTCTGGTTATTCAGATTTTAGTTTCACTCACATCTTTTGGTTGAAGACCACCAGGAATAATTGTTCCATCTCTAGAGCAGAAGCAATAGGGAAGTTGGCATTGTGATGTATCACATCGTTCTGCTAAATCAGTTGGTGGATCTGTTGCTGGAGCTGGTGCTACAAAATTTAGTGAAACATTCAAATTAATATTAATAATTAATATTATATAAAGGAGAGAATATTTTTTTTTATGAGAGAAAATTTTATTCTAATTACTCGTTGCAATTGGACCACAGCGCGCTTCATTCTTGAATGTACAGAATTTACTGATGTCATCAAAGTGAAGACCTGACGGACATCTATTTAAATATGGATAACCATCGACACACTGAAATTGAGAAATTTTTAAGTTTTTAAATTAATATTTCATTCCGAAGAATTTTAGTTTCTTTCTTCTTCTATCTTTCCTCTAACAATCGAGATTGTGCAAAAATTTTTAACGCTTCAATGATTCGTCTATGGATGTAATGAAATTTTTTGTGAAAATTATTACACTCGTTAAAATCTTTTGTAATGATATTGACAAACTTTTTTTGTTAATATTACCACAATAGCCAAATATAATCGTCTTTCCTTGACACAATGCATAATTACTTGCAGAATTTTCAGTTATGAGAAAGGAATTATTTCCGGTTTCATTGTCTATTTTAATTATCAACACAAGACTGAAGGCTTCGTACTCTTCTACTGAAAACTACTATTTTTATTAATTTTTTTTACAATTTTCTACTATTTGGATACTTTTTTTTAACCATTTAAATAAAATTTCTCCAAAAAAATTGAATTATTGCTGAAAATTTTAAAAATGAAATTAAAATTCAATTATTTTTAAAAATTTTGATGGATTTAATATCTAATTGTCAAAAATTTTATGAGTTGAATTAAAATTAAATTATTTCCAAAAATTGTGATAAAATTCTTCCGAAGAATTCAATTATTTCTAAAAATAAATAAAATTCTTCGCAAGAATTCAATTATTTTCATAAATAATAAAATTCTTCAGAAAAGTTCAATTATTTTTAATACAATTATAAATGAATTCTTCGAAAAATGCAATTATTTTTAAAAACTCTATTAAAATTCTTTGAATGAATTCAATTATTATAAAAAGTTTTGACAAAGTTCTTTATAAGAATTCAATTTTAAGATTTATTCCTGCATTGAATAAATTATTTATTTTTGTATAAATAATTGAGTTCGTAGAACTTTCCAATAAAAATTGATTTAAAATTGAATTTCAGTTAAAATTTTTTAGAAATGTTAAAAATAATTAAATTTCAAAAGATTTTTGAATTGAAATCTTTGAAAATTGTAATTGTTGTAAAATTGTAATTTTTAAATTTTTATTTTGAAAGAAAATTATTAAAGTTTTGAATAATTTTAATTAAATATTGATTTTAAAAAATTATTCTATTATGAAAAAATTCAGGCGTCAATTTTAATTTTTCGAAAATTACTTTTTTACTCCTTCTTTTTGTTTTAAGGCTACTTTTTGATACTTTCTTAAAATTAATTATTGAGTACGAAACCTGAAAGAGTTGAAAGGAGAAAAATATTAATTCTTCGAAAAATTTGGTAATTCGTTGAATTAATACTCTAAAGAATTTAAAATATAATTTTTTTTTGGAATCGAAATATTAAAATAAAATTACCTGATAAAATCTTCTACAAGTTAGTGGATCGGCGAAATTTCCATTTCCTTGACCTTCGGGACATTTGAATTCCTCGTCTTTTTTCTCTTCTTCTTTTTTGGCTTTTTGACCATTAACTGAAATATTTGAAAATATTTATGTAAATAAATATTTATAAATTTCGACAAAAAAGGGAAATTTATTTATTTAGATTTTAATTTACTTTTTAGAAAGAAAATTTCATTTTTAATTTTGCAGATCAACGATCTTGTAATAAATTGAGTTTATTCCCACTTTTGCTGCTTATACCTTTCAATTAATTTTTACAGATTAAAATGCAAAATGCAAGATTGAAAAATAAGGTTGATCAAGCAGCTTACATTTTTTCTAATATATTACCATAAAATATTTTATACACTTTAAACAAAATTAATAATGAAAAAGTAAATTTAAAAACATTAATTACGATTGGAACTTATTGGTTTTTTAAATATTTTTTTCCTAATAATAATATGATTATAAAAAATATTTTTTTTATAAACTGTAAAGTTAGGGAATTTACGGAATTTTCAGTTCATTAACAATTTACATCATTTTAATGAATCTTGTGCAATTTTACAATTTAAATCTCGTAACTTCATAAGTGTAACAGAGTTAATCACACCCATTGCTGGAATTTTTTCAAATGCAAATTACAGCAGTTGGATGGTATCTTTAGTAGGTCATTTTCAGTATTTGCATTCACAATTTATAAATGAATGTATTTCTTTGTCAACTCGTTTGTCTATTTTCTTGATACAATTTTAATCTTCATGTTTTTACACCCACTTTTTTATTTTATTTTTCCCTTTAACATAAAATCTAATATTAATATTTAATTATAATTATTAATATTTATTATATTCGATACAATTATTTTTCAAAATCATAATAAAATTCTTCGCAATGATTCAATTATTTTTTTTTAAATTTCAACAACAAACAAATTATTCCTTAATTAATTATTTAATTAGAATATAAACCGTTTTCATACATAAATTTGAAGAATTTATAATTAATTTGGATGTTTCATTATTTTTTATTTGAAAAATTTTGTTTTTAAAGAAGTATCACACCATTTTGAGAATTTTATTAAAAATTCTAAAAAATAACTACAAATTTTTGAAGAAAACTGGTAAATGTGATTAGAAAATGGGCGAGAGAAATTCCGATGGGACCCAGAAAAAAGAGAGGTTTGAGAAAGTGAGAAACTTTGTTGCGGACATTCCAATATCTCAATGACACATTCGGCCCAAACATTAATTCTCCAATTTTTTTTTCATTTTTTTCTTTCTTTTTTTAAATACACAAAAACCTGTTCGGATAAAATGCCTCCTGAGACAAGTTCATTTTCCATTTAACTTATTTTCGGAACTTGACGTTTATTTTTCTTCAAGAGCGAAACTATTTTACATATAATATTTTGTTTCCAATTTTTCAGTGAAAAGATAGGTAATCGACCTTTAAAATAATTTTAAAAATTATCGAACATATTTGGAATTTAAATATTGACCTTGAATGTCTGGAGAAGTTAGAGATCTAATGAAAAAACATCGTCATTTTTAAAAATAAATGTTTAAAAATTATTTTTTAATATTAATTTAAATTTCGACTTTTTTTCTTCTCTTTCGTGTATAGAATATTTTATCATTTAATTATGCTGAATTTTTATTTTCCTTCTTTTTACAAATTTTTTTTTTAATTTTCGACAGTTATTTGATATTTAAATTGTATTAATTTAAATTTTAACGTTTAAATTAAATTTTCTTTTCGAATATTTTATCTCTTTAATGATGTTTAATTTTTATTTTCTTTTTTCACAGAAAGTTTTTTTAATTTTTGAATGTTAAAATTCTTTTATTGTATTGAAATTTTATTTCAGTACAATAAAGAAGATGAAAAAAGGAACAGTTGGAAATTCTGATTTCCCCTCAATTTGTGTGTCTTGAATGATAATTATTTCTTTACATTTTGTTGTCGATCATTAATCACGAATTAAGTACGTGAGAAAAAAACTAAAACTGATCTACATTTCAAAATAAAACATTCAAGAAGCAATTGATGATTGGAATTAGAAAAATAAATTGAAAAAACAAATACGAAATAAACAAAATAGTGTCTTTTGAATCAAATTCTAAAATTCGCTGTGAGATTTATTATTCATTAATTGTTATTAATTTTCATAAATTTGTTTGTTCATTCACTTTTTTTAATTAGAATTTAATATTTATAATATACCTAATAATTATATTCTTACATTATTGTTATTATGCAAATGAAAAAAAATTTTTAATTTCAAATAATTAATTTGAATTTTGGAATAATTTCAGATTCAAAATTTTTAAAAAATCCAATTATTGAATTATTTACAAATCAATTATAATTATATGTTGCTTTCAAAAATTTTAATAAAATTCTTCGCAGGAATTCAATTATTTTTAATACAATTTTAGTAAAATTTCTAAAAAAAATTCAATTATTTTGAAAAATTTTGATTAAATTCTGTATGAGAATTGAAATAAATTTTCAATAAAATTTTATTTAAATTTCTCGAAAACATTCAATTATTTTCGAAAATTTTAATAAAATTCTTCGTAAAAAAATTCTTCCCAAAAATTTTATTATTTTGAAAAACTTCAGTAAAACTTTTTATAAGGAAATAATTTAATCAAATACTTTGAAAAAATATAATTTTTTCATAAATAATAAAATTTTTCGCAGAAATTCTATTATTTTCAATACAACAATAATTATAAAATTCAAAATTATAAAAGAAATATTTTCAATTGAAAATAATTTGGTTTAATTAATTTTACGTATTTTTTAATCTTCAAAACATTGAATTATAGATTTTTAAATTCAAAATATTAAAAGGAAAAATTATTTAAAAAATTAGGAAACAAAAATCAAACGGAATACAACGGAATACAACGGAATACAACGATTATTAATATTATTCTAATGAAATAAAGAAATTTGATAAATTTTACAAATAAAAATTTCATTTATTTTATTTTTTAAATAAAAATATTATTCTAATAAGAAAATTTCTTTTTCTGATAAAATTAATTATCATAACCGCCATTGAAATTCAACTCTAAAAGAAAATTTTAATTTACTACTTTCTTTTCGGGCCCTATTTAATTTTTTTTTTTTTTATTTCGAAAAGGAACAATTAATTACTTTTCATCAGTGGGAAATTATAATAATGAAGTGTAAAAAAAAACGGTACATTGACAGTGTATAGTGGAAAGTGAAGGTGCAGCATGTGGCAATGACGTTGTGCACCATGAGAATAAAAGTCTCGAAGCACATACGAGTGTAAAACGTTTTTATATATGTGTTGGATGTATGCACCAATCTTATGTAAACGGTAGAGAAACTTTGAGAGAAGCCCATTTTTTTTAATCGATTTATACTTGAAAAAATTTATAATTAATTCTTTCACTCTCAATTCAGTAAATTATATTTTTCATTAAAAAGTAATTTTCCCTTTTTTGCAATTTACCAACATATTTGAAGAAAATAACAAAAAAATTATAATTCATCGATTAAATAAATAGATAGTATAATCGGTAATTAATAATTGGAATTAAATTTAGTAGTTTGGAATTAAATTTGATAATTAATTTTCTATAATATTTTTAAATAATTTTTTTAAAAATATTTTAACAGATGATTAATTTTACTTGCAAGTATTTAGTTTCTATTCTTTTAATTGATTCAAAAGAAACAAAAACGATTTTTTGATCAATAAAATTGATTTGGGAGATTATTATCAAATGTAAAAATTTGTAGAATTTAAAAAATTTAAATTTAAATATCAATTTAAAAAAAAAATATCACGAAGTGAATATTGCAGAATTCTATAGAAATAATGGAGAAAGTGAAAAGAAAGTAAAATTTGGTCCTTTGAGAGTTGAGTGACAAACTTATAAAGTTCAAGGCAGTTCGTTACTCTTAAAATTTGTCAATTCTCTTTTTTTCGTCAAATCTTCCCAAGGCTATTTAATTTTTTTCCCCACATTTTTCAATATTTAAAATATTTCAAAAAAAACAATTAAATTACAAAAACAATGGTTTTCTAATATTTGTAATTTTTAGTTTAGAGAAAATGTTTTGAAATATAAAAATAGGAAACAATTTTGTAAATTTATTATTTGTAAAATAGAAAATAGTTTTCGATTTGCTTTAAATTGAAGCTTTAATTTGGAAAATAAAAAATAGAAAAACTCACCAATGGCTAAAATAAAGAATAAGAAAAGAAACAAGATTTTGGAAAACTTCATGATTTCTTCCGTGGCGTTAAAAAGAAGCACTGAATGCGCTCACGGTCGTTCACCAAATTTGCCCCTTTTTTTCCCTCCGGATGGAGAGAAATAATTTTTTGTTTCCTTCAACACACGATTGACACTTTGTAAATCGGTAATTAAAATTTATCATCTGTTTAAGTGAAATGAAAAAGGGGGATTCTTTTTTCGGAGCAACAACTCCTCACACGACACTACAGATGGTACACCAGTGATTCTTTCTTCATGAAAGAGACTACAAGACCAAAGCCCTCTTCCACAGAGTCTCACTTAAACAGGCTTCTAACTATTCAGCTCATTGGCTGACCACTTTCTACCTCTGTCGAGACAGACGCCTGAGAAAAGTAGCTTTTATCGGCTACAAATAAATAGCTGTAAATTGACTGCCAACCAATCGTTCCAGGATCCTTCGTTAGTTGCATGAACTCTCAAGTTCTTCTAGTCAACAACTTGATTATAAATTCTAATTATATTTTCTTTCTTTCAATTCCTTTTTAATTTTCTTCTTCACTGCTCTCTGAAAAATTTCAATACAATTCTAAATATAAATTTGCATTTTTTTTCAGAAACTCAAGTTTCAATTTTCAATTTTTAATTTAGCAAACATTTTCTAAGCAAACAGTTTCTTTGAAAAAAAAATTTTCTCACCTTTTTTAGAAGACAAAATTGACAAACTATCCATTTATGGTTAAATGTTCAGCAACGAGGCAAATTTTATGTAATTTTCTTTCTTTATAAATAGATTTTAATCGTAAATTGAATTAAATGTAATTAAATTAATTAATTAAATTAAATGTAAGTAATTGATTAAAAATCAAGATCAATTAATTAAAATTGTATTTTGTTATTAAAATATATTTCATTTTAATTACAAATTTTAATTATAATTATAAATTATTGTAATTTCCTTAATTCGAAATTAAATTGTTTTCAAAAATTGAATTATTAAAATTAAATCAACATTGAAGTATAATCTACTTAAGAATTAATAATATTTTTACATTAAACGTAAAAATAAATTTTTGGTTTCGCTATTCACTTAAAATTTAACTTTGATAATTGTATAAGAATGTAGATAAAAAATTTAATTTTTAAAATTCAGTAAAATTGGAATAAAATTATTAAATAAAACCTATTTTCTGATTCAAAAATTTAGTAAAAATGGAATAAAAATTTAAATCAAAAATATTTTCTGACTCAAAAATTTAGTAAAAGTGGAATAAAATTTAAATAAAATATATTTTCTGATTCAAAAACTTTGTAAAAGTGGAATGAAAATTGAATAGAAAATATTTTCCTTTTTTATATTCTATTTTAGTAAAAATGTAATAAAAATTAAATTGAATAAATTTTCTCTAATTCAAAAATTTGAAATAAAATCAAATCAATTAAGAGTAAAAATTAAATAGAAATATTTTCTTATTCAAAAATGTAGTAAAAAATGGAATGAAAATTAAATAGAAAACAAATTTTCTATAAAATTTGCTAAAATTAAAAAATTTTCAAATAAAACAAAATCAATTAATGGAATAGAAATTAAACAGAAAATGATTTCTAATTAAAAAATTTAGTAAAAATGGAATAAAAATTTAAATAGAAAATATTTTCTGATTCAAAAATTTAATAAAAGTGGAATAAAATTTAAATAGAAATTTTCTGATTCAAAAACTTTGTAAAAGTGAAATGAAAATTGAACAGAAAAGGGTTTCTGATTAAAAAATTTCGTAAAAATGGAATAAAAATTTAAATATAATAAATTTTCTCTAATTGAAAAATTTTAAATAAAATAAAATTAATTAATGGAATAAAATTTAAATAGAAAATACATTCTGATTTAAAAATTTCGTAAAAGTAGAATAAAAATTAAATAGAAAATATTTTCTAATTCTGATATAAATTTGCTAAAAATTGAATAGAAAAAATTTTCTATTCACATTTTTTTTGAATTGTAAATTTTTTAAAATTAAAAATTTATTTACAATTCAATTCTCGTGATTCTCGGTTCTTTTTTTCGTTTTTCTTTTTTCAATGCTGCTTTCTTGTTCGTGTCTTCGCTAGGATTTGTCCAATAGGGATTCACGTAATCAGGATTCCTTGGGATAAAATTAAGTTCCTGCTCTGCTAAATGAAGTCTCGTAAATGTTGATTTATCCAAGAGATGTCTCATTTGACTGACAAAACTAAAGGACCACTTCATCAGCGAATGCCACGTTGGTTGATGCTTCAAAATTCTTTGCATTATATCGGGAAAATGTAAAACCACGTCTCCAAAGAGTGCCGTATTTTCCAGTATTCCAGAAAGTGCTAAATTATTATTAAATATTTATTTACTATAAATTAATTGACATTTTATTCACTAATAAAAAGTATTTCCAAAAAAGGCCAATATTTATCCCTAAATTAGAATTCAAATTTTTACCGTCTTTCACTTCAGGATTTTCTTGAAATAAAACATTGGGATCGAATTTAACTTTTTCCAAAAATTGTCGATTTGCGTCTATAACATTATAAACATTCTCGACTAAAACTGATAACATTTTGTATCGTTTCTCGTAATTTTCAATTTTCTGTATCCTTTTTACTGCCTCATTGTGTTCACTTCGTCGTCTTGTGAATAATTTTTTAACTTAAATTTATAAACAATTAAGGAAAATTATATTCTATTGTCCCAATTTTCCACTATAAATTTGTTTTTGTTTATAAATGTTTAAACAATCAAAAAATAACGTAAATGTGACACATGTGACACTCTCCGAAGAAAGAAGCAATTTTAAGGTTATGTTTCTGTTATTTTTGTATAATTGTGTAAAACCGCAGAAATAGTTTTTATTATTTTATTTGTAAAATAAATATTATTATATTGAGAGGATTAAGAGTTTAGAGACACAAAAGCAAATCTTTGATTATAACAAAAGGATACACAGTTCAATTTCTTGTTGTTCAAATAGTTCCCGCTTCGAAGAATCCTCATTGTTGATTGGTTCACTTTCCGGCTGTTGCGCATGTGAACGATACATTATTATTGACAACAACAGCAAAATACCGAATTTTTTCATTTTTATAAATAATAATAAGATTCTAATCTAAGTTTACAAATACAATTATCGTCTCTTAACATTTATGTAAAGAAAAACTATCACCACTCTATTGTTAATAAAACAAATTCTACTTCTACTAATTATTAGTTGGTTTACACGTAAAACGTGTGCCTACGTGTGTGCGTTCATTTTTTAAAACTGCCATATTGAAAATTGCGCCACCTGGTGGAATATATCGGTACGAGTTGCATTTCTTAAAAACTATTAATGACATTAATGTCAGTTTAATGTGTTGACACTTGTCAAATGTCATCCCGAATAAAAAATAGGATTGTTTTTCTAAAATTTTATTCCCATTGCTGATGCAACTGATAAGAAATTAAAGTTTATAAAACGTTCCTGCAGTTTACATTAATTAGTTCTTAAATTTTAACATTTCTTTTTGAGAGAAAATTTTTGAATTACGAATAGTGTTCACGTGTAATTGATACATAACCCATTCTTTCTGGAAAATTTTAAAGAAATATTGAATTAATTTAAAAAACATATTTTTGAATATTATAAATGAATTTCAATGTGGATATGGAAATTAAAAAATGAAATAAGAAACAAGTGGATATTCTTTAAAATTGAATAAGTGCTAAATAACAATAATAAAAAGTTTGAAATTTATCCGAATAAAAAAAACAGGTGACGAAAAATATGGCGACAATGAATGAGGCGAGACTAGACGTAAGTTTCTTTTTTTTTAATAAATAATTCTTTATTTTGAAGAAATTAATTTTTTGCGGAAATAAAATTTTAATTCTACATAACCTCCTTTAAGTTTTGATTTTATTTACGAATTACAAGTTTTCTTATGTTCTGGGATGTTTTCCTTTTTTTTAATTATCTGATTGCTTTTTTTCATTAATTATCATTTTTTGCAGATGTATGATGACGGGTCTTACTCGATAGATCCACAAAATGTCGAAGGAGATATAACAGTTGGACCAATGAGACAAAATACAAATATTGAAGGCCCAGAATTTAATACATTAGACGAACCTATTAGGGATACAATTGTAAGGATTAGAATTTATTTTCAATAATTTCTATTACAGGCTTCTTACTCGATAATTAATTTTAAAAAAGTAGCAAAAAATAGCTTAAAGACAGAAAAAAGTAGCTATCGAAAAATTAAACTTGACGACTCAATTTTTTTATAATTTCTTAAAAACATTCTAAAATAGAACAATTTTTTAAAATAAAAATATTTAAATACCTATTTATTTTGTCTACAGGAATGCAAATGTTTCAAATGATTTCAATGTAACGCATTTTTTAAATTTACTATTTCTAAAAATTACAAAAGTAATTCTTTCAAAATTCAATCATTTCTTTCTTGAAATTTATATGAATAAAATTATTAAATACTTTAATCATTTTATTTTATTAAATACTTATTAAAAAAGTTCTACGAGAATTCAATTATTTAAATACAAAAATAAATAATTTATTGAATAATTGAATATTTTTTAAATTTCAATTCTTATAAAGAACTTTATCAACATTTTTACAAAAAATTGCATTAAAATTTTTGATAATAATTTAATTCATTCAAGAAATGTAATTAAAAATTAATTGAAAATAATTATTACACTCTGAGAAATAAATTATATCAAATTTTTTTAAGTAATTAAAAATAATTGAATTATTACGAAGAAATTAATTAATTATTTATTTATTATTTGTAAATAATTGAATTCCAGTGTAATTTTTAATATTTATGAAAATAATTAAATGTTTGCGTAGAAAATAATTAAATTCTTTCAAGGAATTTTATTATTTATGAATATAATTGAATTTTAGCCAAAAATAATTTGTTCATATTTTTGAAAATAATTGAATTATAGCGGAGAATTTTATTAAAATTTGAGAGAAAATAATTAAATTCTTTCGGATAATTTTATTAAAGTTTTTGGGAAAAATTTGAATTTTCTAAAAAATTTTATTATTTAGGTAAATAAGTGAATTCTAGAGAAAAATTTTTTTTATTTTTCAAAATAATTGAATACTTGAGTAGAATATTTTATTACAATTTTTGAAAATAATTTAATTCTAATTTAACTTATCAAATTTTAACAATTAGATATTAAATTTATTCAAAGGATTTTTTAAAAAATAATTATTTCTTCGAGAAATTTAATTAAAATAAAATAAAGTAATAAATAAAGTAATTTTGCTTAGTGCAATAAAATTAGTATTAAGAGTACTTTGAACGAAAGGGCACAGTCCCGTTTACTACTTAAATAAATAAATAAATAAAATTTTATTGAAGGAAAAATTGCATTCCTATAAAGAATTAAATCAAAATCATTTAAAATAATATAATTTTAATTTAATGATTAAAGTTTTTAACAAAAATTGAATTCTTTTTGAGAAATTTTATTAAAATTGCATTGAAATCAATTGAATCCCGGCAAAAAATTTAATTATTTATGAATATAATTAAATTTTAACGAAGAATTTTCAAAAAATTTAGGAAAATAATTGAATTCTTTCAAAGGATTTTGTTAAAATTTTGAATAAATCTGCAATGTGTTTTATTATTTATGAATTCACGCGACGAATTTTATAAAAATCTATTTAAATAATTTATTTTTTTCGTAAAATATTAGGAAAATTCTGTTTTAACTAATTGTATTCCTGTGAAAATTTTTTTTCATTTATGAAAATAATTGAATGTTTGCAAAAAGTTTTATAAAAATTTTTTCAAATTATTCAATTCTTTTTAATTTTAATTAAACTCTTTTTAATTCATTAAGTATTTTTTTTTAATTTTACAATTTTTTTACAGCTCAGAGATGTGAGAGCGGTTGGAATGAAATTCTTTCTAGTGCTATATCCCAAAGAAAAGAAAAGTTTGCTCAAAGAATGTGCGTATTTTTTTTCATTTAATATTTTAATACTACATATTGAAATTATTTGTGTGTTGCAATTTTGTAAATTGTTACTTACAATTAAATATATTTAAATTATTATTTTAGGGGATCTTTGGGGACCATTAGTCTTATGTACTTTCATGGCAATGTAAGTGTAAATTAATTTAATTTCTGAGAGAAAGGAAAAATGGATATTAATCATAATAAAATATTCTTCTTTCAAGGATATTACAAGGGTCCACAGAATCTGTAAATTCGAAAGATGGAGGACCTGAATTCGCTGAAGTTTTTGTAATAGTGTGGATTGGATCCATGGTAGTCACATTAAATAGTAAATTATTAGGCAGTAATATGTGAGTATTTTATTTATCAGAATAATTATTAATTTTCTATTTTATTTTAATAAAATAACATTTTTTCGGGATTTGTAAATTATTAATATTTTTCAATATTATCAAAATATTATTTTGATACTATTAAATTATTTCAGATTCAAAAATAATTCACTTCTTATTTTTAAACTGAGAACATTCGAAATACAAAGATTATTAATTTATTATTTTATTAGAAAAATTTGGTTAACTCGATGATTGTTTATTTTTACAGATCATTCTTCCAGAGTGTGTGCGTTTTGGGATATTGTTTACTGCCAACAGCAATAGCGCTGTTACTTTGCAGAATTATTTTAATGGCCACTCAAAACAACTATTTATTTGTCATCAGGTTCATTATTTCAATGACTGGATTCGGTTGGGCGACATATGGTAATTTCATAATTACCTAATTATTGAAATAGATTATTTTTCGCTATTATTTAAATATTTTTCGTTATTATTAAAATAAATTGAAATTATTTTTAGCGTCAACTGCTTTTCTCGGCGACAGTCAACCAGAGGGAAGAAAAGGACTAGCAGTTTATCCAATTTTCCTCTTTTATTTTGTAATCTCATGGCTCGTTATTTCTCACACGACATAAAATTTCAATTAGAAAATTAATGTTATTCCAAAACAAAAAAAGAAATTGAAACATTTTTTTTATCATGATGAAAATATTTAACTTTTAGCTCCGCGCAAGTTACGATCTAATCTATAACTTTATGTCATTTGTCAATATTGTCATAATTATAAACATAAACAATATATATAAATAATTGATCGTAATGCCAATTAGTGATAAATAATTTGTAGACTATTTCTTACAGTAAGTTTATCGTTGATTATTTCTTATTTTTTATTATTTACATGTATAAAAAGAAAGTCAATTTTGTTTCTTAATGCGATTCTTTGCTCTCTTAGCTTAGAATTTGATACATTCATTTTTTTTATTCCGAATTGTACTATTTCTCCATTTTTGATATTAAATGCCAATGAATCCAATTTTCTAAGCAAAAGAAAAGAAAATCTCGCAGTACAAACTGATGATGTGAGATTTTTCTTTTTCCATTATTTAAAGACTTGTTTTTCAGTTTTTAAAAAATGGCTGTGAAAAATACGAGCCATGAAAAGATAATCAGTAAATTGAATTTTTGAGAAAGGTAAATCTCAAAAGAAGAAGAAAATAATTCCAAATTTTACTTTTATTTTATATTGTACATATTGTGTGTATAAAAAGAAATTAATTGAATGTCCAATACATCTATCTATTGATAAATAAAGTATTACCACAAAGAAAAAAATTTTAAATATATCCAAAGTATCGCTTTAGTTTTCTGAGAAGTTCTTTGCTGTCTCGATGATCTGGATAGGCTTTCAATGATTTCTTCACATAATTAAAACTCGTTTGAAGATCACCAGTCTAAAATTAGTTACAAAAATTTTGAAATTTATAATTCTGAAGAGTTGAGAATTCAAAGTTTTGAGTTTTCGAATTTTTAGAACTTTCGACGTTTTCAAAAGATAAAAAAAAAAGGCCAATTTTCAAGTCGAAAATTAAAAATCCCGAAAGTTATTGAAAATTTCAATTAGGGAATAAAATAATGATGAAATCATCACCTGGAAGGCGAGATAAGCTGAGTTGAAATTCGGTTCATATGAATAAGTCCCGATATTTGCGGCCGCATGAAAATATGTTCCAGCGGCAGTTAAATGTCCTTTTTTAACTTCTAAAACTCCAAGATTGTTGAAAGCTAATGCGTGTCTATTATCGGCATTTACTGCAAGTCTTAAACTTTCGTCGGCCATTTCCAAATCGCCAATTGACTGAGAATAATGAGACGAAAAAATTAATTTCAATTACATTAATTTATCAAATTTAATAGTTGAAAAAACACTTACTATCGCAACAAGAGAAATATTGTACCAAACATCGGCTATTGTTTCTTCACTTGCAAGATTAATAGCCCTCTCGAAACAAGAAATCGTATGATCAAATTGTTGCGAATAAAAACAACAGAGACCTAAATTATTGAAAAGCTCGGTATTATAGACGCCCATTTGAAGGAGCCTCCTGTAATAAGAATTTTTATTATTAATAATTTGATTTCTTTTCTTTAAGATAATTGAATTTTAAAAAATTATTACCCTTCGAAGATTCATTATTTTCTTTCTTACTGAACTTCTTTAAATCAATTATTCTAAAAAAATTTCCAAAATTTTTGCATCATTTCTAAAAATTTGTTACTTTTCCATTACTTTGAATAAAATTCCCAAACTTTTCTTGTTTTTGACTATTTTTATATACTATCTACTATTTTAATAAAAAATTTCACAAAAAAATTGAATGATTTAAAAAAATGTTTATAAATTTTTTCACAACGATTCAATTATTTTCATAAATAAACAAATTTTCACCGGAATTCAATTATTTAAAACAGAATTTTCCTGATATTTTTCGAAAAAAAATCAATTATTTAAATAAATTTTAATAAAATTCTTCGAAACAATTCAATTATTTTCAGAATAATTGAATTAATTTGTATACAAATGTAATTAAATTCCTTGAAATAATTTAATTATTTTCAACAAATTTTAATAAAATTCTTCGAAAGAATTCAATTATTTTTATAAATAATAAGATTATTCTCAGGAATCCAATTATTTTCATAAATAAAATAAAATTCTTCACTGGAATTAAATTATTTTCATCAATAATAAAATTTTCAAATCAATTCAATAATTTAAAATATAATTTTTCATAAAATTTTTCGAACAAAATAAATTATTTAAAATTTTTTTTATAAAATTCTTCTCAAGAATTTAATTATTTTTAAAAATTTTATTAAAGTTTGATGACAAAAAATTTTTTTTTCATTAAAAATTGTAACAAAATCCTTTGAAAGAATTCAATTATTTTTCTAAATTTTAAGAAAATTCTTCGTTAACATTTAATTATTTCATAAATAATTAAATTCTTTGCCGGTATTCAATTGATGTTAATGCAATTTCAATAAAATTTCTCAAAAAGAATTCAATTATTGTTAAAAATTTTAATAATTTATTAAATTAAAATTATATTATTTACAAAGATTTTGATGAAATTTTTTATAAGAATGCAATTTTTCTTTTAAAACAATTTTAATTAAATTTCTCGAAGGACTAATTATTTTTTTAAAAATCTTTTGAATAAATTTAATATCTAATTGTTAAAAATTTGATGAGTTAAATTAAAATTAAATTATTTTCAAAAATTGTGATAAAATATTCATCTTAAGAATTTGATTATTTTCAAAAATAAATAAAATTCTTCACAAGAATTCAATTATTTATATAATAAATAATAAAATTCTTCAGGAAAATTAAATTATTTTTAAAACAATTTTTAATTAATTTTTTGAAAAATGCAATTATTATTGAAAATTTTACTAAAATTCCTCGAAAGAATGCAATTACAGTAGAACCTCGATTATCCGAGGTAATGTGGGGAAGAGGTACCTCGGATAATCGAAAACTCGGATAACACGGAACCAATGAAAATTTCAAAATTTTAAATTATTTTTCATGTGTTTAAAGTGTTAGAATAATATTAAATGACAAAAATGGACGAAATTTTAAATGCAATGATCACAAATAGTGGTTTTGTAAAATTTATTTTCCAAATTTAGTCGCTCGATCCGTTTTATCCGAGTTATTCCGCATTATCCGAGCATGTTTTGTGCCTCGGATAATCCGGAATCTCGGATAATCGAGGCTCGGATAACTGAGGTTCTACTGTAGTTAAAAAATTGTATTAAAGTCTGGTGATAAAAATTCAATTATTTTCATAAATAATAAAACTCATCGCAGGATTTTAATTATTTTTAACATATTTTTACATTAATTTCGCTAAAAACGCAATTATTCTTAAAATTTTGTTTAAAAATCTTCGAAAAAATTTAATTATTTAAAAATTAATAACAATCTATTAAAATTTTACCTGTAAAATCGAAGTGCAACTTCCGGTTGATCGTTATAAAAATAATGCATTCCAATACTCGCGATAGCCTCTGGATCTGAGGCGTCTTCCTGTATAATTGTTTTATAATACTTTATTGACAATGCTGAATTATTCAAGCCTTCATAAAGACGAGCCATTTCTGTTAATATTGAACCCTACGCAAAAAATTATTATTATTATTATTATTATTATTATTTTGATAAATTACAATTTTTGATTTTCTATATTTTTTGTGTCGATTAAAATATTAAAAAGCTTTCAATTAAAAAAACCTTTTAAAATTTAATTATTTTTTAAAGTTCCTGTCACTTTGCTTCGAATATTCAATTATTTTTTAAAATTTAAACTAAAATTCTTTCTTAAATCAATTCTTATTAAAATTCAAAGATAATTGAATTTTTCAAATACATTTTTTTTAAAATTCAATTATTTTCCAAATGTTTAGTTACAATTCTTCAAAAAATACAATTTAAAAATAATTTTAAAATTCTTTGCAATACAAAAATTATTTTAATAAAATTTGAGAAAATTTCTGATTTTTTCATTTATTTAAAATTAAATTTTAATTTTTAATTATTAATATTAGGATTATTATATTACATCTTTTGGAAAATATTCCAATCCGGCCTTACAAGTGTCCAAGGCAGCCAGTGGTTGATCGAGTCTGATGTAAATTCTTATAAGTCGAAGTAGAGTCTCAATGTGTTTGTAGTCTTTTAAAGCTGATCTAAATTGTTGTTCAGCATCTCTAGTCAAACCAAGAACGTAATAACACTTTCCCATTGCCACCTTCCAATACCAGTCTTTTGATTCTTTAGAATTATTTGCATTCACCGCCAAATCGAGAGCCTGATTTTAATTATAAAAATCCATCAATTGGTAATAAAAATATCACTCAATAAATACACAAATATTTTTTTTCCAAAAAAGAAAATTCATATTTCGATCTTTTTACTTATTTATATAAAAACCAAATTTTTATAATCCAAAAGTGAAAAAGTAAAAAATAGATGAATAAGAAAATAAATAGTTTCTTATTCATCTATTTTTTACTTTTAAAATTTCTCTGATAAAATTGTGCTAAAAATTGGTAAAAATTGATTACAAATTTCTTATAAAAATATTTTTTTTTACTTTTAGAGACTTTATATATTTTTTCGTTTAAATTAAAAGCAACTTCTTTTTAACTTACAATTGTTGGTTCTCGCTCATGATAGTAAATGTATTCAAATAAAGGTTTAGCAACTGTCATGTCTTTCGCATGTTTGGAAATATTGAGTCTTGATAATTGTATAAATGGACCTCCAGGTTCACTTAGCATTGAAGCAGTTCCCAGTCTAAAGTGCACAGAAATATATTATTATTTTTCACTTAAAAGGAAGTTGAAAAAAAATAAAAAGAAAATAAAGAATTTTATTTGTAATTTAAAAAAAATAAAATAGAAAGAAAATAAAAAATGTTATTTACAATTTTTTATTTACCTTATATTAAGACTTGAACTGGCAGTAATTGGTTTCGCTGACATTGATGTCCTGGGTGTTTGTAGAGCCTGTTCGAGATTTTGTGCTGATCCCGATTGCGTTCCAGGTCGAATTACTCCGGTTAGGGGTCTTCCTTAATAATATGAATTTAATAAAACTAAAATAATATTTCTTATGCGAATAAATAATTCGTTGGAAAAGGGGAAATTTTAATTTTACAAACCGGTTTGAGTTCGAGGACGAAATGCTTGACCGGGAATTGCAGTTCCTGGATTTCTCAACGATGTTCCTGGCCTGGGAGCTGTTGCCACTGCAGGATTATCTAACACCGAATCCGCAATTCCTTCCTCTTCGGCTTCAATATCGTCCACGTAGACTAATAGCGTCAGAGCACGCATTTTTAAGACCCAAGTTGCCTAAAAATAATACAACAATTATTGATAATTTTTAATCTAAAATAATTAAACTCTTGAATAAAATTTTATTAAATTTTTTCAAAATAATTTAATTCTTTCGAAGAAATTTAATAGAAAGTTTTTTAAATAATGGAATTTATTCGAAAAATTTCATTTAAGTTGCATTGAAAATAATTAAATTCCTGCGAAAAATTATATTATTTATGAAAATAATTGAATTCATGCGAAAAATTTTATTATTTAAGAAAATAATTGAATTCTTGTGAAGAATTTTTTTATTTATAAAATAATTGAATTCCAGCGAAGAATTTTGTTATTTATGAGAATAATTGAATTTTCTTACAAAATTTTTTCGACGAATTTAATTAAAATCCTGACTATTAATAATTATAATAATTATGATCAAATTTTTAATTCTAATTATAATTAGAATTAAAAATTTGATCATTGAATTTTATAAAAATTGTATTGAAAATAATTGATTCCCTGAGAAGAATTTTATTTAAAAATAATTGAATTGTTTGGAGAAATTTATTAAATAAGACAATTGAATTCTTTCAAAAAAAAAATTTAATTAAAAATTTTATAAAATAATTGAATCTTTTCGTAAAATTTTATTAAAATTGTATTGAAAATAATTAAATTTCTGCAAAGTTTTTTTTGAAATTGTATAGAAAATAATTTAATTCTTGAAAATAGTTTTACTAAAATTTTTGAAATCAATTGAATTACTTCGAAGAAAATTAAAATTCTTTCAAGAAATTGAGTTAAAATTGCATTGAAAAAAAAATTCCTGTTAAGAATTATATTCAAATTTATAAAAATAATTGAATTTTTGTGAGGAATAAAAAACTTTTTTTAAAAAATTGAAGTGTTTCAAAGAATAATTTTACTAATTTATTTTATAAAATTATAAATAATAATTAGGTATAATAATAACAAAATATAATAATAATACTTTATGATTTACCTTATCAAGTGGAGTTTCCTTCAAGATTTCCGTACATAATTCAACACTTTCTTCATATCTTCTACTTCTAAATAAAAAAAGTGCGTCTACAAATTTTCTTGACATTATTTCTTTTTCTTTTGATTATTTTGGTTATATTTCTACTTCGTTTGTGAGTAAAAAAATTTATTCCACGTATTTACAAAGGACAGGTGGACGACTAGAATCTACACCTGTTATGGTTGTACGCTTACGTAGTGGACAGTTTTATCGATTATTTTCCTCACTGAAAAATTAATAACATAAAATCAATTTGTAAAAGATAAAAAATAAAATTAATTTATTATATAAAAATATTTTTACTCATCACTGTTTATAACTTAACAGAATTATTCAAAAATGCAAAAATGGCAATTTTTGAACGATTTTCTTTTACAATTTAAATGCAATAGGTAGTCATTTATTTTTGTTTTTGAAAATATAAACATTTTATTGCATTGATTGCATTGTATATTTTTAAAAAAAGACGAAACGAATTAAAAATTACTTATTTAATAAAATTATCTCTCTCTCAATTTGTTATGTAAATTTTCAACAAAAAAACTTGGGGAAATAATAATTTAATAGTAAAATAATATGAATTATCAAGTTTCTTCATATAATTCAAGGTTAATTGACGAAAAAAAGTGTGATTTGAAAAAATTTTTAATTTCTAATAACGACTTTTTAACAATAATGACAATAATATTTTTTTGAAATTTGTTTAGTGTTCAGGAAAAATTTGCACAATTTTTGAGTAAAAAAAATATTGAGGAGCAATGCACCGAAGAATCTTTAACAGAATTAAAAAAGGCATTTATGGTAATTTGAATTTGTTTACTAACAATTAGGTAAATTTTTTTTTTTGATAAAAGAAATTAAATTTCACAATTTTTGTTAAGAAAAATAAATTCAATTTTAATTAAAAAATAAATTCAATTTTACTGTGAACATAAAAATAATTTTTAAATTCAGAATTCAGAAATGAAAAAAATGGATAAAATTCAATTACAAAATGCTTTTCAAGATATTCTGCATATTTTCTTGAATGATGAGGAATTTGACGTTGTTTTTAAAAAGGTTAAAAAAGAATAATTCAATTTTTTAATAAAAAAAAATCTTCTTAGAGACTTGAAATATTTTCGCTTATTAAATTTTTTTTATTTATAGATAAATGCAAAAAATGACGGATTGGTAAATTGGGACGAATTTATATCCTATTTACTCTTAGAAATGAAATGTAAAGATGTTGCCCGCCATTGGCAACCAATGGACCCGCCAATAACCGGGATTCCAATTTTAAAAAAAAGTCATCATCGAAATCCTATTTTTAAAATAATTTTTTACCCCGATATTCTTTCAGTATGTTTAGTTTCAAAAAATTAATTACAATCGTCTGTTTTTAATACAATGGTTGCCACTAAAATTTAATTTCGTTTTTCGTTCACTTTTTGTTAATTTTCGAAGAGAATTTTTACTTTTTTTCCCGATTCCTATAAAAAAATAATTACAAAATTCTAAGCATTACTTTTTTAAAAAAATATTTTAATATTCTTTTTCAAGATTTTTGATTACAATTTTTGAGAATTAAATTTTATTTTCAAAACCTGCAATTAAAAGTCTTCAAAATTTAATTTTCAATAAATTTGCATTCAATTTCTATATCATTTTCAAAATTCAAAAAAACAAGTAATTAATTTTCAATAAAATAAATAACATTTTTTAAAAATATATTCAGAAAATTTCAATTATTTTTTTTATAAAAATTTAATAACAATTAAAAAATAGAATCAATTTTATTTCCCACTGAATTTCATTTGACTTTCTTGATTTCCCTGAGTTGTGGCAACCCTGTAATAAAAAAATGAAATATATTAACAGTAAAATCTAAATTCTACTACATTCTATCAGAATAGAAATTGGAACTTTCTACGAGGATGTTATTTAACAGCAAGCAAAGATGGGAGCATAAATTATTTGTCAATCGACTTGAAATATCAACGAACTGTAAAATCTTCAAATCGTCAGTCTATTTAAATATTAATTTTATTCTTTATTTTTTCAAGTTATCAAAAATTCTTTTAAATTAAAAAACGTGATTTAATTCTTTTTTCTGAATTCCAATTTTTAGCTCTTATGAAATTTCAAACAACAATGATTACCGATATAATTGCAATGCCAGATATTAGAATTGTTTGTACAAGTTCAGTTGAAAGAGATTTGAGATTTTACGATACAGTTGGAAATCGATTTGATCTCCGTGTAATGGTAAGAAGAAAAGAAAAAATAAATTTAGAATTGAATTAAAATTATTATAATTATTATTATTATATTCTTTTCTTATAGATAACTCATTTTCAATCAGCAATAGTGAGCATGAATTACTATTTTAGTAAAGATATAAAAGAACAATCATTTATAATTTTGGGTGATATGAACGGAGGAGTAAAACTTTTTTCCTTTTCTCCAATTGATAAAGGACCTTTTAAGCATTTTACGAAACAAGACGTTCTTCAAATTCAATATAATGCCGTTCTTGCAGTAAACTTGAATTTCATTTTAATTTAGTTGGAAATATTTAAAAATTAAATCTTTTTTTGTCATAAAAAGAAACAACAAAATTGAATTAAAAAAGTGACGGAAATGAAATGAAATTAAAAACTAAACTATATGAATTAAAAAACTAAACTAAATTAAATTAATTAAAAAATAATTTTCTAATTTTCTGTATGATGTAAATTTCTCCACAAGGAAGAACTAGAAAATTTAAAAGTTAGAGAATTCAATAACTTACACGGTGATTGGGTTTCCCAAGTAGCTTATTACGGAAGTCTCAAGTCATTTATTTCCTGCAGTAAATGTTCAGAGAACTCACTGATAATTACGAATCCAAGTAATGCAAATTTGTGTTATAAATTCCATGTTGCCAAAGGAATCAATTGCTTCAATTTTTGTGAAGGTGAATCTGAAAGAGAAAATAAATAAAAATAAAAAAAAATTTTTAAATAAATTTAAACTATTGTAAATTTTTCTTTTTTCAAAGATAGTCAGATTTTAGTGACAGGAGGTGTGGATTTTTTAATTAAAGTCTGGAATCCCTTTATTCCTAAAAAGACAAAAATTACTTTTTACGGTCATCAAGCGCCAATTTCGGCTATTTTTATTCAAAACAATGGCAAACGGATTTTTTCATTGTCACAAGACAGATGCATTAAAGTTTTCGATATATTTTCACAATCCTGTATGCAGGTATGTATAATTATTTTATTTTTAATTAAAAATTATTTTTATATATTAAATTTCCGAAAATAATTTTAAAAAATTGAAACAATTGAAAACTAATTTTTTATTTCAAATTTCTTAGACGTATAGAAATCTACCAAAGGAATTGGGAAATAATTTTCCAATGTCTGCAGTATTCAATAATTCAACGCAAAAAATGATTATTGCCAATCAAATGATAGCAATTGTTGATTGTGGAAAAGTAATAGACGAAGATATTTCCGACGGATATTCTCACACAAAATCCGTTTCCTGCGTGCTGTATAATTATTTATTTCAAGTGGTACCTTTCTTTCTGTGTTAAGAAATATTAAAAAGGAAAAAAAATTCAGAATTCATTTTTCAAATATAAAATTAAATTTTTTCCTTTAGATTGTGTCAACAAGTTTAGATTCTTCGATAACAGTTTGGAGTCCATGGCTTGGGCAAAGATTGAGTTTTATATCGCAAGCACACGGTAAAAGGAAAAATGAAGAAAATTATACAGGAATTGAAATTACAGCAGCTTGTTTTGATAATACAGAGCAATTATTAGTGACTGGAGCTAGAGATGGTTCAATAAAATTGTGGCAATTTAATACTGGAACTTGTCTTCGTGAAATGATGTCCGAACCCAACAGGTTCAAAATTAAAATTTTAAATTTTAAAATTGAAATTAAAAATTAAAAAAATGGAAATTAAAAAATTAGAAAGATTAAATTAATTTAATTAAATTACCTTTAAATTTAAAAATTAATTTAAAACATTTCTTTTATATTCTTGAAAAAAAAAACCAGTGAAATAACTGGACTCGCGTGGTACGACAATAAAATTTTTAGCGTCGGTTGGGATCGAGTAATCACCGAATTCACCGAAACTGAACTTGGAATTTTTAAAAAATCATGGGAAACTCGTCACACTGATGATATAACTTGCCTTTCAATAAGAAATTCCCAAGCTTTGGTGACTGCTTCCTACAATGGTGAAATTATTCTCTGGCGATTGGAAACTGGTCAGCCGTACAGAATTTTCCTCGCGAATAATCCAACTGGAAGGTAAAATTAAATATTTATACATCATTTCATAAAAATAAGAAACTAAATGAAATTATTTAAATTTTATTAAATAATTAATTTTTCTTTAATTCCCAACAGGAAGGTGATTGATTTTAGAAAAGATGCAAAGTTCTCCGCGTACGTTTTTAATTAAAAAAATTAAATTAAATTAAAAGAAATTAATGTTTTTGTTTAAAACAAAAAAATTAAATTAAAGGAAATTAATTTTTTTGTTTAAAACAAAAAAGTATACTTTTGATTTACCTTTTTGATATTAGATCAAAAAATGTGAAATCGATCAAATATCCTCAAAAATCCGCAATTCAATCGGAAGAAACGGCAATGAGACCAGTGGGAGTTACTGTCGCTTTGTTCTTAAATTCGAGAACAATGGCACCAAATATTGGAACTCTGATGATTGCGCTCGAATCGGGATTGATTCAGGTTTGGACTCATCATCCCGGTGCTGGTTTTTTGGAAGCCTTCTCAGCAATTCATAAATATGGAGACTTTGTCACATCAATGGCCACGGATCCTCAAAATGAATTCCTACTAACAGGTTCAAAATAATTAAAATAAAAAATAAAATTAAAATTAAAAATTTTAATGAATTATAAAGACACAAATCCAAATTATGATTATATTTTAAAATAATCAAATTTATAGGACATAAAGAGGGATATATCAAAGTTTGGTTGATAAAAAATTACATGTTACCGAATCCTGCAAAAATTAATATGTGTGAATTGAGACTTGAATTTACATTTCTTTGGAAGGATAGAATAAATGGAAGGGCCAAAAGGGCCGTTAAGGATCAACCACATCCTGTTTTATTGACATCATTAAGGGGGCACAAACAATCGATTAATGCTATTCAAATTATACCAGAAGCTCGAATAATTATAAGGTTCAATTACGAAAAATTCTAGTAAAAAATTACTAATAAAATCGTTTAGTAAAAAAAATTGTTTATTTTTGTTTTTATCTTCTTTTTTTCTTTTTAATATGAAAATTTCTTTTTCAGTGGATCTTCTGATCATACAATTAAACTTTGGACCTTGGGCGGTCGTTATATTTCAACATTGGGGACTTTTAAGCCCTGGACTCCAATTTTACCCAATATTCCTGTTCAAAATTATTTATGTGATTATCAACTGCCACCAGAAGTGAAAAAATCGGCCAGTTTTACCACCATGAAGGTATTTGTAAATATAAATATTAATATTTAATTATTATTAATATTTAATGTAAATATATTTAATAAATAAATATAAATATATTTGATAATTAAATATAAATATATTTGATAAATAAATATAAATATATTTAATAAATATTAAAATATTTATTTTTCAAGAGAAATTAAAATTTTTAATAATTTCAATGTAAAACCGTTTTAAAATTTAACTATTTCTAAAAATCACAACTGTAATCATACCAAAATTTAATTGTTTTTTTTTGTTTTAGAAATTTTTTAAAATCAAAAATATTCAAAAACTTTAAACAATTTTAGAAAAGTAATAAATTAATCATTTTCTAAAGTAAATATTTAAACATTACTAGTTTCAAAACAATTAAAATTTTTGAAATTTTCAATTAAAAAAAATCTTTAGAAATTTAATTAATTCTAGAATTAGTTCTAGAAGAATTAATTCTAGAAATTAAATTATTTCTAAAATTTCAGACTATAAAGCTTCAAATATTCAATTATTACCCCGAACTCTAATTTGAAATTCATTTTTAATTAAATCAATTCTTACGAGAAAGATTTACTAGAATTTAACTATTTAAATACACAAATTAATAATTGATGGAAAAAAATTTCTTTCTTTCATTAAAATTTAAAGAAATAATTGAATCTTGACAAAAAATTTTATTAAAATTGTGTTAAAAGTAATTGAATTCCTGCGATGAATTTTATTTTTTTATGAAAATAATTGAATTCTGAGGAAAAAATTTATTAATATTTTTTAAAATAATTGAATTCTTTCAACGAATTTTATTAAAATTTAAAAGATTATTTCAATTATTTAAAAAAAGTAATTAAAATTTTAAAGATAATTGAATTCTTGCAATGAATTTTCTTTTTTTTTGAAAATAATTGAATTCTTTCGTAGAATTTCATTAAAATTTAAAGAAATAATGGAATCTTGTCGAAAAATTTTATTAAAATTGTGTTAAAAATAATTGAATTCTGAGTAAAAAATTTGTTAATATTTTTGAAAATAATTGAATTCATTCGACGAATTTCATTTTAATTTAAAAGATTATTTCAATTATTTTAGAAATTTAATTAAAATTTTAAAAGTAATTGTATTCTTGCGATGAATTTTCTTTTTACTGATAATAATTATTCAATTATTATCAATTATAATTATTAATTTTTTTTAATTTTAATGAAATTAATTAAATTCCGATGAAGAATTTCATTAAAATTTAAAGAAATAATTGAATTCCAGCGATAAATTTTATTTTTTTATGAAAATAATTGGATTCTTTCTAAGAATTTCAATTTAATTTATAAAAATTAATTGAATTCCGACGAAGAATTTTATAAATTCTGAAGATAATTGAATTCTTTGGGAAGAATTTCGTAATTTATAAAAATAATTCAACTTCTATCGAGAATTTTATTTTGTATCAAAATAATTGAATTCTTTCTAGGAATTTTATTGAAATTATTTTAAAATTAAATTTATTAAAGTTATAAAAATTGTTGTATCAAAGGTTCTTCAAGGAGGTGTCAAGTTAAAAGTAGTGAAAGATAAATTGGAAAAAGTTGAATTAATGAAAAAACTCACAGAAGAAAGCTCCACACATTCATCTCTCTCAGCGGGTGATTTAGCGAATCAATCGAATCATTTGAACGAGGATTTAATTTTTGACAACTCAGCAGGATATGTAAGTTTTTCGTTTTCTGAAAAAAAGAAAAAAAATGTATTAGTTCAATTTTCACTTTCTCTAAAATTTATAAATTTTTTACGAAGTTTACTTACTCTTCTCAATTTTCATTACTCTATTTTCTTTCAATTCTCAGAAATTTTTTTTAAACTTCGAAAATTATTCTAAACCTAAATTTATTTTCCTCCGATTTCTTTTTAAAATTTTTTTTTATTCTCTTTTATAATTTACGAATTAAAAATTAATCGATTGATCAAAAGGAATAATAAACATAATTGAATTTTGTTTAATTTTATTTATTAAATAATTAATGAAATTAAATTTTTTTTTAAACATAAATACGGACATTCATAAATATTTGATTGATATCTTCAAACATTTAGATTCCAGTTTACAATTATTTAAAGACAGATGAACTTGAACGTGTAATAATTCCTGCACCATTGCTCATTTAGAAGTAGCACGTGCGTATCTATTCTTTTCTTTTTTTAAAGAATTAAAATCATTAAATTCTTTAAGAAGCGTCGTTATAATTAAATGTTTAATAATATAAAATATTTTCCAGAAGAAATTGACAAAAATTTTGTTATTAAAATCATGTGCATCTGTTTTTTTCCATTTGGGCCACATCATTAAAATAATAAAAAAAGCAGTTAAAATTTAGAAAAAAATTTTAACCAAATTTATCGCTAAATCGCATATTAATTTTTTTGATAAAAAATAACTGTTTATTGAGAAACAATTTTTATGCCTATACATTGTTTCAATTATTTATAAGAAAATATGTATAAAAACATGCCCAGCGATTTGCCGTCTCAAAAATTTCCTACTCTTTTCATTTTTCTAATCGTTTTTCTTTTCCTCTCACACACTCAATACTTTTATTAATATATTAAATTTAATAATAATCCGTGTTGAATTGATAAACAAATGAATGCATGCGTTTAAAAAAAAAAATTCACTCTAAAAAGTCACTTTAAAAAGTAAAAAAATTGTAACAAATTTAGAAGCGAAGTTTTCTTATACTAAATTAATAAAAAAGTACTTGACGCTTCTCAACATTAAAAATAAAATACTGTAAACAAATATTGATTATGAATCGAAGCATTTTTCAATTTACTTTCGAAAGTTCCTTATTTGAATTAAAAGGATATTTAAGAATCATCTTTTTTTTTTCTTTTAAAAAAAAGTTATTTCAATTTATTGCATCCATCATGGAGAATCGAGGTGGCGTCTTCCAAATTGCACTCGACGTACGTTTCAATCTGTTTTTATCAATTCCCTGGAATAATTCGGATAAATCTGGTGAACATTTTCTAACATTAAAAAGTTCCATTACTGCTTGCATTGGAACATATTCCTGCATTGCCAAGTGCTTGAGTCGATAAGAACCTAAAAAATTAAATATAACAATTAATTATCGATAAAGAATATTTTAGCAAGATTTTAATTTTATTTAAAAGACTATTAATTTTTTAAAGAGATTTTTACTTTTAGCCCAAGTTGGAATATCATGTTTTGGCCTCAGCTCATCATCAGAATCACTATCAGGCTCACTATCGATTTTGTAGCTGTTTATTAATTTATTTTGAGCCGTTGCTTGTTTCTGTAATACATTAAAATAATAAATAGATGAAATAAATTTCAATATTAAAATTGTGACAAAAAAAAGAAAACTCAGGGTTTTTACAAATTTTTCTTCGCGGGAATTCAATTTTTTTTTTCTACGTAATGAAATTCTTCGCAAGAATTCAATTATTTTCAATAAAATTCTAATAAAATTCTTCGCAAGAATTGCATTCAGTTATTATTTAATTATTTATAAAAATTGTAATAAAATTCTACGCACGATTTGAATTATTTTCAAAAAATTGTAATAAAATTTAAGAAACAAATTTTTAATTATAATTATTAACAAAAAATGATGATTTTAAAATCTTTAAAGAAAATGTTGAATTTTAAGAAATTCGGGTTTTTGAATTTTTGATTTTTTACTAAAGAGTGGAGACTATTAAATAAGTAAAGTATTTTTGAAGAGCCCAAAAATAATGAAGCTAAATGCAGTGAAAGAGAAGACAAAATGTTGAATTTTAAGAAATTCGGGTTTTTGAAACAATACTCAATTTTTCTTATAAGTAGCCAAATTCATCGCAAGAATTAAATTATTTTTTAAAAATAATAAAATTCTTCTCCAAAATTCAATAATTTTCAATACAATTTTAACAAACTTCAATAATCAAATATTTAATTATTTTCTATATTTTAATAAAATTCCTGGAATGAGTTAAATTATTTTAAAAAATTGTAATAAAATTCTAAGAAGAATTTAATTATTTTAAAAAAATTTTAATTTTAAATTCAATACATAATTAAATGTTTAATTTAAATTAATTGGAAACACGATTATTTTAAAAAATTGAAAGAAGTTGTTCCTAAAATTCAATTGCTTACAAAATTGTCAATTAAAATTATTCATGAAACTCCATTATTCAAAAAAAAAAAGAAATTCTTCAAAAGAATTTAATTAGGATTTTGAGAAATTTTAATAAAATTCTTCGAATTACAAAATTCTTTGCAAGAATTCAATGATTTTTAATAGGTACATTAATTTAAAAATTTAAAATATTAAAACTTTTTTTTTAAGAACAAGAAAAATAATATATTAATTTAAAAACCTTTTAAAATTTAATTATTTCTTAAAATTTCAAATCAAATTCTATTTTTAAATCAATAGTTATTGAATATCAACGATAATTGAATTACTTAAATACGGACATTTTTGTAAAATTTAATTATTTTTCAAAATTTTAATTACAATTCTTCAAAAAATACAAAAATAACTTGAAAATAGTTTTTTAAATAAAGAGAAAATAAAATTCTTTGAAATATCAAATTTATTTTAATGAAATTTTAAAAAATTTCCTATTTTTTCATTTTTTTAAAATTAGTTTCGAAAATTCAACTATTTTCAAAAAATTTTAATTGCGATTCTTTAAAAACGTCATTGTTTTAGAAATTCTAAATAAAATTTGTCAAATTTCATTAATTTTTGTTTAATAAATATTTGAATACTTATTGTTATTTATTTGCCCAACAGGAATGGATTTCGTTTAATTTGAGAAAGAAAATTCACAGACTGTTTAAGACTTGTAGATACCCTGAGAAACTAAGGTAAATTGAATGTAATGAAATACCTTGGCTTGAGCTGACATCATATTAACTTTAATTTTTGCCATTTCAGCAGCAGCTTGTTGGGCTTTTATTTCGGCAATTCTTCGTTTCTCAACTTCTTGCTCCCGTCGCTTTTGCTCGGCCAATTGCCTCTCCGTTTCCTCTTGTTCTCGTAGTCGTTGTAATCGCATTTCTTCTTCTAGTTTACGCTTTTCTTCCTTCTCCTAAGAAAAAGAAAAGATTGTTTAAAATTATAAAACAAAAAATTGTAATTATGTTACTTTCTATTAGTTATAAATTTTAAGTTAATTTAAATTTTAAATTTATATTTTTAAATGTATTCAACATTGTACGTTGTTATTCATTTAAATGCATTGCTTTAATTTATATTTTTTATATGTTAAATTCCAATACCAAAACACGTTTTTGATAAGCCATTCGCTTCTTTTCATTTTCAATTCTCTGAATCTCTTGTAAGTGTTGCATCTTCTTTTCTTTATCAGCTTTGTCCTTCTCCAACTGTAATCTTCTTTCCATCTCCTGCCTTTCTTTGGCTTCCCTCGCGAGACGATTCTTTTGCTCTTTTTCTTCGCGTTTTCTGTACAAAAAAAAGAAAGTATTATTAAAATAAATAGTACAAATCTAGAAATTTTTTGCATAAAATTTGTAGAAAAATCTAAAGTTTCACCTTTTTCTTTCTTCCGTTTGGGCTTTCAGAAGTTCTTCACGTTTCTTTTTGGAATCTTCTTCTTGTTGCTTTCTTTTTCTTTCCTCCAATAATTTATCATTTGAAGTCGGCTTTTGTGCAGATCCTTTCACTTGAATAAATGTGTCCACATTCGTCACAATATTTGTGCGCGATCCTGTCATTGTCTTGGAATACTAAAAATTTTTTTTTTAATTTAACGATTTTCAAAAATTTACAAATATGAAAAATTAGTTTTACACTTGGGGAAAAATTTTGAAATTTGATTATTTATTATGAAAGTAATTTATTTTTCAAATTTTGCATTAGGAACTGGTTTTTAATTTAAAGATTTTTTTATTATTTTGAAAAGAAAACTCACGTTAGAGAGAGATTGAGGATTTGATGGTGTCGTGAATCCTCCTCGACTAGATGAAGAAGGCATTGGTGGTCGAATCTTCGAATTTGGAGTTGTTCTGAGCTGTTGTTTTTGCACCAACTTATCATTTGTAGGGAATTTCAAATGCGAAGGATTCTAAAAGGAATTTATGTAAAATATTTCTTTTAGCTCGTTATAAAAATTATAATAAATATAATGTTAATTATATTCATATTATAAGTATAATTAAATCGAGTAAATAGTATTTTTATTTTAGTAAAAAAAATTGTAAAAATAATCGAAGATTAGTGGGGAAAAAAAAAATGTTTTACCTCTTTAGCGTCTTCAGATTCCTTAGCGTCCTTTGCGCGGGAAATTTGTTTCGCCTTAGCGAGTGATTTGCGTGCCAATTTTTGCGTAATTGAAGAACTGGACGAACTTTGATCGGTGTCACTGGCAGCAGCAAGAGCTCGAGTTTTTGTTCTCGTGAGTCGCATTCCCGTATCAACTTCAATTGGGTTTGAAAGTCCAGCTTGTTCAAACGCCTCAATCTTCTTTTTCACCGATTCCTTCGAATAAGGACTGAATAACATATTTTTCTTTAATTTACTCTTCGACTCTTGATTCTTTTCTCTATTAATTTCGCCAAGTATTTTCCTACCAGGAGTCAAATCAACTTCCTCATCACTCAATAAACTCGATCTTGTTACTCGTTTCTGCTTAACTTCAATCTCCCTCTTCTTCTCAATTTTCTTCGACATCTTCTTTTCTTTCGGCAATTTTCTCTCTGGCGATGATTCGTCGTCTGTTATCAATGGATCACTTTCGGGAACTGATTTCATTTTCGTTAAAGTAACACGAGGAATTGCAACTGGAACGGTAAATGCTTCTTTAACAAGTTCATTTGATTTTCCACTGCGAGTTCTTGAAATTCTTCCATTTTCCGTAATTGGTTTAACATTTTCAAGAACAACGGTTAAATTCATCATTTTTGTGTGTGTTTGATTTTGTGATGAGGAATTATTTGTGAGTGTATCATTATTGTCGGCTTGATTTAATATACGAGTTTCATTTACGACATGAGTTTGATTGTTGAGTGATGTTTTTGAAATGACACGAGTTTGATTGCCGAGGGATGTTGGTTTCATTGTTGAATTCATTATGGGAACTGCTTTGCCGATTGCATCTTCGTACATGGAAGGTTCCATAGTGTCATCGGGACTTGGACCGTCAATGGTTTCATCAATAATGTTTGCTTTCTTTGAATTTGGTTCGGAACTTCGTGGCGAGAGTGTTCTCTTTGATCCTCGTGATTCAATACTGTCGAGTTTTCGTTTCATCGTGGATTTATTTCTTGTTGGAGCTTCAAAGATTTCCTCCTCGTTTGAACTCAAAACTGGATCTTCGATTTGTTTACTTCTTGTTAATCTTGTACTTGAACGAGGCTCTTTCTTTATTTGTTTCTTCGGATGATTTGACTCTTCTTCGTCCGAGCTTCTTATTGAATGTAGACGTTTTACTTGACTCTCACGTGCTGTAGAAGCCTAGAGAAAAAAAATGTTATAAAATAAGGAAAGTTGTTTAAATTTTAAAATTAAATTTTAAAATCTGAAATTATTTAAAAATTGAAGTTTGTATTTGAAAATAATTGATTTTGTACACACCTTGCTATATGTTGTATTATCACTATCGTCACTGGGTCTTCGCATTTTACTATTGAGAGTAATAGACTGCTGTTGCCTAATAACATCACCAGCTTTTTTCAACGCTTCTCTCTTTGATTTTCGTCTTGTATCAAGTGGTTCATCACTATTCTGAATTTCAGACTCTTTTCTTAATGTTTTCACAGTTAATTTTTCGATTTCTACCAAATCGTCTTCTGGTATTGTTTCAATTTTCTTCAAATTCTTCTTTCTCACTACTTTTGGAGTTTTTGGAATTAATGGCCTAGATGACGATTCTTTTATTTGTTCAAATAATGAACCCATTGATTCTTTACTTTCATTAACAATATCAACGAGAAATTTTGATATTTCTGCTTTTTCGGCATTTAAACGTTCCATATCCGAAGATATAATTTGTAATATTCTGTCCCTCGTCCATCCTTCCATCGTGGAAATCTTTTTTAATACGGAAATAAAAAATATAAATTAAATAACAAAGATAAAATTTCTATATTTTATTGAAATAGTTTCAAATCAAATCAATAAATAAAGTTGCAAAAAAGAGAAAATTCTTCAATTTCAAAATACAAAATACTAAAAAATATTTTTCTAAACACTAAAAAAGGATGCAAGAAAAAATTTTTTTTTGTTGTAAAATAAGTACAAGCTTCGTACTTGATAATTAATTTTAAAAAAGTAACGAAAAGAAGCTTAAAAACTGAAAATAATAAAAAAAAGTAGTTAACGAATTAATTAAACTTGACTCAATTTTTTTTATAATTTCTTAAATAAATTCAAAAAAAAGAATAATTTTTTTAAATGAATATTTAAAAACCTATTTATTTTGTTTAAAGGAATAAAAATATTTCAAATGATTTCAATGTAAGGCATTTTTGAAATTTAACTATTTCTAAAAATTACAAAAGTAATTCTTTTAAAATTCAATAATTTTTTTCTTGAAATTTATAAATAAAATTATTCAAAACTTTAATCATTTTATTTTATTTAATTGTGAATCGATTCTTATTAAAAAGTTCTACGAGAATTCAATTATTTAAATAAAAAAATAAATAATTTATTAATTAATTGAATATTTCTTAAAATTGAATTCTTTTAAAGAATTTTATCAACATTTTTGAAAAAATTTGAATTTTTACGAAGAATTCCATTAAAAATTGATGATAATTAAATTCATTCGAGAAATGTAATTAAAAATGAGTTGAAAATAATTATTACACTCTTAGAAACAAATTATATTAATTTTTTTAAATAATTGAATTTTTTTGAGGAATTTTATTCAAATTTTTAAGAATAATTGCATTTTTAGCGGAATTAATTTAAAATTATATAAAAAATAATTGAAATCCTGCGATGAGTTTTATTATTTATGAAAATAATAATTGAATTTTTGTCACCGAACTATAATAAAGTTTTTAAAATAATTGAATTCCTGAAAAGAATAATGGTAAATAATTATATTATTTATGAAAATAATTGAATCATCTGTAGAAAATTTTCTTATTCATAAAAATAATTGAATTATTACGAAGAAATTAATTAATTATTTATTATTTGTAAATAATTGAATACCTGTGTAATTTTTATTATTTATGAAAATAATTAATGTTTGCGTAGAAAATAATTGATTTCTTTTAAAGAAGTTTATTAAAATTTGTGAAAATAATTAAATTCTTTCGAAGAATTTTATTTATGAATATAATTAAATTCTAGCAAAAAAAATTTATTAATATTTTTGAAAATAATTGAATTCTGTCGAATAATTTTATTAAAATTTTTTGATAATAATTAAATTATTTCAAGGAATTTAATTACATTTGTATAGAAATTAATTTAATTATTCTGAAAAATGTTATCAATATTTCTGAAAATAATTGAATTGGTTCGAAGAATTTTATTAAAATTAAAAAAAGAATTGAATTCCTTGAGAAAAATTTTATTATTTATGAAAATAATTGAATTCTTTCGAGGAATTTTATTACTTATTAAAATAATTGATTTCTGGACAAAAAAATTTATAAATACTTTTGAAAATAATTGAATTACATTGAAGAATTGTATTAAAATTTGTGAGAATAATTGAATTCTTTCCAGGAATTTAATATAAATTGTAATGGAAATTATTTAACTCTGGCGTAAAAAGTTGTTAATATTTTTGAAAATAATTGAATTTTGGAAAAGAATTTTATTATTTACAAAGATAATTGAATTTTTGACGAGAATTTTATTATTTATAAAAATAATTGTCTTTTTTCGAAAAATATTAGGAAAATTCTATTTTAAATAATTGAATTCATGTGAAAATTTTTTTATTTATGAAAATAATTGAATGATTGCGAAGAATTTTATAAACATTTTTTTTTAAATTATTCAATTCTTTTGGGTAAATTCTCAAAAATGGAAAAAAGTAGCTTTTAGTGTAACAAATAAAAAAGAGTATCCAAATAGTAGCAAATCGTAAAAAAAAGTAGTAAACAGCAGGTTTTTAGTAGATGAGTGCGAGGCCTGTAATTATAAACAAAATTCCAAGCAATTTACAAACTACAGATAAAAATATAGAAATTATAGCAATAATTAAAAAAAAATTTCAAAAGACAAATTTAATACATTCAGTATTAAAACACATGCTAAGAAATGAAAATTTTCTTTAGTGAATCTTTTTAGCGGGCTTTTTACTGCTTGCCTGTATGCAATGGCCATTGAAAAGAGTCTGTCACAACTACATATAGTTTATATATAGCTTGTGTTAGCAACAAAATTTTGTGAATTCATAACCAAATGTAGAAAACAATTTTCAGAAACAATTTTCAAAAAAAATTTTCTCGTTTTATAAAAAATACTGTTGATTATTTACTCACTGTGATTGAAAATAAGCAGATGAAATCTTATTTACTGTAGAAGGAGAAGAAGTTTATGTATAAGGTACATGCACGACAAGTTGTGACAAGCGCAAGTATATATAAATGTTTGTGATTAAAAAAAAGTTTCGTCTTCCTTGGATTTAAAAACACACTTCAATACTCACATTATTGCACAAAAACTATAAACAATATACTTTATTTTTCACGTACATTTGCAATCATGTCTTGTTTAAACCTGCTTTTTTCCGGTGTGCCTGCGAAAATAACGTCTTTTTCATTCAAAAAGCCAATTGCGACATCTGCACGCTTGTGTAGAATGACAATAATGTGAATGTGTGCGCGTCTATCGCAACGCTCGACGGGAAAAATTCGAACTTCCGGAGAAAAAATAACCGACAGTCGTTAAGGTATAAATACTGCTGGTAAATTAGTTTTCTTGAGATAATTATGATTCCATTTTTTATTACCAGATGTCGTATCTAAGTATTTTCTCGCAAGTGAGCTAGTGAGCAATTTTGCTAATTATTTCATTATTATAATATAAATAATTATAATAAAAAAGTGTTTAATTATTATATGTTAAAATTTGAAACTGTAGAAATTATTGTTAAATGTATTTTTAACAACAATAATTAATAATTAATTAATTAGTTTTCTGGTATATAATACTTTTATTTTGTAATAAAAGGTCTAAATTAATATTATAATAGATGTTGATACGTCATTATATTATTTAAACATAACCTTAAAAAGTAAGTTAAATAATTTATCATAAAAAATGCAATTTTTTTACCTATTAAAATAATAGTTTTTTACTATAATATAACTTTATATAATAATATTTTCTAGTTTTTAAATAGGATCTTATTTTCATTCAACTATTTCTATTTATTCAAAATTCACTAATTTTTCGAAAAATTCAATTCAAAATGAAATTGTTAAAAAACAGTTCTTCCAATTAAATTTCTAAGCAATTGTTAATATTTACACAGATATAAATTTGAATTAATTCTTTTTCAGGTAACATAAAATATACCAATAAGGGTCAGAGGAGTTAAGCCTTTTAAGTTTTCCATTGTAAGCATCTAGGTCTAATTTGCATCTTCTAATGCGTTTTCTTCCTCCATTGAAAAAAAAAGGTTTTTCGAGGAATATTTCTAAGTGTGCCAAAATTATCAGCCATAAACCAATCTCTTTATAAATCCTTAATGGTGTACAGCACTTCGTGGAAAAGCATTATTTCTTACCTTCTGACTTTTAGGTATATATTTTGCAGATATAGTTTGAAGATAATTTCTTTTCTTTTCATTTAACGATTTAAGATTTTAAGGACAAAACGTATTCACAGGGTTGCCAAAAAAATTTGACTTTTTCCCTGAATCTAAAAGAATATTCTCTGATTATTTTTAATAATTTAAAAGAAAAATTCTTTGAAAATTTTCAAATCCATTTGTTTAAAATATTCAAATTTTACGAAATTTCGATTATTCGGAAATTTTTCAAGTAAACATACATTAGAAAATAAGAACTTCAAATAATTTTTAAAAAAAAGTTCAATTAAACATTGACAAAAAAATCAATTCTGCAGAATTGTTAAATAGTTAAAAGTATAAAAACTTTAGATTTTCAAAGATTTCAATTTAAAACCTTTTCAAAATTCAATTATTTCTAAAATTCACGCTATAATGCTATTATTAATATTGAATTATTTTTTTAAATTATAACTGAGACTCATTTTTAAATTAATTTTGATGAGAAAATTCTACGAGAATTCAATTATTTAAATAGAAAAATAAATACCTAATTTATTGAATAATTGAATGTTTTGCTTAAAATTGAATTCTCATAAAGAATTTTATCAAGAAGTTTTTGAATAATTGAATTGTTTTTACCAGAAAATGTTTTTTGGGTCAGAATTCAATTATTTTCGTAAATAATAAAATTTTTCGCAAGGAATTCAATCAATTTCAAAAATTTTAATAAAATTCTTCACAGAAATTCAATTATTTTTAAAACCATTTTCTCGAAAGAATTAAATTTATTTTTATATAATTTTAAATAAAATTCTTCTCCAGAATTCAATTATATTCATAAATAATGCAATTTTTAGCAAGGAATTAAATTATTTTCTATACAATTTTAACAATTAAAAATAATTGAATTCTAGACAACAAATTTTGTTAATATTTTTGAAAATAATTAAACTTTTTCGAGAAATTTAAAAAAAAATTTTATTGAAAATAATTGAATTTATTTAAATTTGAGGAAAATTTTTGAAGTTTTGACAAGAATTTTATTCAAATTTTTAAAAATAATTAAATTTTGGAGAATTTTATTATTTATAAAAATAATTGAATTTTCGACAAGAATTTTTATAAATTTTTGAACATAATTGAATTTCTGCGAAGAATTTTATTACTTCTGAAAATAATTTAAGTAATTTTATAGAAAACTTTAATAAAATAATTGTTTATTAATGATTTTAAATGAGCTTGTAATTACATTTTTTTCGTAATTATAATTATTGAATTATACGGAGAAATAATGAGAGTAATAATAGTATTTTTGTAGATCAATTTCTACTCTCTTGAGGAAAGTTACCAAGATTTTAGAGTGGAGGGGGAATTTTGTATTTCATTTTCTGAGTATATTATACAATGGTCCTTAAAGGTTCAGAAGATAAGAATTCTTTCAGTATTGAAACGACATTAACGAAGAGAACTTCGTTTGTCATCGCATATTGGGACGAAATAAACAGAATGTTGTCTTAAAACATTTTCTTAATTGATTTTTAAGTGGATCATGATTTTTTAACATTAAAAAAAAATAGTCAATAGTTTACTGTGAAAATTTTAGTTTTTTTTTAAAAAATAGTGTGTGAAAAATGAATTCTGTGAGAAAATAAATATATTTTTTTAATTTTACAAATTTTATTCTGTAGTTTTGACGCTGAATGTTTTTTTTTTATTTTATATTCTTATTTATTGTAAATTCGTAGTATTATTGTGATTATTATAATAATTTTTTATTGTAAATATTTCCAGAATATACCAGATGAAAATTCGATTCCAAATGATGACACTTCACAAGAAAGTAATATTTCTTCAAATAATTTTTCATCAACGAAAAAGTATGAAAATTCTAAGTCAGAAACTCATCAGGTAAATAAATTAAAATATTTAATTTTCATTTATTTATAAGATAAAATATGGAAATATTTTATATTTTAATTCTTTTCAAATTAAATTAGAGGAGATTAATTATTTTTCAATATTTAAAATTTTAAATATGAAATTTCCATTCGATATTACAAAATTATTTCGAAAAGATTTTTAAAAAGAAACCTATTAAAAGGAAATAAGAAATTAAATTATTGAGAAATTTTTCTATTGATAAATTTAAAGATCATGATTATTATTTAATTTTTGAATTTTGTTTGTAAATTGTTGATTAATAAATAATAATAATTTAAATTTAAGTAGAAAGAATTTTCCTCAAATGTTTGTTTTCTGAAACGACAAATTTCAAATCACAAATTATAAAATAAAATAAACAATGGCAAATATTTACAGGTCATGCGTCTTACTATAATGACAGTAATTAAAAATTGTGTTTACATTATTATCAGTTAAAATAATGTAGAAAAAATAATATTTTCTATTCCTTACAATAAATTTCAAACTTTTTAATATTTTACCGCGTATACGATTTTTTCTCAATATAATCCATATTTTTTTTGTAAATTAAAATTATTTACATTAAAAGTTTGAAAGTAAATTAAATGCATTTTTAATTTATGAATTAAACTTTAAGAGAAATTTATATGTTTATATTTTTATTTATAATTACAGAATGAATCATTTCCATCTCATGCTCAAGTAGCTAACAATCCGGATCATTGTTTAGTGCCACACAATATAAACAATAATCAATCTAATACTCAAGGTAAATTTTATTTTAAGTTTTAATTTATAAAATTAAATAAGTGAAATAATAAGCGCGCGAAACGCTGTATTTGAATTCTTATTATTATTATTATTATGCCAGTTACACAATTTTTTTTAAATGTCAACTTTCAATTTTAAATTATTTTAGATTATTTTCATAAATATTATAATTCTTCAATTTAATTCAATTATTTTCAAAAATATTAACTAATTTTTCTAGACAGAATTCAATTATTTTAATAAATAATAAAATTCCTCGAAAGAATTTAATTGTGTTCACAAATTTTAATGAACTTCTTCTAAAGAATTCAATTCTTTCCATAAATAATAAAATTTTTCACAAGGAATTCAATTCTTTTCCTTAATTTTAATAAAATTCTTTGAATCAATTCACTTATTTTCAGAAATGTTGATAATATTTTTCAAAATAATTCAGTTAATTTCTATACAAATATAATTAAATTCCTCGAAAGAATTTAATTATTCTCACAAATTTGAAAAAAAATTCTTCGATACTATTTAATTATTTTCATAAATAATATAAAATTTGTCGAAACATTTCAATTATTTTTACAAATTTGTATAAAATTTTGTGCATGAATTAAATTAAAATTTAATAATTTTCCAATTATGAATTCTAATTCAAAACATTTTTTTAATTGGTAATAATTAATTGTTGTTATTATTTAATCTTTGAATAATAAATACAAAAGAAAGAATAAATCTCCAAAGCCTTAAATAAGAATTTAGTTAATTTTAAAATTAAAAATATTCAATTAGAAAAATATTGTCAAAAAATTAAAAAACGAAAAAGCAAGGAGAAACAACTAATTTCAAATTGCAAATAGATATCCAAAAAATTGAACGATTATTAATATTTTTCTTTTCTTTTTGAAAAACCATTTTTAATTTATTTTCTTTTTTCTTTTAGAATTCGGTGCTAGTAGAAGGAACCAAAGATTATCTTCATCAAACAATCATCGATGTGTAAGCAACAATTTTTGTTAAATTAAAAAAGCAAAAATTATTAAATTAATTAACAGTTAACGTGATTCAATTCCTCACGAATAGATTATTTTATCGATTATTTAATTTCAATTTTGAATTAAAAATATTAATTCTTTCTTTCTATTTATTTATTAAGACTTGAAAATAATTTGAAATTAATCTAATTCTAAAATAAATTTTTTCTTTAGAATTTAGATCACGAGAATTCTGCTGCTTTGAATCCATGGACAAATATCGCTCACTTTCACATTAATGCCTCGAAATTTCTTTGCGGTGGTTACTGCACATTGAGACAATTAAATCCTAATTTGGGAGTTTTTTTTGTACAGGTATTAATTTTTCTCTTTCCTACTTTATTTTTCTCTTTTTTTCTTTTTTTTTTCTTTTTTGTCACAAAACTGTAAAAGTTGACAATTTTTTGCTGATTATTTGCTAAAATTGTCAATTTTTATAGGATGCCAGCTCATCACAACCATTATATTCACTTTTAACAGCAAGCAGAGAACAATCAGGACTGCACTCTCCATTAACAGCAGGAATTCAAGTGACAAACGATCAAAATGAACTGAGTACATCGAGAAAAAAAATGAAATACAGTCATGGTATGATGTTTTAATTTATTTTTTTTGTCTGTTGTTAAATTTATTACTATTGTAATAATTGTAATGTTTACTTATTTATGTATTGTAATTTTTGTTTACAAAATAATATATTTATACTTTGATAGAGTATAAAAGAATAAATCATTTTTATAAATATGAATTAATTCGACATTGTATTTTGTATTTAAAAAAAATCTTGACCATTTCATTTAGAAGTAAGTATAATTATCGTTATAATTAACATTAATTTGTTTATATTTCTATTTTCTATTCTTTTTTTATATTTTATAAATTTAATAGTAAATTTCAGTATTTAAAACTTATATTCTTGGTATTTTTTAATACCATTACTTCATTTTAATCTTTTCTTTTTCTAAAAAGACTGATATTTTTGTTTTTTTATTTTTGGTTGAAATTTTTTTTTTTTTTTTTTAATTACAGAAGAGAGAATGGAAATGGAAAATAGTTCAAATTCTCGTAATGCAGAATCAGTAAGTAGTTTTTCAAATTTTTCCCATTGTTTCAATTTCTTTTAGTTTAATACATTTTTTTTGTTAATTTTACAGTCAAATGTGGTGCGTGGAGTTTCAGTTCAGGATGAAAGTGAAACTATCAGAAATGTTTTGCCTGAAAGAAGAGTTTGTAGTAAGAGACATAATCCGGGTTGTAGAAAATTGCGGTCCTCTTCATTGAATTCAACAAGTGCACGAGAACAATCAGGAGAGCATAAGGTAAAAAAAAAATTTTTTATTTAAAAATAATTCTTTAAAAATTTTAATAATTTTTTTCTGAATTTCTAAATTAAATTATTAAAAAATTCAATTTATATTTAAAATTAGTATTTAAAAGTGAAAAAATAGAATTCTTTAAAAATATAAAATTTATTTTAATAAAATGTGACAAAAATTAAAATTGTTTTAATTTTTTAAAAATTATTTTCGGGAATTTAACTATTTTCAAAAAATTTTAATTACAATTTTTCAAACAACTAATTTTTTCAGAATTTTCAAATTAAATTTTTCAAAAATTTTTCTTAAATAAATATTTAAATATACATATTATCTTTTCTTTGTCCACGTGAATTAAAATTTCAAAATACTTTCAATCTAAAACCTTTTGAAATTTAATTATTTCTAAAAATTTGAACTGTATGTAATTATTCTAAAATTAAATTGTTTTTAGAATTTTTGAATAATATTATTCAAAACTTTTAATTTTTAGGGAAAGTAACAAAACAATAATGTTTTTTAAAAATATTATTAAAATAAAAATAAAAAAATAAATAAATTAAAATTGAATTTAATAAATTTTTCACTCACAGACGAAATGTAGATCAAGTTCAGGAATTTCTGAAAATTCAAGAAGAGCTTCACAACAAGGAAATGAAATTGGTACCACAGACTCAAACGAAGACGGCAATGAAGGATTTTATTGTAAAAAATCGAAAAGAAGAAGAAGAGGTATTATTCAAAATTTAATTAATTCTTTTTTTTTGCAAAAACAGTTTTTTAATTTTCATTTTTGTTCTTTTCTGTTTTAGCTGCAAGGCAAGAATTTAATCAAAACGAAAGTCCAGTGAATGTAAGTTATTTCTTTATAATTTTATGTTGAAAGTTTAATATAATTTTAATTCAATTAAATAATCCATAACTTTTACATATTAAATAAATTCCATGTCAAATAATGTGAATCTTTTTCTTTTCCAAAACATTAGGTTTCTGATTTGAATCCTTCCATCAGTTATCAGGAAACATTAAAAATTTTACGCTTCATGTTGTCCGGAAGAACGTCAAATAATCAATTAAAAGCCATTGCGACAAACCAAAATAATTATCTGATGTTAATTGGTGAGATGACAAATTAATTATTAAAAAAATATTATACATTTGCAATTTTTTATTTAATTTTTTTAATTTCGAGCTCTTATTAATTTTTTTCGTATAATTAGTAAATATAGGAAAAATAATTTTCTCTTTATTTTATTCAGAATATCATTTCTTTTTGCATCCGTACAATAATCCAGAACAGGTAATAATTAAATAATTATAATTTTAATAAATTAATTGCTCAAGTATGTCAAAAATTCATAAATTTTTCTTTCTTAAATTTCAAGTTGATGAGCCATAGAGAAAGATCTCAGGCACGACAGAGAACACGACGACCACGGATCTTAAACGAAGGTTCAATTTAATAATTTTATTTTTAATCAAATCGGAACTATTATTTTTAAATTAATAATCAAACTTCCTTTAAAGAATTTAGTAATTAGAATTTTTTTATTTTAGAATCACACACTGAATCTAGACGCAATGTGAGTACTTTTACTACGTCCTCTTCTTTTTTTTTTACTTTTTTAGCAAATAAAATTAATTTTCTTTTTTCTTTTAATAGAGTTATGACGGAAAATTAAAAATCTTTAGATCGCAAGTAAAACCATTGGTAAGTTTTAATTATTATTTTACTTAATTACTTTCTTTAAATATAATTTATTGCCTAAATATTATTTTTTGCCTGACTTGGATTAATTGATAGTTATCACATATGATTTATTAGAATTTTTAATTCATTTGAATTAATTTTTACTTTTAAATTGTTTAAAATATAAAATACTCAGTTGAACGATTGTTTCATTGTTTAATTTAAAACTATTGTCTAATTTTTAGGGTGAAGCTCCAAAAAATGTTGAATTTCATATCAGGCGGAATTATATTTTCAAAGATTCATTTTGTTATGTTAGTACAATTGATGAGGTGGAAAAATTAAAGGCAAAATTATGGATTTCTTTTGAAGAGGAACCTGGATTAGATTATGGTGGAGTTAAACGTGAATGGTTTTGTCTTTTATCACGAGAAATCTTTAATCCTGATTATGGATTTTTCAAGTGTAGTTCAACGTGAGTTTATTTTAATATCTTTTTCTCACTATCGTTTTTTATTTATATTTTCTTGTATTGAACTCTAAAAATTGTATTGAAAATAATTAAATTCTTCCAAGAAATTCAATGAAAATTATTGTATTGAATAATTTAGTAATTTAGTTAATAAGTAAATTTTTTTAATATTTTATTTTTCAGGCAAAATAACTATTTGGAGATAAATCCTGATTCTGAATCATTTCATCATAATCATTTGGAATATTTTCGATTTATTGGACGAATAGTTGGAATGTCACTCTATCATGGCAGTCTTATTGACGGTAAATTAAGAAAAAAAAAACTCTATTAAATTTTTCTTTCAGAGATCAATTTTTCAATTTCTAAAATTTTTCTTTCATTACGATACAAATTTTTAATTTATTTTCTTTATTAACAAAAAAATGTTTATCACTTTTATTTTTCCTAATGAATTTATTTCTATTTTCAGCCTCGTTTTCGCCAATATTTTACTCAACACTTTTAAATAAGAAAATATCATTAGAGGACATTGAAAAAGTAGATCCAGAATATTACAAGAATCTCTCCTGGATTTGTGAGAATGATCCTGCGGAATTAGGATTGGATTTTACTGTTACAGACAGAGTTTTAGGAAAACTTATGAATATTGAATTAATACCAAACGGAACGAATGTGCCATTAACAAATGAGAATAAAGAATTTTATATTGAACATATTATAAATTGGAAATTCGTTCGTCGAGTGAAGGGACAAATGGAAGCACTTCACAAAGGTTTTTATGATTTAATACCAAAGGAGGCGATTGTAATATTCACTGAAAATGAACTCGAGAAACTTATCTGTGGTACACAAGAAATTGATGCAAATGATTGGAAAATGAATACTAATTATTCAGAAGGTTATTCCTCCAAGCATCAAACGATAAAATTCTTTTGGGATCTTGTTCAAAGTTTCAATAATGACATGAGGGCAAAACTTTTACAATTTGTCACTGGATCATCGAAAGTGCCAATGAATGGTTTCAAAAATTTATACGGAAGTAATGGACCATTATTATTTTCCATTCAGAAATTTGGATCAATTGATTCACTTCCGAGATCTCACACTTGGTAAGAAGTATTTTATAATTTATAAATTTCAATTATTAATTTATAAGAAGTATTTTATAATTTATAAATTCCAATTATAAATTTATAAAAAGTATTTATAATTTCAGGCTTCGCACTCAATAATTAATTTTAAAAAAAGTAGCAAAATGTAGATTTAAGATCGAAAAAAGTAGTAAAAAAAAGTATAGCTATTGAAAAATTAAATTTGACGACTAAAAAAAGTCGTTTTAAATGATTCAGAAAAATCACAAAAATTCATTTTTTCCCCTGATTTTTATTCAAATTTTCATCAAAAAATCTTTACTCATTTCCTTATACTGCTAATAACTTCAATTCTAAATTTTTACAAAATACAATACTTTTCTGAATTTTAATTAAAAAGTTTTTCCAAAGGACGATTATCATCTTAAATTTTTAACTGAAAATAATTTTTAAATCAATTCTTATTATAAAGTTCTACGAGAATTCAATTATTTAAATATAAAAATGAATAATTTATTAAATAATTGAATATTTCTTAAAATTGAATTCTTATAAAGAATTATATCAAAATTTCTTAAGATAATTGAATTCTTTCGAAGAATTGCAAAAAATTTTTAAGAATAATTGAATTTTTCGAGTAATTTTACTAAAATTCTTTTAAATAATTAAATTTCCGTAAAAATCGTATTATTTGTGAAAATAAATAAATTCCTGCTAAGAATATTAATAGTTATGAAAATAATTAAATTTTTGCAAACAATTTTCTTAAAACTTTTGAAAATAATTGAATTCTAACGAAAAAAATTTAATTTTGAATCAAATTGAATGATTTAGAGAAATTAATTTAAAACTGTATTAAAAATAATTGAACTCCTGCGGCGAGTTTTATTATTTACAAAAATAATTGAATTCTTAAGAGGAATTTATTAACATTTTTTTAAATAATTGAATTCTTTTAAAGATTTTAATAAAAATTTTTAAGAATAATTGTAATTTTAGAAGAATTTATTTAAAATTCTATTAAAAATAATTGAAATTCTTTGATGAGTTTTATGAAAATAATTTAATTCCTGCGAAGAATTTTATTAATTAAGAAAAATAATAGAATTCAGGTGAAGAATTTTAAGAATATTTTTTTTTAATTAATTGAATTGATTTGAATATTTCTTTATTTATAAAAATAATTGAATGTAAGTCAATTTTTTCTAAGAATTTTATTACTTTTATGTAATTAAAATTTTTTATTTTATTATTTTACGGAAAAAAATTGCATTGTTGTGAAGAATTTTTTATTTATGAAAATAATTCAAATCTTGAGAAGAATTTTATTATTTATGAAAATAATTGAATTCTTGAGAAGAATTTTATTTTTTATAAAAATAACTGAATTCTGAAGAATAATTTTATTACAATTTTTGATAATAATTGAATTCTTGTGAAAAATTTTTTTTTATGAAAATAATTGAATTCCAGCGATGAATTTTGTTATTTATGAGAATAATTGAATTATCTTAAAAAATTTTCGACGAATTTAATTAAAATTTTATTGAAATAATTTAATTCTTAGATAAAATTTTTGAAAATAATTGAATTCTTTTGGGAAATTTTATTAAAATTGTTAATATATGAATCAGTTTTAGTAAATGAGTGTGAAGCCTGTAATTTAATTACTTTTTAAAAACAATTTAAAATTATCAACAAATTACCAAAGTTTTTTGTTTTATATTACAGTTTCAACCGACTAGACTTGCCGCCTTATGATTGTTACAAACAATTAAAAAATAAGTTAATTTTCGCTATTGAAAATTGTGCTGGATTTGGCGGCGTAGATTAAAAAAAAATAAATTTTCTCTCCTCTTGAAAATTAAAATATAAGTAGTGAAATAATTATTGTAAACATCGACCTTGAATTTCTTTACCTATACTGTAAAGAAAATAAATTTCATAAAAATAGAAAATAAACTAAGAAAATTTCAGTGAAAGCGGTACAAAGCCAATATTTATTTATTTTCTTTTTTTTGCCAATTATCACTATTTTGGGATACATAGTAATAAATGGAAGAACTGTAACAATAGAAATAAATATAGAGTAACAATAAACTATTAAAGAAGACCGTGGTAAATAAACTGCTTTAAGTTGTATAACAATAACAATTACATGGTCTACCATAATGGCCATTAATTTTTTTTTCATTTCACATTTATAAAAATATACGCTCACATTTAAAAACTTAGACTTTTTTTTGTTGTCTTTGGAACTCAACATAACTCGTTTAACATAAACAATTTTTCTTTTTTTTTGAATAGAAAAAAAACTTCTCTAATCTAATAAAATAATAAATTTTATTTATTTTTTTAAATTAAAAATATTGAATTTAAAACAGACTTTTCAATTGTAAAATACAATTGACAATTTCACTGAATACAATTAATAATTGTATATTGATTGGATAATAATTCATTGGAATTAATGTAAATTGTTTAATCATTTTTTTTTCAATATAAAAAAAAATGCATATTTCCTTGGTTTTTTCAAAACAAAGGATTTTTAAAAGAACATTCACTTAATATAGTAGTGGATTTGTTTTTTTTAAATAGATTGATAGCGATTAATTTTTCTTCAACAAGCAGTTTCGCCGCTGACTCGATTGACTTTCTAAAACACTATTGAGCTAGTTTACAAATTCTATTGTCTGGCTCAATTACGTTATTGTCTAATTATAAATTTTTGTTTCAAATATAAATATATTGCAAGATATTTCCTGATCTAGTATCAGGAGTTAATACTGTTTTTCGTCTCTCGTATTAAAATGATATTTTTTTTTCTCTTCATCTTCCACGAAGCCTCTCTATGTAGAAAATTCTTGGTACCTTTTTTTGATAGAAACTGATTGTTTTTTCTTTTTCCTTTTAAAAGTCGAGAGAATTTTTTTTTTCTTTTGTCTCATCAAAACTTGACAATCTTCGGTTAAAGAACGCCCGCGTTCTAAAAAGCGCGTCCCATATATTTTTTTTTCTCCTTGTGAAAATTAAAATCTTGTATCGAACAATAAATCACACATTTTGCTTCTGATTTGAAAAAAGTTGGTACGCGCTTACAAAGTAGAAAACTAGAGAATTCACCAATCGAGCAATCTTATGTGTATATATATATATATTTTTTTTTAAATAGAAAGCTCTCATCGGCTACTGCAGTCTTTCTTTTTCCCTTTCACTTTTTACCAATGAACACTAAAAAGCACAAAAAATTGTCTTAAGTACGGAGCCTTGAGTCAAAGTTTTCAGCCTATTTAATTTGATTTAGGCGTTGTTTCGACATTATCGGCATTATCTGACGGGTAAGCACAACTTTCCTGTGATGAATTTTCCTCTGAATTACCAACGAGTGAATTAAATGTCTTGTCAATTTCTTCATCTAATCGTGGATCGAGTAGAATATCCATACCCGTTGTTCCCTTCTGACTGTACTTTTGAAAAAGGGATTTCACTATTTTCCACACTTCTCGATTATCTTTTATTACATTAACAAGTTGCTGAGTTAATGGAAATAGCGTTGCCAAATTTCTAGAAGAAAAAAATAGTTTATTAGGATTTTTTGTTGAATAAATTGAAAAGTAATATTTAGAAATTAAATTAATTTTTAATTAAAGTACAGGCCTTGGATCGACTTTAAGAAACAAGAAAACTTACTTTTCATTTCAATTATTTATTTACTAGCAAATGTTACGCGCATGATGTTCAATTAAAATTTAAAATTTTAATTAAAATTTTTTACTATCAAATCTGAATTTCTGAATAATTTCATAATAAAAATTTCAAAAATTCACTTATTAAATACATAATTAATTATAACTTTGTATATTTTCAAAAATTTTAATATAATTCTTCGTAAGAATTCAATTATTTTTATAAATATTAACATTCTTTGGAAGAATTAAATTATTTTTATAAGTGGTAAAATTTTTTGCAAAAAGTCAATTGTTTCCAACAAAATTTTAATAAAATTTTACGAAAGAATTAATTAATTTTCTGAAAATTTAATAAATCCTTCGAAACAATTCAATTATTTTTTTAAACAGTAAAATCTTTAAAAAAATTCAATTATTTTCAATAAAATTTCACGAAAGAATTCAATTTTTTTCTTAATTCGATATAAAATTTTTCAAAAGAATTCAATTATTGTCAAAACCTTTAATAGTAATATTTATAAAATTAATGAATTCTTTGAAGGATTTTAATTAAAATTTGTAATAATTATTGATTCTTCGAAACTTTTAATAATAATTCTTGAAAATTAAATTTAAAAAAAATGTTAATGTTATTATTTTCGGTAAATAATAATGAAGTTTCAGAAATGTTGAATTTAAAGTATTGAAAATAATTGATATGCTACGACAAATTGAATTAACATTTTTTAATAATAATTGAAATTATGCTAAATTATTTGCGAAAAAATTTATTATTTATGAAAATAATTGAATTCTTTCGAGAAATTTTATTATTTATTAAAATAATTGAATTCTGGTGTAAAAATTTGTACATATTTTTGAAAATAATTGAATTATATTGAAGATTTTTATAAAAATTTGCGAGAGTAATTGAATTCTGGCGTAAAAATTTGTAAATATATTTTTGAAAATAATTGAATAATATTGAAGATTTTTATTATAATTTGTGAGAATAATTGAATTCTTTCGAGGAATTTAATAAACATTGTAATGAAAATCATTGAATTCTGACGTAAAAATTTTTAATATTTTTGAAATTAATTGATTTTTATCGAAGAATTTTATTAAAATTTGTTGAAGATAATTTAATCTTCTCGAGGAATTAAATTAAAATTGTATTGAAAATAATTGAATTCTTTTAAAGAATTTTATTAAGATTTATGAAAATAATTGAATTGTTGCGAAGAATTTTATTAAAATTAAGATAAAGAATTGAAAACTTGCGAATAATTTTATTGTTAATGAAAATAATTGAATGGTAACGACAAATGTTAGTAAATGTGTTGATTCCTCCAATATTTTAATTATAATTCTAGAAAATTAGATTTAAAATAAGTTTCAATGTAAATATTCTTTGTAGATATTATTTAAATTTCCAAAAATATGTTTTTGAAAGTACTGAAAATATTTAAATTCTAAGAAGTTAAATGAAAATTTCTAAGAACTACTTTCTAATTTTCATTAATTTTCTTTTCTTTTGAAAAAATTTGACTATAAAACCATATAAATTTTTTTTGAGACTGTAAAAATTGGAATAAGTTGCAAATTAAAATGGAATTTTGTTGCAATTATTTAGAGCAAAAGTCGGAAAAAATCTAAAAAGTTATATTATTCGAGATCTGAGTCGATTTAAATTTAAAATAAAAATCGTTTATCTTTTCTAAAAAGAAATTTGATTTTCTTGCATTATTCAAGGACCATTCAGAATTGAAAAATGCTTACGTAAATAAGGGAAGGACGAGATTCGTGATAAATTGCACTTGAAGGTCTGGAATCGAAGCACGTTCTCTGTCCATCATTTCAATAGGTGCTGTTCCCATACTTTTCTCCAAATCTCCTTGAGAAAAGAACTCGTCGTATATTTGCTCCTGAAATAGATCAATTCAATATTATTTCCCTCGTCAATTTTTCATTCCCTTTAAGTTTAAATTGCCAAAGTAAATTCAATTTGTTCTTTTTAAATTTAAACTACCAAAGTAAATTCAATTAGTTCTATTACAAAAAAAAAGAATCAATCTTTATTTTCCTTAAAATAAAATAATTTTTAGAATAATAATTTTGTCATCAACTTACAGCAGTTTTTTTGGAGACTTTCCAAGTTTTGGTTTGGTCACTGAGATCACAACAGGTCATGAACATTGCGTGAAGTTGTTTTCTATGATCCAAATTATTCTTCTCATATCCTTTACTGATAATAATTTGTTGCTTATCAACATTTCGAAAATGAGAAGCCAAATCAGTGGCGAGAATATTATTTCTCAACAGATCTAATGCTTCACTATATTCCTCACTCGTGAGACTCTCAAAAATATTGCATCCTTCAGTATTTAGAATGCACATCGATTGAGCTAAATGATGCCTCTGGAAAAGAAAAATTATTCTCTCAATTTTTACACTGTGGATAATTAAAAAAAACAATGTTAAAAATTGTTTAAAAAAAAACAAAGTCCAAATTAGAAAAATTAATTAAATCAGAAAAAAGAGGAAAGAAATACAAAAAAAAAGAAAATACATTTTCGAAATAATAGCGAACCTCCATTACTGATCCCTCGGAACTATAAAGACTAGCGAGAACTGTTCCACACTTTGTTTGGAATGAATTATTCGTTCCTCTGTGATCGATATCATGGCACAAGCAAGAGACAAGAAAAACAAGAGCCTGTAAATGCGACATATATAGATCGCCAATCAATTCGAGATTTTTTATCATTAAATAAGCGAAATGGGCAACGGAAAATGCGTGCACCCAATTATGATATGGAGCGTCTCTGTATCCTTTCTTCACGTACAGAATAAACCTACAAAATAAAACAAATATTTACAAAACAGAAACAAACAGTAACAATAAAAACAGAAACATTATTAAAACTCTTCGCAAAAATTCAATTATTACTTTTACAATTTTAAATGAATTCCCCAAAAAATTCAATTATACATACTTGAAAATTTTATTAAAATTCTTTGTAAGAATGAAATCCAAATCATTTGAAATATTTTAATTTCTATTAAAAAAATTATTTAAAAAAAATAAAATACTTTACCAGACTTCAATTATCTTCATAAATAAAATTAAATTCTTTTCAAGAATTCAATTCTCATTCTTAATTTTAATAAAATTCCTCGAAACATTCAATTATTATTTTCATAAATGTTGATAAAATCCTTTAAAAGAATTCAATTATTTTCAATACAATTTTAATTCAATTCCTCGAGTAGATTTAATTATTTTCAAAAATATTAACAAATTTTTACGCCAGAATTCAATAATTTTGAATGTAATTTTAACTGAATTCCTCGAATGAATTTATTTTAATTATTTTCAAAAATATTATCAAATTTTTTTTTGACCAGAATTCAATAATTTCAATAAGTAATAAAATTGCTTGAAAGAATTTAATTATTTTCATAAATTTTAATAAACTTCTTCAAAAGAATTCAATTATTTTAATAAATAATACAATTTTTCCCAAAGAATTCAATTCTTTTTCTTAATTTTAATAAAATTCTTCGAAAAAATTCAATTATTTTAAGAAATTAAGGATAAAATTTCTTAAAAGAATTCAATTGAAATCACTTGAAATATTTTAATTTTTATTGAAAAAATAAATAAGTAAATATTTAAATATTTATTTAACAAAAATTATTCAATTCAATTTATTCATAAATATTCAATTATTCAGAAATTAAAAAAAAATAAATAAATTGAAATAAACAAATAAATGAAACAATTTTTTGAAAATTTCTCGTCAAGATTCAATTTTTTAGGGAAATTTAATAAAATTATTAACAGAAAGTAAATTATTTTTCAAAAATGTAGTAAAAGTTTTCCAATTATTTCAATTATTTTTAAGTCAATTTCAGTACAGTTTCTCGAAAGACTAATTATTTTAAACAAAATTTAATGAAATGATTCATAAAAATTAAAATATTTTAATCTAATTTTTTGAAAGAATTTAATTAAATTTTCAAAAATTTTAATAAAATTATTCGCAAATAATTAGATAATTTTTAAAAATTACAAAAATTCTTAACAGGAATTCAAAATTATTATTAAAAATTTTACAAACAATTTAATTATTATTTTAATAAATAATTAAATTTTTCACAAGGAATTCAGTTATTGTGAAAAAATGTTAATAAAATTCGTCGAAAAAATTCAATTATTCTCAAAAATATTAACAATTTTTTTGGCCATAATTCAATTATTTTAATAAATAGTAAAATAAATCGAAAAAATTCAACTATTTTCTAAATTATTAACAGACTTTTTGTCCAGAATTCAATTATTTTAATAAATAGTAAACTACATCGAAACAATTCAATTATTTTCAAAAAATGTAATAAATTAACTTTTCATAAGAATTTATGACAAACTCTTTAATTATTTTCATAAATAAAATTCTTTACAGGAATTCAATTGTTATCAAAACAATTTCTCGAAAGAGTTAAATTTTATTTTTATAAAATTTTAATAAAATTCTTTGCGGGAAATCAATTATTTTCATAGATAATAAAAGTTTTCCCAAGGAATTTTATTTTGGAAAATTTTTATAAAATTCTTTTCCGGAATTCGAGTATTTTAATAAATAATTAAATTTTTCGCATGGAATTCAGTCATTTTCCAAAAATGTTAATAAAATTCGTCGAAAAATTTCAATTATTTTCAAAAATATTAACAAATTTCTTAGCCAGAATCTAATTATTTTAATAATTAGTAAAATACATCAAAACTCTTCAATTATTTTCATAAATAAAAATTCTTTGCAGGAGTTCAATTATTTTCAAAACAATTTCTCGAAAGAGTTAAATTTCTTTTTATTAAAATTTTATAATAAAATTCTTTGCAGAAATTTAATTATTTTCAAAAATAATAAAACTCTTCGCAGGAATTTAATTATTTTCATAGATAATACAAAACAACAAGAGACATTGGTGCAAAAATGTAAAAAAAAGTCTTTAAACCTTTGTAATAAATAGAAATAATAAAAAAAATTAAAAAATTGTTTGATGATATTAAAAGTGTTGAATTTAATCCACTAGGCTTTTATCAATTCCAATCAAAATGACTCTCTTATTAATAAATTAAAAATAGAAGCAATTAACCTTGCGAGGGTAGTTCTCTTAATTTTCCAATGGTCAATAAAACCTAGGTCCCTAAACATTTTGAGCACGTAACACGGCATGTGTCGATATGGTATATTTCGAGGACTAAAATGAAATTGGTCAAAGTCCTTGATATTATGATCGTCCCTACAATTTAGTAGCGCCTGAACTGCTTCATCTTCCACCTAAAAAAACCATTTCAAAATTCTATTAAAATACTTTTCGTAATTTTTTTTACATTTTTCACTTTAATTCTAAATTTTAATTTCCAAATTCTCTTTTAAATACTACAAATATTTATTATTAAATTATAAAATAAAATATAATTCTAATTCCACTACAAAATATATTATCAAAACAAAATTAAAGAATTAATTAATTTACAAATTTATGAATAATATTTTTAAATTGTTCAAAATTGAAATGTTTAAATATTAAAACATAAATTTAATTTTCCATTTAAATAATTAAATTATTTTGAAAATTAAACAATTTTTTTCTTTAATTAAAATTTTGATTATAATTTGTCTTGTTTTTTTGTTTTTCTTTCAAAGTCATGAATTATTTAGGAATACATTAATTAATATTTAAATATATACTGAAAAATTACCTGCTGCTCTCATCAATAAGGAGTTAGTTTAAGTGCAGAAACAAAATGTTATTAATCTGTTTAATGAACCCAGTATACCAATTACAAATGCATTTGTGTTAATTACCTGCATGTGATACATCATAAGTTCATTGCTGAGCTTATTTCTAGCTTGAGCGTCTTGAATTTTTTTATAAACGATGCTGTGCATTATTGAGATGCCACAGTAAATGCTAAAAGCTGTCGCAACCTCTTCGTCAAATACATCAAAATATAAACCATCCATCTTATTGCACAGTTGAGCTACTCCTAAAATATTTACATATTTAATCTTCTCCATTATTCTCATTCTCATTATTTTTTTTTTATTTTTTTAATTCTCCGTATAATAAAACCAAAAAAGCAAAGACTATAAACTTTTTTGGGTTTATTATTTTTATTATTATTATTATCATTATTTTTATTATTTTTAATACTATTATTATTTTTAATACTTTTATTATTTTTATTACTTTTATTATTTTCATTACTTATACTATGTTTATTACTTTTATTATTTTCTTACTTTGCATTCGTACTTTGTAAATATCGATTCAAGCGTAAAAGCTTGAAAAAAAAACAAATCAAGAAGATCTGTTTCGTTTATTTTATTTAAATACTCTTTTATTCTTTTTTATAAAATAAAACGTACCTATTATTCTTTCCTCATCTCGAATAGGGAAACAGAGAATATTTCTCGTCTTAAAACCAGTTACATCGTCAATTCCTCGATAAAATAGAGGGTGACTATATGCGTTTCGGATATTGAGTAATTTCCCTGACGTCGCGACATGACCGGCAATTCCCTGATTCAGGGAAATTCGCATTTCCTTTACTGTCTAAAAACAATTCGCACATTATTATTTCAGTAGTTGAAAAATTTATCTAATAACACATTTTTTATATTTATTGAAAATTAATAAAGAACCAGCGAATTTTACGAAACATAATGTTCAGTTCATTAGTATTATTATGGAAATTACAAAATTTCTTGTTTTCAAAAAATAAACTTCAATTTTTGAATAAATTGACAATAAAAATTTCAAAAATTGATTTATTTACAAAATTATTGTTGTTTATTATTTTTAGAAATTTAAATAAAAATTCTTTGCTTCAATTCAATTATTTTCATAAATAACATTCTTCAGAAGAATTTAATTATTTTTGTAAATCAAAGATTTCAATTATTTTCATAAATAATAAAATGCTTCTCAATATTTGAATTATTTTCATAAATAAAAAAATTCTTCACATTAATGCAATTTTTTCCATACAATTTTTAATAAAATTCTTGTCAAAAATTCAATTATTTTCATAAATAATAAAAATCATGAAAGAATTCAATTATTTTCTAAAATTTTCATAAATTCTTCGAAATAATTCTATTATTTTTACAAATAGTAAAATTCTACGCAAGAATTAAATTATTATTTTTATTCTTCTTTGGAATTCAAATTATTTTCAATACAATTTTAATAAAATTCAATGAACAAATTAAAAATTTTAATTATTAACAGACAAAATTATTTTTAAAAATTGAAAAAAAAATTCTTTTTCGATTCAATTATTTTCAAAATTTTCTGTTGAAATTCTAAAAAATTTTAATAAAATTCAATAATTAAATGTTTAGTTATTTAATTATTATATCAAACTCGATTATTTTAGAAGCTTGAAAGAAATTCTTCATGAAATTCAATTACTTTCAAATTACTTTTAAAAAAAAAAAATTTAAGAAATTCTTCAAAAGAATCTAATTAGGATTTTCAAAAATGTTGATAAAATTCTTCGCAGGAATTCAATTATTTTCAAAATTAATAAAATTCTTCAAAGAAATTCAATTATTTTCAATTTTTTACATAAAATTCTTCTCAAAAATTCAATTATTTTGAAAAATTTTGATTAAATTCTTTTTGAGAATTGAAATATTATCCATACAATTTTAATTAAATTCCTCAAAAAATTCAATTCTTATTTTCAAAAATTTTAAACAAATTCTTAGCAAAATTTCAATTATTTACATAATTTATCAAATTTTTCGCAGGAATTTAATTATTTTAAAGAATTTTAATAAAATTCTTTGCAGAAATTCTATTTAATTGAAAAATTTTCATAAAATTATTCATGTGAATTGAATTATTTTCATATTTAATCAAATTCTTTGCAGGAATTAAATTCTTTTAAAGAATTTTTATAAAATTCGTCTGAAAAAAAATTTTTCAAAAAAAAAAAATATTTTCAAAAATTGCAATATAATTATTTTTAAGAAAAAAATTTACTTAAATTGTTATAAAATTTCCCGAAAGAATTCAATTATTTTAAAAAAAAATGTTAATTATAACATCCTTCGCAGAAATTCGATTATTTTCAAATATTTGTCAAGAAATTTAATTATTTTGAAAAATTTGGATCCTTAGAAGAATTAAATTATTTTAGATTCGAAATTATCAAAGAATTAATTTTAATTGAGAACAATTTGATTTAATTAATTCTTGGTATTTTTTAATCTTCTAAGCATTAAATTAAAATTTCATTATTTTTAAAATTCAAAACATTAAAAAGGAAAAATTATCAAAAAAATTAGGAAATAAAAAGCAAACAAAAATATAGATTATATTAAATATTAACAATTTCAATAAATATGAGGGTTGACACAAAAATTTAATTTCCTATTTCCGAGATAAAAATAATTATAACATTTTCTCCCCTTGAATTTTATTTTATTCTCATAAAATAATATTTAAGGGGAGATCAAATGATAAAAAAAAACTACAAAATATCATTTTTAGAAGGAAAAAATTAATTCTTTATAGAAATTGAAATATATTTTAAAATGTTTAAAATCCTCTGAAATTGAGTTATTTTTGAAAATTGCACCAGTTTATAAATAAAAATTTTTCTAATTTAATTATAATTCATAATCTCTTTAAAAAAGTTATTTTCGAATTTAATTATTTAAAATAAATTTAATTATTTACAGAAATAAAAAAAATGAATATATTTTTAAATCCATTGTGACGCAAAAGTTTTTAAGATGAAAAAGAAAGTTTAAAGAAAATTATGTTAAATTTAAAAAAAAATTGTTTTGAACACCAAAGATTGGAATTTTTCTATAGTATTTCTAGAAGATTGATATTTTTCCAGTAGTTTCGATAAAATTTTTCCACATTTCCCTGATTTCTCTGTGGCAACTCTGAATATAAAAAGAAAATAAAAAAATAATCTGTATTAATATTTTTAATATTTTTAATATTTTTAATATTTTTTAGTATTTTTAATATATTTTTTAATATTTTTAATATTTTCAACAATTTTTTAAACGACTATAAAAATTAAAAATAAGAAATAAAAATAAAATGAATTTACCATAAGAAAAGAAAGGAATTTCTTTTATGTTTTAAAAAATAAATATTAAAAATAATTATAAAATAAACGTACTTCACCAGTAACAACTCCATCGAATACCTTAGCGACCAAGTCTTGTTGTTCAGTATCCAAGAGAAACAAAGAACAACGTTCGGCATTCGTTAACTTTCTAGCCTCGGCCATTATTTCTCGTAATAGGTCTGATAAATCTCCTATTCATTGAACAACACAATTATTACAGATTAATCGAGGATCAAATACGTAAGCGCTTATATAAACAATAGACGTTAATACCTAATCGCATGAAAAGCTTTCGAGAAACTGCCAATAAATTTTGACACTGAATCTTTAATCGCGCTTCCTCTTGACAACGCAATGTGCTTAAAAGTAATCCCAGGCAGTATCTATACACAAAAATTTCAAGTTCAAACAAATTTTTATTCGCATCCAAAATTGTGATCGTATTTTTCAAATAATTATGCCAACAACAATAAAAAAACTCCCAATACGTCAAAGCATAATAATTATGAATGATAAAGAAAAAGTAATGACAATTCTGAAAAAATTAAAAAATTAAAAAATAACGAAGTCGAAGAATTGAAAATTAAAATAAATAAAATCCAACTATAGGAAGATTATTATCAATCAATTTTCTTATAGAAAGAAAAAAAAGATAAAATGCATTTTTTTTTATTAGAGAAAATCTTGAAAAAAAAAAATGAAAATTTAAACCTTTTCTGTAAATTTAATCTTTAGTTGAATAAAAAATGTTTAATTATTTTAATTATTTATTTATTTGTATTATTTGTATTGAAAACAAAAATTACGAGCATTTGTTAATTTCGAAAAAAAAATGAATCTCACCTGAAACACTCTTGCACCATTTTTGTGCAATTGTGATCGGCATCTTCTTTATTATCATAGTCGACAAGACACACGACTAAAGCAATATGATCTTTGATGGGATGTTGAATCGGAATGCTAAGAAATAAATTAGGAGCTACATCTACAACCGAACGAAGGTGTTGCAATAACTCTTGGTCAAGTTCTGTGATATTTTGTGCCATGGATTTTCGTTGTTTGACGGCTCTGTGCAAAGCATGATTTATCACCTAAAATAGTGTCAATATTTTAACTGAATTTTTGCCCTTGTTTTTTTCAATAAAAAAAACAAAAAAAACAAAAATAGTAAAAAAAGAATCAAAGGGCATAGAAATTGGATAATATTGTAAAATTATATAGTTCCTCTTATCAATAGTTATTTATTTTTTTTTTTTTGAAAATAAATTTCCTATCCTAAATGAATTGTAGAAACAAGGTTGCCAGAAAAATTTAATTTTGTTTTTCCCTGACTTTTCCCTGATTTCCAAACAAAATTTTCACTTTTTCCCTACCCCTAAAGTATATTCTGATTCACTTTAAAAATTATTAGATCCATTTGCTTACAATTCAATTTTACGAAAGTTGGATTATTCGCAAATTCTTTAATTGAAAATTATTAGAAATAATATTTGAAAATAAAAACTTTAAATAATTTCAAAACAAATTCAATTAAACTTTTTCAAAAAAATTAATTCTACAGAATTGTTAATTAAAAGTGTGAAAAACTCAGATTTTCAAAGATTTTAATTTGAAACCTTTTCAAAATTCAATTATTTCTAAAAATTCAAGCTACATATGTTTTAATATTCAATTATTATCTAAAATTTTGACTTAAATTTATTTTAAAATAAATTTTTATTGGAAAAATCTACGAGAATTCAATTATTTAAATACAAAAATAAATAATTTCTTGAATAATTGAATGTTTCTTAAAATTAAATTCTCATAAAGAATTATCAAATAATAATTATCAAATAAAAAAAAAGAATATTCTTTTTAAAAATTGAATTCTTTCAACGAATTTTATTAAAATTAAGAAAAAGAATTTAATTCCTTGCGAAAAATTGTATTATTTATGAAAATACTTGAATTCATTAAAAATTTACATTGAATTCTCGTAAAGAATTTTATCGAAAAAATGTTCTACAAATTGAATTCTTACAACGAATTTTATTAAAATTAAGAAAAAGAATTGAATTTCTTGATAAAAATTGTATTGTATTGTTAATATTTTTGAAAATAATTGAATTTATTGGAGAATTTGATTAAAATATATGAGAATAATTAGATTCATTCGAGGAATTCAATAAAAATTGTATTCAAAATTATTGAATTCTGGCGTAAACATTTGTTAATATTTTTGAAAATAATTGAATGGTATCGAAAAAATTTATTAAAATTTGTTTAAAATAATTAAATCCTCTAGAGGAATTGAATTGAAATTTTATTGAAAATAATTGAATTCTTCTAATCGAGGAATTTTATTAAAATTCTTATGAAGAATTTAATTATTTATGAAGGTAATTGAATTAAGGTGAAGAATTTTATTAAATTTTTTTTTAAATAATTGAATTCCTGTGAAATTTTTATTATTTATGATAATAATTAAATGTTAGCGTAGAATTTTATTAGCATTTTTTTATAAAATTGATTTCCTTTGGAAAATTTAAATAAAAAAGTATAATTAAATTTTTCGTGGAAAAAATTGAATTAAATGATTCAGAAGAATTCATTTAAAATTGAATAAAAAATAATTGAAATCCAGCGATAAGATTTATTATATATAAAAATAATTGAATTCTTAAAAAGAATTTAATTATTTAGGAAGAAAATTGATATTTTGACGAGAATTCAATTATTTAAATAAGAAAATAAATAATTTATTGCATAATTGAATGTTTCTTAAAATTGAATTCTCATAAAGAATTTTGTTTAAAGATTTTGAAAATAATTGAATTCTTACAGAGATTATTATTAATATTTTGAAAAAATTGAATGATTCAGAGGAATTCATTTAAAATTGTATAAAAAAGTAATTGGAATTCTGCTATGAATTTAATTATTTATAAAAGTAATTGAATTCTTAAGAAGAATTTATTACTACAATTTTTAAAAAGAATTAAATTTCGGGAAAGAATATAATTATTTAGAAAGATAATTGATAATTTGACGAGAATTCAATTATTTAAATACAAAAATAAATAATTTATTGTATAATTGAATGTATCTCAAAATTGAATTCTTGTGAAGACTTTTATCAACAAAATTTTGAAATAATTGAATTCTATCGTCAAATTTTAATTAAATTTTTAAGAATAATTACATTTTTCGAGGAATTTGATGAAAATTGTATTAAAAATAATTGAAATCCTACGATGAATTTTATTATATATGAAAATAATTGAATATTTTTAAAAAGAATTTTATAATATTTATGAAAGAATTAAATCTTTGTACAAATTTGTATTATTTATCAAAATAATAGAATTATTGCGAAGATATTTATAAAAAATTTGTAAATAATCGAATTCCTGTAGAATTTTAATTATTTACAAAAATAATTGAATTTATGCGTAGAATTTTACCTTTAAATTTTTTTTTTTGAATAATTGAATTATTGAAAATAGAAGAATTTTATTATTTTTAAAAATAATTGAAATTTTAATGAGAATTTAAAAAAAATTTTGACATAATTGAATTTTTGCGATGAATTTTATTGCTTTTGAAAATATAATTGAATTTCTGCAATCATTTGTAACTTCTCCAAATTTCAATTTTTTTTCAGTGTTTTTAACTAAGATTCTTCTACAAATCTATTATTTTTAATAATAAATTAAATATTAATTAAAAAATGTAATTAATTTCAGAAGAATTTTAATTATTAACTTTTTTCAAAAATCTAAGTACTTTAAAATTTTTAATTAAATTAATTAAAAATTGAAATTTTATAAAACTTCAAATTGAAACCTTTTGAAGTTTGTCTATTTATTAAAATGGTAAACGCCACTCTTTTAAAATTCAATTAATTTTTAAAAATTTGAGTAAAATTATTCATTGAATAATTTACAAATAATAATATGATAGTTCTTCAAGAATTGAGTTATTGTCAGAAATATAAAAAAATTGAAGGTTTGGTATTAGAATGAGTGGTAATTTCAATGCTTTTTTGAGGCAAACAAAAAAGAGTCAAAAATTCAGAATTTTCTTATGAATTCTAATCATTTAATTTTTCCAGTTCTTTTAATAAAAATTCCTGATTTTTCCCTAACTTCTCTGACGAATTTTATTTTCCTTGACTTTTTCCTGAATTCCCTGACCTATGGCAACCCTGTAGAAACAATTTCAAGATTGAATTTAGAAACAGAAAGAAAGAAGAGAAAAGAAAAATGTTACGATGCGTGTGAATAACATGAAGAATGTTATCTGTTTTTTTTTTTTTTTTTGTAACAAATGCATAATACTTACGAAAAAATTGATACTGAAATAAAAAATGAGATTTGATATCGTAAGATAGTATTTGCTGAAGTGAATGTGCTTCGAGTGTGTTTATAATACAGGCTTAGCTTGTGGATCGATGTTACTTCTATAAACTTGAATGGCTTCTATAATGCCAATTGCACAAGTGTGGAGATATGTCTCTACTAAGGAGTTTACAATTCTCTGTGAAAATAAACAATACTTCTTGTTTTCCTCTCATTTTCATATTTGACAAATAAAATTAAATAAAAAAAAAAAATTATCAACTCCAATAGTTTCCTTTTTAAATTTTTCAAAAGTTCAAAAACAAAATTACGACTCTACAAACTTTATGTAGTAAAAAACACAATCAATGAAAAAATCTACTGATAATATAATAAATCTATTGTTAAATATATAATTCGCTGAATAATTAATTAAATAAATAATTAACTAAATAACTGATTAATTAAGAAATCCAATAATAACTAATAACTGATTAATTAATAAATTCAATAATTATTAATAAAATAACTGATTAATTAATAAATTCAATAATAATTAATCAAATAATTATTAATATAATAAATAAATAAATCTATATTAAATCTAATTGATCTACAATCTATTAAAAGATAAGAATCTTAAGTTTCAATTTATGCACAGAACCTTCAATATTTCAGCAGACACTGGTGGAAATTTTTAATAAAAACTGTGAATAATTCTTTCTACTTTTGAACAGTTAACTTTGTATGAAAGATAAATGAGAATAAGCGAAGAAAATGATTATCTTTTTTTCTGTTTCAAAACATTTAAATGAATGATTTCTTTTCTTTTTTTTTCTTTTTCTTGAGTTTTTATATTTAGAAAAGCAGTAGTGTTAATAAATGTTGTGTCAGTTATGCTCTAAAAAAAATCAAATAACCTGCAAGCTCACCGGAAATCTCAATTCTCGATCCAGAATTTTTTCTCCAACCACGTGAATAACCATTTCTTCAGTTTCGAATAAAATCGGCGCCAAAAATGCCACTTTCGCTCCGGTCACGTTTTGAAACTGTGAAAAAATGAGAAAAAATTATTTAGAATTCAGTAAAATTCGTTAAATAAAATTGAAAATTAAATAAAATTGAAAATTAAGTAAATTTGAAAATTATAAGAATATTATTACTGTAACTTCTTCAAAATTATTTTCATCAATTCAATTAAATTATTATTTTTTAGAATTTTTAACTAAAATCCTTCTTTAAATCAATTATTTCTAATAATTTTTAAATCCATTTGTTTACAATTCAATTTTACATAAAATTTCGTTTATTGGAAAATTCTTCTATTAATTATATTTTAGAAAATAAAAGCATGAAATTATTTTTTTAAAAAATCCAGTTAAACTTTTTTAAAAAAATGAATTCTGCAGAATTGTTATAGTCAAAAGTATAAAAAATTCAAATTTTCAAAGATTTTAATTTAAACCTTTTCAAAATTAAATTATTTCTAAAAATTTACGCTGTAATGCTTTTATTGTTGAATTATTGTCCAAAATTTTAACTAAAATCCATTCTTTAATCAATATTTATTAGAAAATTCAACGAGAATTCAATTATTTATTTATTTCTTTATTTTTACAATTTCAATTAAATACAAAAATAAATAATTCATTAAATAATTGAATGTTTCTCAAAATTGAATTCTTATGAATTTTATCAACAAAAATTTTTAAATAATTGAATTCTTTGGTTGCATTTTAATTAAATTTTTAAGAATTAATTACATTTTTTCGAAGAATTGGATTAAAATTGAATTAAAAATAATTTAAATTCTGCCATGAGTTTTATATTATTTATGAAAATAATTGAATTCCTAAAAAAAATTGAATTACTTATAAAAATAATTGAATCTGTGTAAAAAAATTGCATAGTTTATGAAAATAATGGAATTATTACGAAGAAACTTCTAATAAATTTGAAAATACATAATTGAATTCATTGTGAATTATTGAATTTCTTATGAAATTTTTTTTATTATTCTTGAAAATAATTGAAATTTTGCCAAGAAATTTATTAAATTTTTTTGAAAATAATTGAATTTCGGAGAACAATTTTATTATTTATAAAGATAATTGAAATTTTGCCGAGAAATTTTTTAAACTTTTGAACATAATTTAATTTTTGCAATCATTTGTAACTTCTCCAAATTGCGAAGAAATTTATAAAAAATAAGAATATAAAGAAATAAATAAAAAATAAAATAAATAGTAAACAATATTAAATAAAAATAAAAAGATTAGGGCTCATTATTAGCCCTAGGAACTTATTTTTGAATAAATAAATAAACAAAAAATAATGAGTAAGAAAATAAAATAAATAATAAAAAATGAGAATGTGTTTATAAAAATATTCCCTTTGACATCTCGAACGTGAAGTGAAAAAAGAACGAGAGAGAGGTTTTAACCCTTTATTATAATTTGATTTTTTTTATATTAAAAAACTTAGTCCCCACAGTGATACGTACAGAATATTTACTACAGCAATCTATTTATGGAAGAAGAAAAAATTTTCTCTAAGAACATAATCGATTTTTCCACTTGTAAGTACTTACTAACTTTTTAAAAAATATTTTATAATATTTGAAACACTTGATTTTTTTTCCAGAAAGATAATTAAAATTCTAATTAAAATTATAAAAATTATTAACTACAATAATAGAAAAGATTAGATATTAAATGAAAAGATCTATTCTTCCCCCAATTTTAGAAAAAAAAACAGTAAATAAACTAAATAAAATAAACACTGAAACCAAATAAATTAAAAACTAATTTCTTTGGAAAATAAATATTTTTTTTAGAAAAGGAAATGACTCACAACATAATTCATGAAAAAAGTTCCCATCTTTATAACCTAGAATCACATTGACTATAATATAATACAAGAAACAAAATATTTTTTTGTCAACTGCAATTGTTTTTTTTTCGAAATAAAAATCCCTCTTGATTATCAATAAAAAATAAAATAATTTTCTTGGAAAATATTAAAAAGCATAGCAATTAAATCGTAAAACAAAGTAGAAACGAAAAAAAGAGAATTACAAACTAAAACATTCATCTGTTTTATTCAGTTCTCGACTTCTTTTGTCATCTTTGGAATTCGAAACAGAAAAGCAATAAAAGATTTTTCCATGACGATTAGGTACACTACTCTCTCACAAAAGTCAGAGTGTGGAAAAACTTTAAAAAAGAAAAATGACTCACTGACTCGATTGTGCAATTTTACTTTTATCCCTAAAATATTGTTAAAAAGTTATTCAAAAATTTCATTCATATTTCCAGGGGGGGGGGGAATATAAACTTTTTCAATTTGAATTAAAAAAAAAAAAGTATGAAAAAAATAATTGATATTGAATATATGTGACTTACATGTTTATTCAGCTTTTGCTGCACCAATGTGCAGGGAAGATCAGCAAGATCTTGCAGAAGCAATAAAATGCTTCCCGGATCGCTCACCTCCAAACGCAAGGAATTCATAATTTTTGCCCGGTGTAATTAAGATAATCACGAAACATCATGAATATTATATGGGACGTAGTAAATATCAAGTAACGCTTCGCGCCGAATCATCTGTGCACTATCGTCAAACTGTGTGTATTTGGAGGAGTTTTAAAACACGAAACAAAGTAGGACGTAGAAAAATACGTACGTACTTCCTCTCTCGGAACAATTGCGCTACTGAAAAGAAAACAAACGTGACAAACGGCTGTCTGCGAATATACACATCACATACACAATATCATTTCATACAATCATATGCAATTTTCATACAATCGATGTTATTATATAGTTTAGATTTGCAATATTTTCAAAACCGGTATTTCCCCATAACAGAGATTTTAAAAGGAAAACCTATTCCCTAAAGATCTTTTTATTTGTTTATTGAATTGACGATTTTACTTGATTTACTTATCGCTTCCGATAATTGCGTAATAAAGGCCCCGATTAATCATCCCCACTTCTCGGCAAGTGATTTTTCGACATCGTCGCACTAGATAGTGACAAATCCCATTTCATTGTTTACAAAACACACTGTTGTTTAAAAAGATATACTTGGAAAATTTCGAAGAATTTGAGGTTAGGTTCACAACGAGTGAAGTGAACGAGGTGAACGAGTTACCAAAACTGGCGGGAAAATGTCAAAAATTCAAAAAAATGTTTAGAATTAAGTGTTTTTTTAGTGGATATGTTTAGATTAAAGAAAAAAACTTAACTAAAGGGGTGAAAATGAATTATAATCACATTTTTTTCTTTTAAGTTAGTGAAAAAACGAACTTTCGTAAGATAATAAAAAAGAATCGGGTTTTAACCCTTTAAAAAAGAGTTATAGTGACAGCCCTGAAGTAGCTGCTCTGTGATTGGTCAATAAATACTAACAGGAAGGAAGCCATCTTGACTTTCGGAAACACGATCGATCGCATCTTTTTGCCTTGAGTTCAAGCAAAGCTTCGTGAAAATGGTGTTTTATTAGTCGAATTTTTGACAAAATACAACAATCAAGGAAAGCTAGAAATCAAAGCAAACATGAATAAGGTTAGTTTAATTATCCACTACGCAATTTCTATATTATAATAAATTATGTCCTATATGTATACACAAAAGTTGCAAACATTCTTCGTCTTTGTTTTATCACGTTCATTATACGTTGTTCTCACTTTTTAATCAAGCATTTTTTGACTCCAATCTTTTAATTTCATCGACAGCATTTATGCTAATCAGTTTTTTCGATCACTTCATTATTAATTCAAAACAATTTTTATTTTATCACATTATTTATGAGTGTATAAATTATTATTATATTTTTCATTTCGTAAGTTTTCACGCAAGAGTTTTAAAGAAAAGATTACAAATTTGGAACCGGAATTAAAATTGAAGTTTTACTTTATTTACTAAAAGAAAATAAATATTTACACAGATTTTTCAATTTTATTCATTTTATCATTTGTTTATAAACGTTAAGGTTAGGATTAATGTAAAAATTCCTTTATCGCTTTTATCAAATTAACTATATATAATTGTGACAAATATTTTCGATAATTTCCAAGCAGGTGAATAATGGATAAAACTTGTCCAAAAGTTTAGATATGAATATTCCTGTTTAGTTCTGGGGGAAATCAATTTTATTGTATACCATCGTTTATACATCAATAATTAAGGTTAATTATTATTCACCGTACATTATAGTTATGACGCACATCAAGCGACTTTTAAAGTGATTACTTAGAAAGTATTGATTACGTCTTTCAATTTCTCTCTTGAGAATAATTTATCATTTTGAAAGAATAATAATTTTTTTTCCGATTGTTATTCGTGAATTTTAAATGAGAGATATACTATCTTGAAATATACACATTTCACGAGATTCTTCTATAAAAATTTTATTTTATTTTATATATAAATTAATAATTAATAATCGTTGTATTGTATTGATGTTTTTGGAGTTTAAAGTTGTTTTTTGTTTGTTTTTTTGTTATTTAATTTTTGTTTCATTAATTTTCTTTATAAACTTTCTAAATGTTTTTAAATTCATTAAATTCTTTAAATTAATAAAATAATGTTGATATTATCGTTCATTATCGTATAATTTAATGTTTTCAAGATTGAACAATAACAAAAATTAATTAAACAAAATTGTTTTGAATTTAAAATCATAACTTAATTTGTAAATTTAATTTAACATTTTAAAACATGAAAGTAGTTACCTAATTCTTTGAATTTAAGAGAAGTTAAATTCTTGTGAGGAATTTTATTATTTATGGAAATAATGAAGAAATTTATTAACTTTTTGAAAATAATTGAATTGTAATGAAAGTAATTTAATTTCCTGTAAAGAATTTCATTATTTATGAAAATAATTCAATTCTTATTATAAATTTTATTAACTTTGACAATTATTGAATTTTTATGAATAATTGAATTTCTGCGAAGAATTTTATTACTTTCGGAAATAATTGAATTTCTGTGAAGAATTTTATTAAAATTTTTAAAAATAATTGAATTTTTACAAGAAATTTAATTAAAATTGTATTAAAAATAATTTAATTCTTTTGAAGAACTTTATTAAAATCTCTGAAAATAATAATTATTTAATAAGTGATTTTTTTGTAAATTTTTTAATTTGATATTATTTAAAAATTATAAAGTTTTTCGAGAATTAATTGTATTTATGGATTTTTAAAAATTATTGAATTTTTTGCTAAGAATTTTATTAAAATTTTTGAAAACAATTAAATTGATGTAAAGAAGAATCTTAATAATTATAAACATATTAAATATAATTAAATTCTTTCGAGGAATTTGATTAATATGTTATTGAAACTAAATTACTAAATGACTTAATAAATTAAAAATACGAAAATTGCTCATTAAAATTTTTTTTTCAAATGTAATTAAATTGTTTTTTTTTGTCGTAATTATTGAATTTTAAAACCATTCAGAGTATCGCTAATATTTATTTCTTCAAATAAAAATGAATAATTTATTCGTATTCGAAGGAAATCTATTAAATTTCGTAAAATAAAATTTTCTATAAAATCAAAGCATGAAAATTCAATTGTTTTTAAAAGTAATAAAATTTTTTAAAGAAATTCAATTATGTTCAAAAATTATTAAAAAATTCTTGTCAAATTGGCAATTATCTTTATAAATAATAAAATTCTTTTCCGAATTTCAATTATTTTTAAAAATTTTAATAATATTTTTGGCAAAATTTCAATTATTTTCAAAAATTTTCCTGAATTCAATGATTTTTAATATTTACTATTTCACACGGAAATTTAATTATTTGCAAATTTTTTTTATAAATTTCTTCGCAATAATTTAATTATTTTCATAATTCATAAATAATAAAAATTTCACTTGAATTCAATTATTCAATAAATTATTTATTTTCGTATTTAAATAATTGAATTCTCGTCAAAATATCAATTATCTTTCTAAATAATTAAATTCTTTTCCAAAATTCAATTATTTTCAAAAAATGATTAATAAATTTTTAAGAATTCAATTATTTTTATAAATAATAAATCTCAGCGTAGGATTTCAATTATTTTCAATTATTCTTAAAAATTTAATTAAAATTTGATGAAAGAATTCAATTATTTAAAAATTTTGTTTATAAAATTCTTTATGAGAATTCAATTTTTAAAAACAACTCAATTATGCAATAAATTATTTATTTTCTTATTTAAATAATAAATTGAATTCTCGTCAAAATATCAATTCTTCTTTCCAAATAATTACATTTTTTTCCGAAATTCAATTATTTTCAAAAATTTTTAATAAATTCTTCTTAATAATTCAATTATTTTTATAAATAATAAATCTCATCGCAGGATTTTTATTATTTTTAAAAGTTTTAAGAAAATTCTTTGCAAAAATTTAATTACTTTCATAAGTATTACAATTTTTACCAAAATTGAATTATTTTCATAATTATAAATAATAAAATTCTTCTCCATAATTTTATTATTTTTATAAATAATAAAATTTTTTTTAGGAATTCAATTCTATTCATAAATAATGTAAAACTCATTGCAGAATTTCAATTATTTTTAATACAATTTTATTAATATTTCTCGAAAAACGTAATTATTCTTAAAATTTTTATTAAAATTCGTTGAAAAAATTTAATTATTTGATTGATTTTTCAATAAATTATTTATTTTTGTATTTAAATAATTGAATTCTTGTAGAATTTTCTAATAAAAATTAAATTTAAAAATTAATTTCAGTTACAATTTTAGATAATAATTGAATTTTTCTTACTTTTAACTAATATTTTGTAGAACTAATTTTTTTGAAAAATATTAAATAAAGTTATCAAAAAATAGATTTTTATTTTTTTCTGCCAAAAAGAATTAATTTTTTATAACTTTAAAAAAAAAAGAAACAGGATTGATTTTCTAATACTATAATGTTGAATTTATTAATTTCCAGATGTCGAGATACCCCTCGGACTGTAAAGTCTATGTGGGTGATCTTGGAAGTAATGCAACGAAGCAAGAACTCGAGGATGCCTTCTCCTATTATGGACCATTGAGAAATGTCTGGGTTGCACGAAATCCCCCAGGTTTTGCATTCGTTGAATTTGAGGATGCTCGTGATGCCGAGGATGCAGTGAGGGGTTTGGATGGTCGGACAATATGCGGTCGACGTGCACGCGTTGAACCATCAAACGGAAAGAGACTTAGAGATCGTGGTTCATCGAGACGTGGTGGCGGCGGCGGAGGTGGTGGTGGAGGAGGAGGAGGTGGTGGAGGAGGCGGTGGCGGAGGTGGCAGACCATTCCATCCCGAGGATCGTTGCTACGAGTGTGGCGAACGTGGACATTACGCGAGAGATTGTCCCCGACATGGCCGAGGAAGTCGTCGACGCAGGTTCGTAACTTTTTTCAAAATTCTCTATTTCGTTTTCTATTTTTTTCTCTTCTCTTCTTTTCTTTCTGTTATTCCCATTTTCAGATTTTTTTTATCTACTCTACTGTTTTTTCCTTCACAATTATTTCCTTGAAGTATTAGATTCGATTTTGGAAAATAAATCGAATCTTTTACTTTTAAAGTGATTATTACATTCTCATTTTTTTATTATTATATTAATGAAGAGTAAATTTATTGAAACTAGTGATTTTGTTTAAAGTAAACAAGTGGTAATTTTAAACAAGTGGAAGAGAGTAGGATTTTTTAAAATATTAGAATAGATACCCTCCATTATCCTGTGCTTTATCCTTTGAGCCAGTGGGTCTAGTGTCTAATCTTAGCCTGCAATTGTTTACTAACTTAACTCTTAAGTCATAGGGGTGAACAAAGAGAGAAAGAACAAAAAAAAATACGGTAAGAAATTGTGAAATAAGTAAAAAAAAATAATAAATCGAGAAAATTGCGAATAAAAAATAAAAAAAAATATGGATTTCCATATTGAACGATGATGCCGATGTAATGCTCCCCGTTATTTATAGGAGATGCGGCTGAACACAGGCGCACACACGTGAAAATGTGTAGCCAGAGATCAGAGATTCTCGCGAGATTCACCTTGGGGTTGAGTTTGTGACACACACTGCGTAGTTACAGCGTAGAGCACCCCACCTACTTTGGGTTTACTTCTGCACTCTGCGAACGAGAGAGTCAAACACAAACAAACGTCCACGATCGACGAAGTGACTGCGCTTTATTGTTCTACGCACTTCGATTCTTCTCTACCTGACCATCAATCACCCTAGAAAACTGAGAGAATGCACGTCAAAAGTACACTACTCCTCTTCTGGTAGAACCAATGGCCTTCTCCATTCGACTCACTGTTTGTGAACTTCGTGTGTCTCTTGTTGGTCTCAATAGAAACGTAGGCGAAAAATCACTGTGTGAGAGAGTGAGAGAGAGAGAGAAAGGCAGACACCGAGAGAAAAAGTATATTTTTTTCAGCCGTGAAAGACGGTGTTCTGTTCTAGCCATTCTTCGTCTCTCCATCTAAACCCTTCGCGAGATTCCACCTGCATAATCTACTACTCTCCGTCCTCCCCTTCTGACATTGCCATCACGCGCGTACCTCCACTGTCTCCTATAGATCTGCTACTGAAGATGGTATATAGATTATCAAATTTTATCAAATTTACAAAACAAAAAACAAAACAAAAAAAATTGATCGACTTAGGAATACATACGATATGACCCGGTGACGAATTTTCTATTCGTCTAGATCTTTGCTTTTTTTTCTATTTTTGTTTCTCTAAATTCCAAGGATCGATGATGAAGGAAAACTAAATTGAAAATTTAGTTTCGTGTTGACTCGAAATTTAAATTTACAGGCCTCGGATATTTTGACTATTTTCCGAAATAGGCAAATTTCTTCGATTTTCAAAAAAAATCAGAGTCGCCACATGAACAGGGAAAAGACAGGGAATTTTATCAAAAGTACTGGAAAAATATTCAATTTCCAGAAAGAAGAAAATAAGAGAATTCAATTTTTTCTATTTCTAACAATAATTGAAATTCCCAGAATTGAAATTGAAATTATTTTCAATAATTTAATTCTTAAAAAATTATCAAAAAATGATTATTTATTAATTTTTTTTGCGAATAATTTTATTTAAAAATTCAGAAAATAATTGAATTTTTATAAAAGTTGCGCTTTCAATTTTATTAAAATTTCTCGAAAGAATCCAATTATTTTAAATAAATTTTTATAAAATTCTGTATCAGAATTCAATTATTTTCAATATAATTTTAATTGAATTCGTCGAAAAAATTTGCAAGAATTAAATTATTTTTGATAAATAATTAAAATCTTTGCCAGATTCAATTATTTTTGATAAATAAATAAAATTCTTCACAAAAATTCAATTATTTTCAAAAATAATAAAATTCTTTGCCAGATTCAATTATTTTCAAACTTATAAAATTCTACGCTAGAATTAAATTATTTGTATAAATAATAAAATTCTTTGCCAGATTCAATTATTTCCATAATATATTATGAAATTCTTCGCAACAATTCAATTATTTTCAATACAATTTTAATTAAATTTCTTGTAAAAATTGAAAGAATTCAATTATTTTGATGAATAAATAAAATTATTTTCAAGAATTCAATAATTTTCATAAATAATAAAATTTTTTATAGGGGATTCAATTATTTTCATAAAATTCTTCCCAGGAATTAAATTATTTTATATATAAGTTAATTTTTTTCTATTCAATTTTTAATTAAATTTGTCGAAAAAATTCAATTATTTTGTTAAATAAATAAAACGCTTCTCAAGAATACAATTATTTTCATAAATAATAAAATTCGTTGCCACATTCAATTATTTTTAATATATTTTAATTAAATTCTCTAAAAGAATAATTAATTTTACAAAATTCATTAGAATTTTCAAAATAATAATGATTTTTGTTAAAAATTAAAAAAAAAAAAAATTTGGAATTAAATTACAGTTGTAATTTTTATAACTTTTTTTTTTATTTTTTATGGAATAATTGAATTTTTGTATTTAAATAATTGATTTAAACAAGAATATTAATTAAAAATTATAGAAAATAATATGAATTTCGGGTGAATTATGATAGAAATGTTTAGAAATAATTAAATTTTAAAATTGTAAAGAATTCAGTTTTCAAAAAATTTGAATTAAAATTGAATAGAAAACAGTTGAATTTTTGACGCATTTTAAACTGAACTTTCCTTTTCTTAAAGAACTTTCAAAAAAAAGAAAAGAATTTTAGTTAAAATTTCTTGAAAATAATTGAATTTTGGAAGAGTTAAAGCGACTTTTCTTTTGGTTTTTATAAATCGATCCGAGGCCTGTATCGGTTTCACTTTTTCTACTTTATTATTAGATTCTGTCATTACGATTTGTACCTATTTATATTATTTCCTAAAATATTTTGTTTCTTGCTGTAATTTTTTTTTTGCTTGAAATAAATTAAATTTCACTTTTAAATTCAGTTTGTTAATTTCGTTTCATGTCGACACGAAATTAAACTCAGCTCGTTTAATTTAGTTTTGCATCAACTCAGAAACTAAATTTTCGTAACAATCCCTGCTAAATTAATTTCTTTTTAATTCAAACTATAAAACGAAAGTATTTTAATTTTCAAAAACTGTGGGAAAATAGCGTTGAGAAAAGGAACGAATCAAAGTTTTATTTTCTCAAATAGACCTTAAATTAATTTGTTCTAAAATTAATACAAAAAGAAAAATTTTTTCTAATCGTGAAATCAGCGTACTCTGATATATATTATTATTAAATCACTTTCTTATTTCTTTATTTATAATTTGAAACGAAATCTGCATTTTTCTTTTTAATTAACGTTTATTTCAAACTTGAAATTAAAATTGTCCATTTTTTGACTAAATTTATTTTATTCTTTCATTTTTTGTTTCTGCTTATTCCAAGCTTTTTAGTTTTATTTATTTTTTTAATCGACAAAAAAATAAAAATACTTTAAATCTACAGGTTGGTGATTGTCAAGATGATTTTTGTTTAACACATATTTCTTTTTAAAAAATGAAGGTTATTATTAAGAACGGTGAAAAGAAAAAAAGTATTAGTAATTACCGATTCGAAATTTAATAAGATTGTTCTTTAACAGGATATAAGAAATTTTTCTCTCAAAACTGTTTTTTTAGAGAAAAATATTGATGAGCATCGTAGAATAGTGTTGGATCCAAGTTTTAATATTTGTAAATAGTTTTTTGGAAAATATTTTTATACTTTTTTTTTCTTTAATATAAAGAATATGTTTTTGCAGGCAAAACTTGTAGATTTCAGTTTTTATTTATTCATTTTGTGATTATTATAGGTCTCCATCCAGATCACGTTCTCATTCACGCTCACGATCACGCTCGCGTTCACGCTCAAGATCGAGGGGCAAGCGCAGTAGATCAAGATCATCATCGAGGAGCAGATCACGCAGCAAGACACGTCATGAGAGAGAAAGATCACGCAGCAAGGGTCGATCAAATTCAAAGGAAAGGAGTCCTCGCCGATCAAAATCTAGATCCGCATCAAGATCCCGCAGCAGGTAAAATGGTAAATGTTTTATAAAGTGTTGAGTATTTTTTTTTTTTAATTTTTAATTTCAAAAATTGCATAATGTGACGTACGGCGAGGATAAAAAAAAAGTATCTTTGCTCCAAATAATTTTTAAGGTGTACTTTTCACTTTTGAATTGAAAATATACAAATAGGATCAAATTTTAATAAATAAGAAAAAGTATTTATTCATATTTAAACCTTTATTCCGAATTTTATCAAATTTAATGGAAAATAGTCAAATTTTTAGAATTGCTACAAAAATTTTAGTCTTTGGTGGTCAAAAACATTTTTTAAAAACTTTAAAATTTTAGATAGAATTTAAGAATTTTCCTTAAACTAACAAATGTTAAGCTAGCGAGCGAAATTCAATTATTTATCTAAATAATAAAATTCTTCACACGAATTCAATTATTTTTCTAAATAATACTAATTTTCTTAGGAATTTAATTATTTTTGAAATGTTTAATAAAATTTTTCTAAAAAATTAAATTATTTTCTAAAATTTTAATAGATAAACTCAGCGAAACAATTCAATAATATTTATAAATACTTCTTATAAATACTTCTTTGCAAGAATTGGATTATTTTTCTAAATAATACAATTTTCCTCATGGAAAATTATTGAAAATATTTAACAATTGTTTTTTATTTAAGAATGATATGTTAATTTTTCATATTATTTGTTTAATATTAATTTAGTTATTGAATAATTTTTTTGATGACGTTCCAAATTATAATTAACACAAAAAAATTTTATTTAAAACCTGTTGCAATTTTCAAAAATAATTGGATTTCAGAAAATTTTTAACTAAAATATTTGAATATTTCAATACAAATATTTTCTTTTTTTTAAAAGTTATTTATCATAATTAATTTAGTAGAGATTTTAGTTAAAAACAATTGGAATTTTAAGAAATAATTTGATTATATAATTTTTAAAAAATTTCAATTCCTGCAAGGAAATTAATAATTTAATGTATATTTGAAAAATATATTTAAGTTTTAAATAATTTGATTTAAAATTCGGAAAAAGTTAGGTTTCTGAGAAACTCAACTTCTAATTTAAAATTAAAGTTTTACTTCTAAAAATTATGTTTTTTGATTTTTTTTAAATGAAACTTCTCTTGAATTTTTTTATAGGAATCAGGAAAAAAGTTAAAATTCTGTCCGGAAATTAGGGAAATGTCAGGGAAATATGAAATCAAATTTTTGTAGCAAGTATTTTTGATGTGATAATTTATTGCATAAAAAATATTTTGAATTTAATTAAATTAAAAAGGAACTATTTATTCAGATAAAGCTAACAATCAACTTTACCAAAAAAATTTTTACGAGCTAAGGATACCTTTCAACGCGAAGTGACAAATATTTTATACACGTATATATTATGTTTTTAAGGAAAATTATAAGAAAAATATTTAATTAGTTTCGTTTTGTTTTACATTCCAGGAAGGATAAAGTGACAAATGGATCGTCTCGAGATGATTAAGCATCAGGACATATTCATTATTCCAATATACATTCAATAAAATCGCTTTTTTTATTTTAAACGTATATCACAAAATGCGAATTTTCAGTGAATATGAATCATTTTTCAGTTCTTAACATTCTTTTTAAATACGGAATTATATTGATCCGTAATTCATTTTCATTTCCTTATTATATTTCTTAATTAATACATGTTCAAGATTAACTGGACTATTAATAAAATGTCATTTTTCGTCAAATTGCTTTCTTTATTTACACATTTAATTTCAGAATTTAGATTTAATTAAAAATCACATTTTCACAATTCGACAATTGGACAAATTTTCAAAGCAAGCTTAATCGAATGAAATTAATAAAATGAATAAAATTCAAAGTTGTACCTTTATGTTGTATCGTAACATAAAATTTTAATGAACCCTTAATATTGACAAAAGATAAAATTTTAAATCTATGTTGGATAAAAATCTATAGCTTAGAAATTTGTAACATTGTTAGTCTTTCTGTATTTTACAAATAGTTTTTAATTACAATGTTTAATTCTATATTTATACTACAGATTAGTTTACCTATTTTTAATTTTTTTTTTTGTGCATTAATAAGAAAATGCAAGGAAGAATTTTTTGATTTTTTAAATGTTATACTGATAAAACTATAAGTAACAACAAATTATATATAAAATACACTATTTCATTCTGGAATGTAATATAAAATAAAAAAAATATCTCGAAAATATTCGAGATTAGTATAAAATATTTTTTAAAAAAATGTCTTTTAAAAGTAAAAACAATTCAATAAAAATAAATTTCATTAAAATTAACTAAAAATAGTTCTTAAAAATACTGCCACATATTTCTCTTAGAAATCTATTCTAATAAAACTATTCATTTGGGCAAGGAGCGCTTAATTTTTGTATTAAATTGTAATAATCGCGTTAACATTGTTACAAAGTAGGGAATTTCAAATTCCTTTTGTCCTTCTTCTTTGATTTCTTCTTTATTCTTGTTTTCAAAATCAGCGACAACTAATTGAATTGTATATGTTAATATTGTGTGAATATCGTAAATAGTTCCATTCTCACGTAATTGTTGACACAATGATTTTATGAACAGTGAACCAGTTTTCTTCAAGTCCGAAGAAACTGAAAATTATTATAATTATTAATTATATTATTTTAATTATATTATTACATTACATAATAATTACATTATAAATAACGTATTAAAAGAAAAAGATCTTTAGTAAATAAATATTTTAATTAATAAATAATAAATAAATAAAAAAATAAATCTTTAGTAAATAAAAAATATGTGTCATTGATAAAAACTTACGACTTCCTTCATCTGTGTTCATTGTTTCGTCATCGATAATCATCTCCTCGTCACTGGGAGTGTCAATCTGACGACAGCCGGATCCTAATGCATTACCGTCTGCTACGGTTTTTTGGCAACTCATATTTTTTGATTTCTTCACTTTTTTACATTTCTTCTCTTCTGCTGTCATACTCACTAAAAATTAAATTCGATTTTTGAATAATTTCAAATTGTAAATTTAAAAAAAATTCACTTATTAAGTAAGTAATTAATTATTACTATTTATTATTTTCTGCAATTATAATAAAATTTTTCGAAGAAAGTCAATTATTTTTTTTTACATTTTTAATAAAATTTATGGTAAGAATTAAATTATTTTCAAAAAATTAATTTTTTCGCAATTCAATTATTTTCATAATCCTAATAAAATTCTTGAAATGAATTCAATTATTTTTTTTACAAATTTTAATAAAATTCTGAGATTCCAATTATTTTCTAAAAATTCTAATAAAACTTATCGCAAAACTTGAATTATTTTCAGAACAATTTTTATAATATTTCTCAAAATAATTGAATTACCTTTTTTTAAATTGTAATAAAATTCCTTGCCGAATTCTATTATTTCAAAAATCTTAATAGAATCAAAAATTTTAATTTTAATTATTATTCTTTGTAAAATGCAATTATTTTCAAAATTGTAGTAAAATTCATTCAATGAATTCAATTTTTTTTCAATTTTAATAAAATTCTGAGAATATTTCAAATATTTTCTAAAAATTTTAATAAAATTTATTGCAAAACATCAATTATTGTCGATACGATTTTAAAAAATTCAATAATTTTTAAAAAATTTTAATAAAATTCTTGGTCGAATTTCACTGTTAAAAAAAAATTTTGTAATAAAATTCAATAATTAAAATTTTATTTTCAATTATTATTTTAAAATTATGAAATGAAAGTCTTTCTAAAATTCAATTACTTATAATAACATTCATTTAAAAAATTACAATATTTTCAAAAAATTTAATTATTTTTTGAAAATTCTTGTAAATTTTTTCAAAAGAATTCAATTTTTCATCAATAATTTTGATAACATTTAATAATAAAATTATTAATTTCAGTTATTAACAAAATTGATTACATTTGTAAAAGAAATTAAAGAAATGCTATAAATTAAAAAAATTTTATTAAAATTCTTTGAATGAATTTAATTATTTAAAAATTTTTAATAAAATTCAATAACCAAATTTCTAATTACAATATTAGTAATAAATACAATTTTTTTTTAAATTTGAAATTAGTTCTTTGAAAAATTCAATTATTTTAAAAATCTGCAATTAAAATTATTAAAAAAAGGATTATTTTCAAAAACTTTAATTAAATTCTTCGCAAGAATTCAATTATCTTCGTAAATAATGAAATTCTTCATACGAATTCAATTATTTTCAATTGATTCAATTATAATAAAATTTCTCTAAAAAATTTCATTATTTTCAATACAATTTTAGTTAAATTTCTCAAAAGTATTTAAATGAATTAAGTAACTTTTGTTACTATTTATTTTTGAAAATATTGAATTAGAATTTCCCTAATTATGAAATTTGAACCGTTTAAAGAGAAAAATTATTGAAAAATTATGAAAAGCCGATTATTAATATAAATTTTTTTAAGAAAGATTAGTATAAAAAATTTTTTCAAAAAGAAATTTACATACTGCAATTGCTGCTAAAAAAGATGAGAAAATCTGCTTGATTTGGAATACAGAAATTTTTTCCACATGATCCATCTTCTGTTACTGTTCGTTTTTGAAGGACAAGCTTATTTAACTCATCACATTGACAGCCTTGAATGATAAATAATTTTGGTTTTCCACAAAGAGTGGGACATTTGTCAGCATAAAAACTCTTCCATATTATTTCACTTTTGTAATAATTATCACGAGCGTGTAGTAAATCAAAATTTCCATAGGTAAGAACAGCGACGAACAAACAATCAGCATCCGAATGATCTTCTTTAGCAACTGAAATTTAAGAACTTCGTAAAAAAAACTAGAACTTTATTTTCACTCTTTTTTATTTTATTTTTAAAAAATATCAATAATATGCGTTTAATTAAAAATTAAAAAAAAGTAAAGTGAGGTTTACAATCTTACCTTTTTCTAAAGTTTTAACAATTTCCTTGTAATTCAAATTATCATATATTTTTATCTCAAAATCAAGACTCTTGAGAATATTGGAAAGAATTTCACAATCAATCTTTGCCTCCATTCGTTGTGGTAATTTTTTATTTGTAAATAAATCATGATTAAAAATTAAAGCGCTCCCACGTTTCGGATGTTTCATATTATAGTACATTGCATTCTTTTTCGTAGGAGCTGTTTGTAAATATTCCTTGGATCTAAGTAGAAATAGTAAAATATTACAATTCTCTATAAATTGCGCACTTATAAAACAAATCTTCTGGATAGTTTGGAATGAAATAGAAATGACGTATTTATACTCGGAAAAATATGTATTTAATTTGAAATAAAATACTATTTTGAATAAAATACTTTTTTGGTTAATTCGGATAATAAAAATTGTTAAAATTGTTAATGTAAATATTTCTAATTACCTGTTTTTCTTCGCCAAGATTTGTGTAATATTAAGCAGAGACTTACAGCCACTATCACTTGATTCTTCTGACATTTTCTTGAGAATCTGATATTTGTTCAATTGAATGATTGAAAGGTAAAAATGTACACTAAAGCGTTAATGAGAAATAATTCTGGGAAATGTTAATATAATAATAATTCTTATCTTTTTATCCGCAAACAAACCGGTGTGTGCGACTTTTCCCCACTGTTTTTGTGTCACGTGACACTTATTTGACAGATAAAACCAGGTCTGAGAAGCATAGAGTCGAAAAGTTGTGACAATAAAGGTGCGTACACAAAATAGACAAGAGCTTGAAAAATATGTTACTCACCCTTCTAGCTTAATTTTTTCTATGATTAAGATTATTTACATCGTATTTTTTTCAGTCAATTTCAAATTATTTCACGTTTTTTCTATTTTTGTGTTGTGCTTTTCATTTTTAATATGCTGTTTTACAAAATGTTATTGAGAATTGTCAAAACTGGAGGAAAATTTTTAATTATTTGACAAAAATTGTTGATGTAAATAATTTTTTTTTATTAATAATTTATCATTTAATTTATATTTTTATTCATTTCATTAAATTCATTGTTTTACCAATATTATGCCAGTTAAGTAATTGATTAATTGATAAATTTGACAATTTTTATTTTCAGGCAATTAAATGAATATAATGAATAGAGAAAGTTTTTGTCGTTAATTTTCTAATAGAAAATTTCGTTGAAAACGAAAAAAAGAAATTTGTGTGTTGTGTGGGGAATTTAAACAAAAAAGAAAACTATATTCTAAAATGACGAAATTTTGCGATATTTGTCAAGTTTCGTTCCCTAAGGAACATGCATTAAAAGGACATTTGTCGGGGAAAAATCATGTAATGAAAATGTTAACCGAACAGATTGAGGAAAATGTTGAACTCGAAGAATTATTGACAGCACTGGAGAATTCGGACAATTTCGAGAGTCAATTAAAGACTTTTCTAAAGATGGTTGCACCACTTGTTGAAAATAATCCCAACTACAAAAGAATATGTTCACGTTTGAAAAAGGCATTGAGACAATCGTTTCCAATGTGTACATTGCAACAAATTGGTTCAACATTAACTGGATTGTGCTTGAAAAACGATCACTTGAAAATGTTTGTCAACATAGGTATAAAAATTGTTTAACAAAAACAAAATTTTAAATGTAAATCAAAAGAATTGTAAACTAAATTCTATGATTTACTTTTATTATGGCAGACCTCGCACTCATCTACTAAAACCTACTATTTACTACTATTTTATACAATTTTAATAAAATTTCTCGAAAGAATTCAATTATTTTTAATAACTTTTTAATATTTTTTAATTAAATTCTATATATCAGGAGTTAATTTTTCTTCTATTCAATTTTAAATAAATTCGTTGAAAAAAGTGAAAAAATTCAATTATTTTCATACATTTAATAAAATTCTTGGCAGGAATTATTTGCAAGAATTCCATTATTGTAGTAAATAAATCAAATACTTCGTGAGAATTCAATTATTTTCATAGATAATAAAATTCTTCGCAAACACTCAATTATTGTTTTCTTAAATAAAAAAATTTTCACAGGAATTCAATTATTTAAAACAGAAATTTCCTAATATTTTTCGAAAAAAGTCAATTATTTAAATAGATTTTTATAAAATTCTTTGCAAGAATTCAATTATGTTCAAAAATTTTAATAAATTATCGTCAATAATTCAATTATGTTTGTAAATATAATAAAATTCTTTTCAGAAATTCTATTATTAAAAATAGTAACAAAATTTTTACGCCAGTATTCAATAATTTTCAATACAATTTTTATTGAATTCCTGGAAAGAATTCAATTATTTTCACAAATTTTAATAAAATTCTTCAATATAATTTAATTATTTTAAAAAATATTAACTCATTTTTTTGTCCAGAAATCAATTATTTTAATAAATAATAAAATTCCTCGAAAGAATTTAATTGTGTTCACAAATTTTAATAAACTTCTAAAGAATTCAATTATATTCATAAATAATGAAATTTTTCACATGAAAATCAATTCTTTTTCTTAATTTTAATTTTAATAAAATTCTTCGAAAAAATTCAATTATTTTCAGAAATGTCGATAACATTTTTCAGAATAATTTAATTAATTTCTATACAAATTTAATTAAATTCCTTGAAATAATTTAATTTTTATCAACAAATTTTAATGAAATTCTTCGAAACAATTCAATTTTTTCCCAAAAACTTTAATAAAATTATTCGACAGAATTCAATTATTTTCATCGCAGGATTTGAATTATTTGTAATACAATTTTTTAAAAGCTCTTTAAGCTACTTTTTCCTACTGTTTTAAAATTAATTATCGAATACGAAGCCTGATAATATTTTGAAAGTGCAATTTAATATTTAACCCCTTAACTGTTTGAGGAAAATGCAACATGATTGTCCCAAACTGCCCAGCGGAATCTGATACTTTTTCAAATAGTATAATATATTTAAATTATAACTAATTATTCAATTATTTTCTAAAATATCATTAATGACCCTTATAATTTCTTATAATTTTGATATAAAGAAAAATATCTATCAATTTATATACAAATTATATTTATTTTGAGTGATAGTGAACACGACCCACGGGTGGGTCGGAAACAGTTATGGCCATACTTTTTCACGACCCACCCGTGGGTCGGAAACAGGCAACGGGTTAAATACACGTTGAAATATTTATAATTCTCTTCAATATTATTTTCAGGTGAATCAAATGAAATGGAAAATAATGAAGTCGCTGATTCGGTGAATTTCAAAAAATTCTTCACAACCGCAAAGAATCTTGTTTATCGAAATACACAATCTTACAGTGACGTTAAATTATTTTCAAAAGTTCCAAAAATTAAGTTTGTCGATAAAAAGACAGATATTTCTTGCGAAATGCATTTTAGCAATGGTTTCAGTGTTCACAATAGTCATTTAATAAAACATTACTTATCAATGGATCCTCGTCTCAAGCCATTGATGGTAATTATTAAATACTGGTCGAGAATTTGTACACTTTCAACAGAGTACATTTACATGGTTAAATCATCGGGATTGTATATAACAACTTACGGCTTGGTAATGTTACTTATATTTTATTTACAACAACCGTCTGTTAATTTGGTGCCGCCTTTAATGAAATTACAAGAAATTGAGCCAAATATTATTAACGGATGGCAAGTGAATTTTGACGAAAGTATTATAAATCCGTCAGTGAAGAGAGAATTATCGATTCCACAATTGCTTTCTGGTTTTTTTCAATTTTACGCTAATTTTGATTTTGAAAATTTTGTCATTTGTCCAATTGACGGTTGTGCACATCGAAAGGAGAATTTTAAGAATGTCGATAAACTGCCAGATTGTATGGACAGGTATTTTTTTTACTATTATTTATTAATTCTATTAATAATAAATTACTAATTTTATTAATATTTTATTAAATTGTTGATTTTATTAATAGTAAATTATTAATTAGGTGAATTAAAATTGTGAATATATTATGTAAATTTTAAATATGAATTTTCTCAATAGGTATAAGGAGTACATTGAAAATACTGAAGACGCTCTGCCATTTGATACTGAAAGTTCATTATGCATTCAAGATCCCATTGAACTCAATAGAAATTGTTCCGATAATCTTTCGAATCGATTCGTTAAATCTTTTCGAGAGCATGCCTCTATGGCGGCGCAAATCTGTGATAAAAGTCTGGAAAAAGACTCCTCTCAACTGCTTTTAAATTTATTTAAGAAAAGACCGAGAAAAAATAATATTCCTGATGATATAAGGTAAAATTAATTGTCATTAACTATTTTTCTTATTTATAAGGTAAACCTTTACGTTAAAGATAAACTTTTTAATTAAATGTAAACGTTTACGTTAAATATCAAAATTTTAATTAAATAATGTAAAAATATTTTACTAATTCATACTCGAAATTTGCAGTGTCACCTTTGAAAAGTTATCGTTGGAGACTAAAAAAAAGACAGCTAAACCAAAAGTTCGTAAAATAAAATACAAACGATTGAGACGTAATTTCGAATTGAATGCCACTTTTGAAAGTCAATTGTCTCTATTTTTAAATGAAGTCACATTAATAGAAAAAGTGATTAAAAATTGCTATGAACCAGTTTGTGAAAAATTGAATCAACTCTTTCGACAATCATTTCCAATGTGTCAAATACATCAGTTAGGTTCAATAGTAACTGGACTATGCTTTAAAAAGTCCGATTTGGATATATATTTAAACATAGGTAATTAAATTATTAATTAATATATAATAATAAATATATTAATAATCGTTGTATTGTAACTTAGTTACCGTTTGCTTTTTTGTTTCCTAACTTTTTAAATAAGTTTTCTTTTTGAATTTTTAAAATTTTTAATTTATTGTATTGAAAATCATTGAATTCGTGTAAAGTATTTATCAAAAAATTTGAAAATAATTTAATTTGATGAATAATTCAATTTCCAGTTGAAATAAGCAGTTCGTATGAAAAGAATACACTGCCGAGTGTATTGACATTTCGAAAAATATCCGCAATTGCACTGATGCAATTACTTGAGAGCAGTAATTCCTTTAGGAAAATTACATCATTGCAAAAAGGAAAGATGACGATAATAAAATTTGCCGACAAGAAAGAGAAAATCACTTGTAATCTATCATTTAAAAACAGTTTAACAGTTCACAATACAATCTTGATAAAACATTATTTATCATATGACAATTGTCTCAAGACATTTATAATGATAATTAAATTTTGGGCAAGACTTTGTGGTTTTAAAACGGGAAGGATAACAAATTATTCATTAATATGGTTGTGCATATTTTATTTACAACAACCAAATGTGAATTTAGTGCCTTCTGTTATAGAGTTGAAAAATAATTGTGATCCCGAAATTATTGACGGATGGCAAGTGAATTTTGAATGTATTCAATATCCTTCATTCCAGTACAAAAGCATTCCTGAATTGCTTCATGGTTTTTTCGATTTCTACGCATTTTTTGACTTTGAGCAATTGGTTATTTGTCCAGTTGATGGTTATGCACATCCAAAGGCGGCGTTTAAAAATTTAAATATTCTACCCAAAAGTATGGACAGGTAGGAAAATTTCTTTTTTTTACTTCTGGTTTATTTTTCTGTTAAATTAACAAGAAAAAAAATTTTTTTACAGGTATGTAGAGTACATGAAAAATACAGAAAATGCAATTCCATTGAAAGTGGAGACAACATTTTGCCTTCAGGATCCTACTGAACTAAATGTGAATTGCACCTTTAGTACTCCAGATTATTTTCTGAATGTATTCCGTAAGCATGTGTCGAATGCGGAAAAAGTTTGTCGCACAGCCCTCGAAAATGATTGTTCAGATTTATTGTTAAATCTTTTTGAAACTGTGATTTCAATCACTAAAAAGGAAGCAAAGAAAATTGGCAGAATAATAAATCACAGTGAAAGCAGTGAAGATTCTTCAAGTTGATCAGATAATTTATGATGATCGATACATCGGTATGATGAAAATTCAATTTTGCTATTTTAATAATTATTTTTAATATTTTCATTTTTATAATCAATATACTTTATAATCTATTTGAACTTTTTATTAAAATGTATTTTCATATAGAAGACGAGTTTATTTTACCTTTGTTCACTATTAAAATAAATGTGTCTCTCCAAAAGAAAGTGGATGTTAGGAGAAATTAATTTTTACATACATTTTTTTTAATTATGAGAAAATTCTTTCAAATTCAATTATATTCCAAAAATCTAATAAAAATCATCGCTGGAATTTTATTATTCTCGTAAATAATAAAATTCTTAGCAAAAAAATGCATTATTTTTAAAAATTTCAATACAATTCTTCGAAAGGATTCAATTATTTTGAATGTATAATTTTAATAACATTTCTCAAAGAATTCATTTTTGAAATAATTTCATATTTAAAATTAGAAAATAAATTCACTTATTATAACAAATCAACCAATTAATTATTAATTTTTAAAATTAATTAAAATTCTTTTCTTCAATTCAATAATTTTTCAAAATTTTAATAAAAGCCTTCCAAACAATTCAATTGTTTTCATAAATTTTTGAAAGGAATTCAATTATTTTAAATACAATTTTAAAAGAATTTCTGCCAAGAATTCAATTATTTTCAATGAAATTTCAATAGGTACAATTTTTTAATAGAATTCAATTGTTTTTAAGGAAATTTTAATAGAATTTCTCAGAAGAATTGAATTATTTTTGAAGAATTCTTCGAGAAAATTCAATTACTTGTTAACAAATCAAACAATTAATTATTAGTTTTAAAAAATAAATAAAATTCTTCTATACAATTTAATTATTTTCAAAAGTTTTAATCAAACTGTTCTAAACAATTGAATAGATTTCATAAATTTTAAAAAAATTCTTCATAGAAATTCAATTATTTTAAATACAATTTTAATAGAATTTCTTACAGGACTTCAATTATTTTTTTGAAATTTCAATACAATTCTTTAAATGAATTCAATTATTTTTAAAAATTTCAATTCAATTTTTCGAGAAAAGTCAATTATACTTTCAATACAATTTTAATAAAACCAGTAAAAAAATTTAATTTTAGAATAATTTCAAATGCAAAATTAAGTAAAACTTTACTTCTTGACAAATCAACCAATACACAAATTATTAATTTCAAAAATTAAAAAAAATTCTATAAATTTTTGACCTAATTAATTGATTTAATTAATTAATAACCTAATTAATTGATTAAATTAATTGATCTCTGCTTTTCGATTAAACACCTATAAATAAATATTTACGAAAATAAATAATTAGATTAAAATTTTATTTCACAAATGAATTTCAAGTACAAAACGAGTAGTTGAATTTAAAACGAAATTTTTTATTAAACTTTATAAGTTTTTTTTCGTTTTTCTAACATTTTTAATTGCTATTCTCTAAAAATAGGCTGCTAACAATTTTCTCATGTGAATTACCGAGAGATATTCGAAAATTTTTCCAATTATTCGAATTGGCAGTTGTATTTTATGATTTCGTTGAACGATAACAAATAAACAATGATAACTTGTTTCTATTAAATTTCTACGCTCTCGGCCCTTTTCAATATGTCTCTTTAAAAATGCATTGTACGCAGAATATGTTGCATCATCAAGTAAATTTACATTTTTTACAAATTTCGAAACCTGACCAATTGATTGAATTAAAATATCATAATACGTAATATCGTATTTCTCATCAATTTTCATTTCTTTCATACTTAATAATTGTCTTTTACATTCTTCATAATAATTTTTAAAAGGAACAATTCCTTTTTTTATCATCTTTATCTCAGTTAGACTATAATTTTCTAATGATTTCATCAAAACAATACGCGCAACTAATAATTGACATAAATTTTTATTTTTTACTTTAGCATCAGTATTTATCGAAAATGTCAATGCTAAATTTGTTAAATTTAAAAATTCAATGAGAATATTCATGTCTATTATATTATCGACTAAACTTATCGAATCACTGTCAACTTCCAATATATCTAAATTTGACGTGATAATGTAATAAAATTTAACATTATACTCAAAGAGAACATCAATTAATTTTGATGGTGTATCTAATTTTAAAGCTATTGTCAAACAATTTTCAAGATCTTCCTCTCGAATATAATTAACTAAATATTTCAGACTTTTCAATTGTCTCTCACTCCTCGTTTCTATACAATCTCCAAATAGCCATTTCTCAACAGATAAAATATTATTTATTGAATGAATATTTTTCCCCAAAGGTCTCGCCCCTGAGTCTAGGAGAAATTTAACAACTTTAAATTGTCCAAAAACGATTGCAATGTGCAAAGGAGTTTCTTCACTATCTGTCGTTGAATTAATATCAACACCGGATTTCAAAAGAATTTCTATTAATTTCCAATGTCCAAATGCAGCTGCAATGTGAATGGGATATTTTCCCTTGAAATAATTTTCGACGGAGCATCCAAATTCTATCAGCATTTGGAAAATTTCCTCGTTTCCCTTCTCAGCTGCAATGTGAATTAAATCACCGAACGAGTGATTTAATTCTTGGAATTTTTTACTTTCGGATAAAATTTCGCGAACAATTTCCGTGTGTCCTCCTCTCACGGCGCAATGAAGGGGAGTTTCGCTTGAATTCATATTTATCTTCACACCACGTTCAACAAGATATTTGAATATATCCAAACGATCATGAGTCGCTGAATAATGAAGTAAATTATCAGAAGGCGAATCTTCCATATTCCCATCGATAAGACACTTGACAATATCGAGACGATTATTTAAAATACATTTACGAACAAGAAAATGAATATCCTTCGTTGATAAATTTCTCTTCGCATTATTTGCAATTAAATATTTAACAACATCAATGTGACCGTTTCTAACGGCAAAATACAATGGTGTTCGACTATTCCCTTTGCGAATTTCAATCTTATGATAATCGTATTGACACAATAGTTTCACTATTTCCAAATGTCCATATTTTGCCGCATAAAGAAGTGGCGTTACAGTTTTAACATTAATATTGTTTAAAAGTTGTTTTACAACTTCGAGATTATTTTTTTCAATTGCCACAATTAAGGGGGATTTAATCCTGTTCTTAATTTTTTCAATTAAAGTCTTATATTCATTGCTAACTGATGCATCACAAGAATTTTCTTTATTCTTGAAAAGTTTACTATCTTTCGCCATTGTGTAGAGGAAAAATTTATCATTATCAAAATTGAAATGATTTCCAATTGGATTGTTCTTGAATAAATCGGAAAACAACGAGTCATTCTTCTTTTGTGTGTCATTTAGAATTTCTGTGAGATAGAAAAAACATTTTTTAGATTAAAATAATATTTAGGAATATTAAGAACAGAATTTAGAGAAATTCGCTTATTAACTAATTATTATTTTTTTAAATTTTAATAAAATTGTTTACAAGAATTCAATTAGATTTAAAAATAATAAAATTCTTTTCGGAGAAATTCAAATATTTTTTTTATAAATAATACATTTTTTTGCAGCAATTTATTTATTTTCTACTCAAATATAATGAAATTCGTCGAAAGAATTTAATTAGATATTCATTCAAAAGTTTTGAAATTAATATTTTTGATGGAATATACTCGATTGAATTTAATTGTTTTTAGAAACATTAATAAAATTCATCGCAAAATTCAGATATTTTCAAAAATTTCAATAAAATCTGATACAGAAAATCAATTATTTTTGTTAATATAAATTTAATTAAATTCCAGGAAAGAATTTTATTATTTTTGAAACTAATTGAATTCTCGTGAACAACTTTAATAAAATTCTTCGAAAAAATTCAATTATTTTCAAAACAATTCTAATTAAATTTCTCGAAGGAATTCAATTTTTTTTTAAAATTTATGTACAATTCTTTGAAACAATTCAATTATTTTTAAAAACATTAATAAAATTCTACTCAAGAATTAAATTATTTCAGATTTAAAATTATAGAATTTTGAAAAATTATACAATTTGTTCCACAAAACTTTAAATCGGAATTAGTAAAAATTTTGAACTAATTTATAACAAATGTTATTCAAAATTTTTTTAAATTAATTTTTTGTTTCCAAATATAGAACAAAACTTTAAAATAAATAAAATTCACTTTCTCTTCTAAAAAAATTTTTTAATAAAACTATGTTTTGTGTTAATAAAAATCAGTTTTTCTGTAATAATTTATAAGTAATTAATTTTATACAGAATGTTGAATTAAATTTTTCAAATCAAATAATGATTTTTGTTTTATTAATTTTTTTGTTATTGGATTTGATCTTTGAATCATTAAATTAGAATTTCATTAATTTTTCAAATTTAAAGCATTTAAGAATACATTAATTTTGCATACCATTTTTTTTCGATAATACGACGTCTTCTCGTTCTGAATCCATTTGTATGAAATACACTGAAATCGAGTAACTGTAACAAAATTTAAAATAATTAGGAAATGGATGCAAAAAGGAAAGCATTAAGTTTGAACGAATAAAATTCATTTCTCTCTCAAGAAAGAAAAGATAGTCACAAATTTTTAATTTTACAAAAATAGTTTTAATATCTCAAATATAATAGAAAGTACAAAAATAGAAATACAAAAATCGTTGCAGTGATTGCAACAAATTGGTAACAAAAAGTATTTGGTTCGGTATTCTGAATTAAAAATGTAGAAACTGAGTTAATTATTATAGTGATATTTGAAATTTTTTCATTGATTAAATTATTTTTTAAATTCAATTATCACTTTTTTTATATTATGCAAATTAGGCAAATATGTAAATTTACAAATTTGCAATATTATGCAAATTAAGCAAATGCTGATGTTAATTTTCGAAGATCGCTCATTGAGAGGTATTGTAAAATTTTTTCAATATCAAAAGTTGAAAATTGAATTTTATAATTCCCTTCAATATAGCGAAACAAACAATTCGTGGACATGTCTATTAAATCAATTTTACGCTTTGCTTTCTCAATACGTAATTTTAAAAATTTTCCATAAGCGGGAAATTTATCGTACGAATGTTCAATGATATTTAATAATTCCTCATCTCTTATGCAATTCGCAATTACATCAATATCCTTTATTAGAATATCACAAAAATTCAAATTTAATTCATCGGTAATTTTTCTATTCTGCATATTTATAATTTGTAGACGACATTCATTTCGAAATTTTTCCAGTGAATCTTTTGAATTGAAACGTTCAATTATTCCATGAAAATTTGGTGCTAATAATTCAAGACGCGCTATTATTAACTTTAACACTTCACCATCATTTTTTGTCAAAGCACTTGAATAGATGTTCTTTTGTGTTTTATTCAAAAGCTTCTCTCCATTCTCCATTTCACTGATTATAAATAAATCACTCCAATTATTTCCCGAAAAATAAAAATCTTCTGGAATAAATTTAGAATCGTAGTATTCGATAAGAAATTCGAGACAACTTTCATTATTATGATGTAATTGTAAATTGAGAACTTCTGCAAGTTGACGTTTCGTTAAATAATTAAGTAGAGCTCTGACAATTTCCGGACGAAATTCCCCCTTTTTTTCCTCACTCTCAACAGACGGTTCAGTTTCATTCTCAATTCTTATATTGATGGCTTTATTTAATAGATGATCAATATGGAACTTGTCTCTATGTTTGAGATCTCCGGCAAATAGTAACAATTCGGTTATTTTCAATTTATTTTGAAACTGTGAAGGTGTGATTAATTTTGATTTGCGGAGAACTTTTTCCAGTGCTGAACTTTCACTTTTTCGGGAGCACTTAGCACCGGAGAGGACGAGAAATCGAATCATGTTTAAATGTCCCATGGCTGCTGCAAAATCCAACGGAACGATATGATTTTTTGTTTCTGAATTGATATCCCCTTTGTGTTTTAGAAGAAGTTCAGCTAAACGTGTATGTTCAAAGGTGACAGCAATATGGAGAGGAGTTAATTTATCACCAAAACAACTCTCGAGTGAACAACCAGCTTCGAGGAGAATTTTTACAATTTCCTCGTTTCCATTTTCAACGGCAATGTAAAGTGCGAATTTTCCTGCTTGGGACTTCAATTTTTTTTCGTTGAGAATTTTTTTTACATTCTCGACTTCATTTTTACGCACAGCGGAGTGGAGCTCAGTTTCCTTGGCGCATAAAGCAGCATCAACTTTTGAATAACAGGTCAAAAGGAACTTCCAAAGTTCTAATTGTCCACTTGAAAATGATTGAGAAAGGATTGTTTCTGCATAATCCGTATCCTGTTTGACACCTAAATCGAGGAGAAATTTCAAGACTTGGATATCTTCGTCAGTTCCGCAGAGATCGATGAGATCCTCTTCTATTTTCCCTCCACTTTCAATCATGTATTTCACAACCTCGAGATGATGATTGACAACCGCTAAACATAGGGGTGTTTCATCCTCTTCATTTGCCTCGCCAATTTTATCAAAACCGTTGGACATTAATAATTTAACCATTTCTAAATTTCCCACCTTAGCCGCAAAATGTAAAGCCGTCATTCTTTCCCGAACATCTTCCTGTCCTTCGTAACATTCATCAACTACATCCTCCTTGGCGCCGTATTTCAAAAGAATTTCCACCAATTTAATATCATTAACCTCGGCAGCAATATCAATCGGTTTCATACTAGACATATCATCGAGTACATTCACCTTCGCACCTTTCTTCAATAATCTCTCGACAATTTCTAAATTCTGCATTTTAATCGCCAGATGAAGTGGCGTTTTTCCATCCTCACTCGGAATATCCAAACACGCACCATTTTCCATAAGAAATTCGGCTATCTCGACTTGCTTTTCCTTTAGGGCAATGAAAAAAGGTGTTCTTCCACTATAATCCTCGACATTAATTTTAGCACCATTTTTGATCAATAAATCGACAATTTGTAAGTGACCTCGTGCTGCCGCCACGTGTAACATTCTTCTTCCAAAAACATTTCGTTCTAAATTATTTTTCTTCAGTAGAGTTGTGACGCGATTTAAATCGCCATTGTGTACGGCAAGAAATATTTGTGTGTAATCTTCGGTATTATTGTAATCATCAAAATCATTCTCATAATCGTCGCTATCGTTGTTATAAGAATGACCACCGTAATAATCATCCTCATCCTTCCACCACATTCCGTACATTTTTAACGCGTTGGAAAAAAAAATTACTAGACGTAATAATCGTAATACAAGAGAAAATTTGATGAACTCCCGATTCAATTCTCTGCAACAAATAAAATAAAAAAAAAAAATTGAAATATTTTCTCTTGTCGCAATTTATACTACGGTTTTCTTCCAATACTATTAATTATTATTATTATTTTTATTATTATTATATGCAAATTACAAACTTTTTTATTTTTAAATATAGATTTTAATTTTTGAATAATTTTAGATTCAAAATTTATATAATTCTCTTCTTAAGTATATAATTACAATTGTTTATTATTTACAAAAATTTCAATGAAATTCTACGCAAGAATTCAATTATTTTCGCAATAAATAATAAAATTCTTCGAAAGAATTCAATTATTTTTAATAATAGTAAAATTCTTCGCTGCAATTCAATTATTTTTAATACAATTTTAAGAAAATATTTCGAAAGAATTCAATTTTCTCAAAATTTTAATAAAAATTTTAATAAATTTTAATAAAAAAAAAAAAAATTTACTAAAAATTTTTTCTTAGGAATTCAATTATTTTCAATACAATTTTAATAAAGATTTTCTCAAGGATTCAATTATTTCTTTAAATTTCAATACAATTTTCAAACAGAATTCAATTATTTTATCAATACAATTCCAATAAAAATTTCTCAAAAAATAAATTTTTGAATGATTTTAAATTTAATTTTCTGAATAATTTAAAATAGAAAAATTAAAAAAAAATATACTTCTTATCAACTTAACTAATTAATTATTAATTTCAGGAATTAAAAACAATTCTTCTATTAAATTCAATTGTATTAAAAAATAATCAAATTCTTTGCAAGAATTCAATTATTTTCGCAAAAATAAAAAACATTCTTCGGAAGAATTCAATAATTTCTTTTAAAAGTAGTAAAATTCTTTCCAGGAATTTAATTGTTTTTTATTTATTTATTTAAGATACTTATACGGGCAGAGCCCTTAATACAAAAAACGGTTATAAAAATAAGTAAGTACTGTCGCAAATTAGTTTGTCAATAAGACTTGTTTTAAATTTTAATAAAATTTCACAAAAGAATTCAATTACTTTTTTAAATTTTTCATACAATCTTTCGAAAGAATTCAATTTTCTAAAATTTTATTAATAAAAATTCTTCTTAGGAATTCAATTCAATTCAATTCAATTCAATTCAATTCAATTCAATTCAATTCAATTCAATTCAATTCAATTCAATTTGTAATACAATTTTATGAAAATCTTTCGAAAGAATTCAATTTTCTTAAATTTTAATAAATTTCTTCTTAGGAATTTAATTATTTTTTAAAATTTCAGTACAATTTTAAAAAAGAATTCAATTATTTTCAATAAAATTTAAATTCCTCGCAGGAATTCAATAATTTTTAAAAATTTCAATACAATTTTTCGAAAAAATTCAATTATTTTTAAAAATTTCAATACAATTTTTCTAAAGAATTCAATTATTTTTAAAAATTTCAATTCAATTTTTCGAGAAAATTCATTTACTTTAAGTAAAACTTGTCAGCAAAGATTTAATTTTAAAGTGATATCAAATTTAATGTTTTGAATAATTTCAAATGCAAAATTAAGAAAAACTTTATACTTAAAAAAACAACCAATATTAACCTATTAACTTCAAAAATTAAAAAAATAATTCGATAAAATTTAATTATTTTCAAAAATAGTAAAATTCTTTGCAAGAATAAAATTATTCATATATCAATTTTTATAAGAGTTCTTGAAACAATTTAATAATTTTTAAAAAATTTAATAGAATTTTTCAAAGAAATATAATTATTTTCATTGCAAGTTTAATCAAATTTCTGGAGACAATAATCAATTATTTACATCCTAAATAATAAAATTCTCTTCAAGAATTCAATTATTCTTAAAGTAATTTTAAAAAATCTTATTTTAAATACAATTATTCCAATAAAATTTCTCAAAAGAATTCAATTTTTGAATAATTTTAATATTTAATTTTCTGAATAATTTCAAATATAAAATTAAAAAGAATTATACTTCTTAACAAGTCAACTAATTAATTATTAATAATTATAATGAATTAAAAATAATTCCTCTATTAAATTCAATTATGTTCAAAAATAATAAAATTCTTCACAAAAATTCAATTATTTTCAAAATTTTCCATTAAAATTATTAAAGAAACTCCATTATTTGAAAAAAATGTTCAAAAAATTTCTTCAAAAGAATTTAATTAGGATTTTTAATGCAATTTTAATAAAGTTCTTTGCTAGAATTCAATTATTTTCATAAATAATCAAATTCTTCGTAAGAATTCAATTATTTTCAATGCAATTTTAATAAAATTCTTTGCAAGAATTCAATGTATTTTCAATACGTTTGTTTTAAAATTGAAAATATTTTTTAAAAAAATTATTAAAGTTAGGAAACAAAAAAGCAAATAGCTAACTTCAAACTTCAAACAGATTTCCGGAATACAACAATTAATAATAATAATAATAATAATAATAATAATAATAATAATAATAATAATATAGAAAATATATATGCAGATAGAAATATTTAAGATTAAATTTTAGATGAAATTGTAGATTAAAGAGAATAAATAGAAAACATTGTGGAATTATTCATTCATCTGAACTGAAAAAACTATCTTTCGGTCTTGTTTGCAAACACTTAGCGATATAAAATTCTACGTAAATACTATCGCGACTGTTTTGATTATATCTAAGAAGATTTGAATTTTATTCATTAAACTTTAAATGTACTTCTATTTGTCAATAATTATAATTTGTACCTTAAGGTAAGAATACAATCATTACAATACATACCCAATTGTCCTGCAATTGGTGATTTTCCAAAATATATTGTCGCCTTCAAATTTCACTGTATAGAGGATTTACATACAGACTTGTAAACTCAATCTAAAACAAAATTAATCCAATCTGTATTATTTCTTTTTCAAATTATTTTAAATCGAACAATGATTAGAATCAGTTAGAATACATCAAGAATTTATATAAATTGATAAATTTACAATTTACTTTATACATTATTTTTCAAATCTAAAGAAAAATAGTTTTTAATTTTAATTTTTAGTAAATCTAAAGTTATTTAGGGGCCATTCATAAATTACGTGAGACATTTAAGGGGGTCAGCAAGATCTTAAGAACAATAAAAAAATGTCGCTAATGTAAGTAAAATATCTTACATTATCTAATATACAATAATATAATCTAATATCTAATATCTTACTGCTTACTCTTAACTAAGAGGGGGAGGAGGGGTCAAATTTTCCAAAAAAATGCCTTACGTAATTTATGGACTTAGTAGATATAAAGTAAATCGAGTAAATCTAAAGACACTTTTTTTACAGTGAACAGTATTAATTAAAAGTATTAATTTAACAAGAGGGAATTTAAATTCGCTTATTTTAAAGATGTTACTATAAAATTTTATAATAAAAGTGTAATTGTATAAATGTTGTAAACCCTGTAAAACCTAAAGGAAATTTTTTTTAAATCAGTGCTATTTAATGTTTGAGATTAGTAAAAATGCTGCATTGTTTTTGACAATCATAACCTAAAATACACTTTTTTGAAAGCTTGAAATAATTAATTGTTACTCGATGCAATAAATGTTTGAAAATTAGAAAAGTATTTTTGTATTTTTAATGAACTATAAACATTGTTAAACAATTTATACATTGGTAAATTAGAATCAAATTAATAAATTTTGATGTAATTTTTCGTACCTGTAACTCTCTTCTCTTCTATTCAACAGTCTTGATATTTGTATACACATGGAAGAATTAATCTTTGTTTGTTTTGTTTAAATAGCCTCTTGTAGAATTAATCTAATATCTAAAAGTAAATAAATAAATAAATAATAACTGAGGAATTTTTTGTTTAGATTCTAAAATTATGACCGTTTGGCGTTTCGTTTGATAAAAAAAAGCCTAAAGGTGCAAACACAGCTCGGTGTCTGATTGTACACATTACACAAACACATATGGACAAGACTTTATAAAAGTGTGAGAGCCACTTAATTGGCTAATTTCGAGTATTTCAGTTTCCCAACCCTGTCTGGAAAAAGTACCAGCAGCGCCGTGGCAAATAAATGGAACTTTAGAGGTTCAGTTAGTAAAGGCAGCATTCTCAAAAGTTCTCAAAAGAGATTTTTCAGCAAGAACGGCAAGAACGAACAGAATTCAATTTAGCCGTTACAGTTTGTAAGTGTTTCTTAAAATTATATTTTAATTTTATAATTTATTTTTCCTTTTTTTATTTTCCAGTACCACAAAAGGAATTTGAAATTATTCACTGCTTTTCGATAAAAAAATATCGCTCACTGTCAGAGTGACATCATCGAAACCGAAATTTAGAGGTTAATTTTCAATAATGTCTTCATCTCCGAATAAAATTGATAAAATTGATTCCTCTATTGATGTCAAGCCGAATAAAGAATCAATCAACGAAAACAGTGACGACGATGATTTTGTTTCTTTTTTACCAAAAAAAAAGGAAATTAAATCAACAATAGATTCATTAATCTCAGCAGAGAATGAAAATACTGACAGGAAAAATTCTTCTACTTCTTCAGACGATCTAATTGATGATAATGATGATGGCGTTGAGTCTGATGATTCGGATTTCGAAAAATTATTAAGAATTGCCAGCAGTTTTTGGGATGATAAACCTGCGGCAATTTCGAAATTAAAAACCGAAGTTGAAAAAGGTTTAATTGAAAAGTGTTCCAAGAAAGCTATTAATAATGACGATGAGGAAGAAAAGAATGAAGAAATTTTGGATGAAAAATCGGAAAATGTCAAACAGAGAGGCAGAGGAGCCAGAAAGCGTTCAATAAAAACTGATAATAATACTTCAAAAACAAAAGGTGAGCCTGCAAAAAAGAGAAAAGTGCCTGCGAAAAAATAAGTTTCAACTTATTTTGTTATTTTTTTCCGTTACAATTATTAATTATAAGTAAAGTTTTATTATTCACTCGGTTTACGATTTATATTTTACACTATTTTACGTTTTACGAATGACAAAAGAAGAACGAAAAACAAAAACATTCTGCCAGTCATCAGAACTGTCATCAGAACAGTTTTTTGCAGTTTTTAATCCTTTTTCTCATCGAGTGTCGTCGAGATTTAGTTTAAAAGAGTTTTAAAAAGTACAAAGAAGAGGCAAGAATTATTTAATTAATAATTCTAGAATATGTAATAATAGAATTTATATAATATAAACATTAAAATTCAAAAAGAAGAAATGTCTTCGAGTTCATTAAGTGCAAAAGTCGATTCTGATTCTACTGATATAATTTCGAAATCAGATTCAAGTGATGTAGATGACAATTCTCCTTCTAACGCAACTTCTTCTACTGTCAGTTTAAATTCGTCAACTAGTGATGATAATAATTTGGAAGTAAAAAGCAGCAGTAGTTACAATTCAGCGCAAACCAACGATGATACTGATAGTGGAGATTCTGACTTTGAGAATCTTGTGCGAATTGCAAATCGAGTTTTAGAAAATAAATCAGTTTACGTTAGAGGTCTGTTGAAACTCAAGAGAAAACCGAAGAATCACTCAAATACCACAACAAAACTGTCGAAATTGGCGAAAACAATGATAGTGTCGAATATTCTCAATGAAATTAAAATGAGCGGTCAAATTTCCGAAACACCGTTTATATCGAGAGGAAGACAAGCCAGAAGACTTCAATTGTCCGAATCGCAATCAATGGAATTGGAAGAAAATTGCAAAACATGTGGCAAATCACTTCAGGTATTTTAGTAATTTTTATCTCAATTCTTTGCGCTACGAATTAAGAAAAGTAGATAAGAAAATAAATGAAATAAATAAATCACATTATCTTAAAATTATTTGCTTATTAATATTGAAAATTATTGGAAAAAATTCAAGAAATTTTAATAAAATTCTTTAAGATTCAATTATTTTTACAAATTTTTCGTAATTCAATGAGTTTCAATATCTACTATTTTAAAAAATGTTCTAACGGAATTGAATAATTTAAAAAAAATGTTTATAAAATTCTTCGCAAACATTCAATTATTTTCGAAAGTAAACAAATTTTCACAGGAATTCAATTATTTAAAATAGAATTTTCCTAATATTTTTCGAAAATAATCAATTATTTAAACAGATTTTTAGAACATTCTTCGCAAGAATGCAATTATTTTTAGAAATAAAAAAATTCTTCTCAGGAAGTAAATTATTTTTTTAAAATTTTAATAATTAATGAAGAATTAAATTATTTTTCTAAAAATAAAAACTCATCGCAGAATTTCAATTATTTTTAATACAATTTTAAATTAATTCTTCGAAAAATGCAAAGAGTATTCTTAAAAATCTCAATAAAATTTTTTGAAAGAATTAAATTATTTTTATAAATAATAAAATTCTTCTGAGGAAATACATTATTTTTAATACAAATTTTAAATGAAATTTTTTAAAATTGCAATTATTTTTAAAAATTTTATTAAAATTCTTCCACAGAATTAAATTATTTTGGAAAATTTTGATATAATTTGTTTATTAGAATTTAATAATTCAACCATTTTCAAAACCTACTATTTTAATAAAAAATTTCCTAAAAGAATTCAATTAATTAAACAAATTTTTTATAAAATTCTTTACAAACATTCAATTGTTATCAAAAATAATAAAATTTCACAGGAATTCAATTATTTAGGAATTTAGGAAATATTATTTAAAATACAAATTTCAAAAAATGTTTCGAAAAAAAATCCATTATTTAAAAAGATTTTTGTAAAATTCTGCGCAAAAATTCAGAATTATTTTTATAAATATTAAAATTCTTCACAAAATTTCATTTACTTAAAATACAAATTTCATAAAATTTTTCGAAAAAAATCAATTACTTTAAAAGATTTTTATAAAATTCTTCAAAAGAATTGAATTATTTTTTCAAAATTCATTAAAGTTCTTCTCAAGAATTCAATTATTTAAATAGATATTTCTAAAATTTTTCCAAGAATTCAATTATTTTTAAAAATTTTAATAACTCTTTTAACTTCTTTCAATGAAATTCTTTATAATAAAATTAAAATTCGACACAAGAATTCAATTCTTTTCATAAATAATAAATCTCAGCAGAATTTTAATTATTTTTAATTCAATTTTAATCAAATTCCTCGAGAAATGTAATTATTCTACAGAATTTGATTAAAATTCGTCAAAACAAATCCTAATATTTTTCGAAAAAAATCAATTATTTAAATAGATATTTCTGAATTTGCTCCCAAGAATTCGATAATTTTTTAAAATTTTAATAATTCTTTGAAAGAGTTCAATTATTTAAAAGAAATTTTAATGAAATTCTTTATAATAAAATTGAATTGTTTTGAATATAAGTTTAATAAAATTCTTTGAAAGAATTCAATTATTTTCTTATAAATAATCTACAATTTTCAAAGAAATTCAATTATTTAAAATGCAATTTTCATAAAATTGTTTAAAATTATTTTTTTAAATTCTTCTCAAGAATGCAATTATTTTAAAAACTTTATTAAATTTCGGCGATAAAAATTCAATTATTTTCATAAATAATAAAACTTATCGCCGGATTTCAATTATTTTGAATATAATTTTAAATTAATTCCGCTAAAAACGCAATTATTCTTAAAAATTTGAATGACCTTCTTCGAAAAAATTCTATAATTAAAAAAAATTCGATATAATATTTGTTTCTTAGAGTGACAGGTTTAATTTTTCGACAGCTAATTTTTTACTAATTTTTTTCCGTCTTTCAGCTACTTTTTGTTACTTTTTTAAAATTAATTATCGAGTACGAAGCCTGTAATTAATTAATTAGTTGCTCCATTATTCTTCGGAGCGCGTCTATGATTTTTGTAAAAAAGCGAAAAAATATTCTATTTGTTCCATAAAATATTTTGATTTTCAGGTTAATGTCGATTCGGAAAAAGTACCTTTAAAATCTTCGAAAGCTTCTAATGATGAACCGCCAGAAACTATTAGAGAACAAACAAATAATCAAGCCAAAAGTTCAAAAAAACAGGAGGAAATTGATCAAGAACCAGTGAAAAATGAACCACCTCGAACAAGATCAATTCTCAAGAAACGTACAATTGAAATTTCCAATTCATCATCAGTTTCTTCAAATTTGTTGGTAGATGATTCGAAAAGTTCTCTCAATTCTGATCAGAGGAAGAAATTTAAAACTCCTTTACAATTAGCAGCGAATGAGTCATCAAAGACGTTAAAGTCTGAGAAAATAGGAAAACAGAAACCAAAGGAAATTCGCACTTCAAAAAGAAATGCAATGGAAATTAAAAATTCCAGAAAAGAAGAAGAAGGAAGTTCAGTATTATCTAAAAGTGATTTACAATCGAAATTAACAGGAGGGGAACAATTCAATAATGAAACGATTACGACTGGTTTGAAATTAGTTGAAAATCGGGAAGAAAAAATATTTCATCCCCGAAGATCATTGCGACTTAAAAATGTTTCTCAAGTTTTAGAATCAAGAAAAAGCTTAAAAGCAGAAAATTAAAAATGTGCTTTTAAAGCATTTCTTTCGTTTTTGTTTCGATAATTTTATTTTCTTGTTTCACTAAGTAATTATAATTACTACAATTTAATTTTTTAATTATAAAATTTAAGAAATAAAACAACTTTTTAAAAAATGGGTTTTTATAATTAGAAAATATAGAAGAAAGATACCTATAAGGCTTTTATTTTAATTAAAGGGATTTGAGGTAAAAACACAAAAATAACTTTTTAATTATTTGTTTTGGTATCTTTCTTCGGAGCACGCCGTCAAAAAATTTTTTTTGATTCTATTTTTATTTCAAAAGTTTATTAAAAAGAAGAGAATAAATAAAATAAGTGATTTTAGAAATCAAGCGTTTATTAAAGAAGAGAATAAATAAAATAAGTGATTTTAGAGATGAAGCGTTTATTAAAGAAGAGAATAAATAAAATGAGTGATTTTAGATCAAGCGCAACGTTTGGAATATAAGATACGTCATCAAAAGTGGAGATGGAAGAGCAGCATCTGGAATTTGTAGCAACGAATCTTTCCCTCATTCATGCTTCTCACGTGTTGGTGAGAGGCGAATTATTATCGTTGAGTCGTGTAAACTTACCACAGCCGCATTTATTTCTCTATTTAAAACAGGAAGTTCATCCGGACTAGTCATTATCAATTTTTTTAACATTTCTGTTTTTTAATCAGAGAAAAAGAAAAAAAGAAAAGGAACTAAAAAATTGTAAATTAACGGTAAGAAAAAATTAACTTATAAAATTCTTCTTCTTTTTTACTGTCCTATTGAAATTAATTTATTAAAAATAAAATGTATAAATCGTCTATAATTTTCTTTTCTTTTATTCTGAATATATTTGTTAGTAAAAAAGGTTAAAAAAAATTATTTTTTCAGATATGGGACTCAATCCAATGAAATGGAAAACAAAAACACTGGCCTACAGTTTCTTCGGCATTTTGATTGTTTATGGATTATTTTTTTACAAGAGGACACACACGGTGCAGTTCGAAGTTGTAATTAAAAATTCAACGCCTGAAATTGTTTGGGAATTCGTCGCAGACTTTAGTAACATGAAGCAACTGAATCCAACAATGTATAAAATTATTTTTTTTAAATTTTACTTTTATTTTTTATGCTATAGTTCAAATTGTTTAATTTTCAAATTTGAATACTTACAAGACCAATTTTTTAAATAGTTTTATTTTTCAATTAAATTCGACTGTGTATAAAATTACTCTTTTAATTTTAGTTTTAAATTTTTCTCTTTTCAAATTTTGTTCAATTTTAAAATTTGTTTACAAGAATAATTTTTTAAATACTTTATTTATTTTTCAATTAAATTCAAGTGTGTATAAAATTACTTTTCAATTTTAATTTAAAATCTTTCTCTTACAGCCTAAATGATTTAATTTACAAATCTGATTACAAGAACAATTTTTTCTTTACTTAGTTAAATATATTAAATTTTTAATATTTCGTTTTTTCTCCATTTTTTTAGTGAGGATTTTAACATTATTGCCGAAAGTGGAAATTATGAGCACTGGAAATATTCGGTGAAATATTCCGAACACTTGAGTCACATTCCAATGATTAAAAATACTGCTCATGGTCATTTTGCCGTGAAACCAGAGGATTCGGGTTTCTCCATAAATTCCGAGCATCGTACCTGCTTTCTCACCGATTTTGACTGTGGTAATTTTCATCTTTTTCTTAAATTCTTATAATGAAAAACTTTATTCTCAAATTGTAATTTTATGCGAGAATCTAGAAAAGGGTTGCTACAAAAATTTAATTTTTATTTTCTCTGACTTTTCCCTGATTTCAAGAAAATTTTTTAACTTTTTCCCTGAAACTAAAGAATATTCCGAGTTACTCTAAAAATTATTAGATACTCAAAACAATATTCTATTACATTTATTTACGAATTTCTTTAATTGGAAAATTATTCGAAAACATCGATAAATTCTTTTTTAAATAAATATTTAATAATTATTGTAATAATCGTTTATTTTCTTCCGTTGTTGTAATTTGTTAATGTTTTTAAATCAATTATCGGAAGAGTAGTAAATGAAACACTTGTATCACTTGTTTCATTTACTACTCTTCCGATAATCGATTTAAAAACATTAACAAATTTAATAATTATTATTTTTTCCACAAGAATTAAGATTTTAAAAACATTCAAATTCAAACCTTTTTGAAATTCAACAACTTATAAGAATATTATTAAAAAAACATGAAGAAATCGATCACTCCGAGTCTTCGACTCGGAGTGCTCGATTTCTTCATGTTTTTTTAATTAAATTCTTAACTAAATTTATAACTAAAATTTTTAAATTTAATTTTCCACTTCAATTCTTACCTAAATTTAAACTGATTTCTTCATTTTTAACTAAACTAAACTAATTTAAACTAAATAAATTATTTTTAATAATTTTTGAAAAAGTACTTTGAGAATTTTTAAACTCATTTGTTTACAATAATTTAATTCCTGTGAAATTTTTATTATTTATGAAAATATTAAATGTTTGCTTAGAATTTTTTCAAAATTGTTTTAAATAATTAAATTCTTTTGGGAAATCGTATTAAAATAATTGAAATTTTGCCATGAATTTTATGAAAATTTTTGAAAATAATTGAATTTTGTTAATTTTAAAAATAATTGAATTCTTGTGATGTATATTGTTGTTTATAAAAATAATTGAATTTTGCAATGAATTTTATTAAAATTCTGGAAAATAATTGAATTTTGTCGAAGAATTTTAATATTTATGAAAATAATTCTGAATTCTTGCGAAGAACTTTAATGAATTTTGAAAAAATAATTCAATTCTTTTGAAGAATTTTATAAAATAATTAAATTTCTGTGAAATTTTATTATTAATGAAAAGAATTGGATTATTGCGAAGAATTTTATTACAAATATTAAAAGTAATTGAACTCCTGAGAATAATTTTATTGTTCATAAAAATAATTGAATTCTTGTGAAAATTTATAAAGATAATTTAAAGTTTGACGAGAATTTTTTAAAAATTTTTGATCATAATTGAATGTATGTGAAGAATTTATTACTTTTGAAAATAATTGAATTTCTGCAATCCTTTGTATCTTCTCCAAAATTTAGTTTTTTAATTGTTTTTAACTTGAAGAATTAAGTTATTTAAAAAGTAATTGTTATCAGAAATAGAAAAAGTTGAAGGTTTTGTATAAAAATTCTTGGCTATTTCATAATTTTAAGGCAAACAAAAAAGACACAAAAATTCAGAATTTTCTTATGAATTCTAAAAATCTAATTTTTCCCAATACATTTAATAAAAATTCCTAACTTTCCTAACTCATGGCAACCCTGTAGAAATTCGTAATAAGAAATTTAGAAATTCAAATTTTTTCGCTATTTTCAGTGAACTCCGTATCGCAATTTAAATTTCAAGGAATTGGAAATGACACAAAATGCTTAGAAATCGTTGAATACGAATGTCCATTGCTCTTTTCGTCATTTTGTTATAAAGAAGTAATGTATCAACGAGAGGAGATAATGAAGAATTTGCAATCACATTTTGCGAAAATGAATATTAAAAGTAAGTAGATTAAGAAAAAGAAACGATCATTTAAAATCTAATTTTTATAATATAGAAACCGAAAATCAGAAAAAATAGTCTGTTTATAAATTTCCTAGAACAATAATTTATTAATTTTTTTAAGCGTAGAAAGCTTTAAGCAATTTCTAACATTTTACAATACATATATATTTATAATTTTATTTTTACATTAATCAAAAATAATATTTTTTTCTCTCAAGCCAAACATTAATTAATAGGAATCATTCTCGTGTTTATTTACAATATCCGTGCTTATTTTTTTTCACGCAACTCGATTTAATTTAATTTACAAAATACTTTCTTCAGTTATTAATTGCACGTACTTCGATAAATTGATCTAAATAGCAGAAAAAGGGCGGAATTCAAATCTCAGTATTATTACATTTATATATAAGAATGCTTTTTTAAAAAAATATACAAATATGTTTGTTTTTTTTTATCTAATAGAGATAATTTAGTTCTATAAGCTCTAGAGAATCTATCAGCTAGTTACAGTCCAGTCGCCTGTTTCACGAAGTGTTTTATCAGTTAATCTCTCAATTTCGGTAATAAGTCGTTCGGTTTCTAAATCGAGACAAACAATATCAGCTTCTATTGGATCCCATTCCAAACTATCTGGACTTGATACTCGAGACCATGGTGAGGCAGTCAGACTAGAGGGATGTGAATTATCGGCAGTTTTAATTGAGGAATTGCAAGATTTTTCTTTTTGGTTTGTTCCTAAAGCGTGGAGGGGAATACCTGCAAAAATTATAATTGTTATTTTTAATAGTTACGTTGGCTTCGCACTCGATAATTACTTATAAAAAAGTAGCAAAAAGTAGTTATCGAAAAATTAAGAAGAATATTATTTAATTTTTGTTTAAATAATTGAATTCTTTTGTAAAATATTATTAAAGTTGTGGATATTGAAAATAATTTAATTTCAGCAAAGAATTTCATTATTTGGGAAAATTAATTCATTTTATCAAAATTACTAGGAAAAATTTTATAAATTATGAAAAGAATTTAATTTTTTCGAGGAATTTAATTAAACTTTATTCAAAATATTTCAATTCTCATAAAGAATTAAATTTTTTCTAGGAATTTAATTAAAATTTTATTCAAAATATTTCAATTCTCATAAAGAATTTAATTAAAATTTTATTCAAATATTTCAATTCTCATAAGGAGTTTAATTTTTTCGAGGAATTTAATTCAGATTTTATTCAAAATATTTCAATTCTCATAAAGAATTTAATCAAAATTTTTCAAAATAATTAAATTACATGTAAGTAAAATAAAATTAGAATACCTTCTGTTTCCCATTCGAGATCTAATGAAGAGGCAGGAGTAGACGAAATTCCCCTTTGATCTCTAATTATTTTTTGAGGATCTGTACTTCGCAAAGACGTATCAGAATCGTAGCTAAATTAAACATTTTAATGACAAACATTAATGATATGAAAAGAAGAGAGTGGAAAATCGAATAATAAAATTATAATTACCTAGTTGAAGCAGCATTTTTGGAATGTAACAATATATATTTATTGCAATTCATTGTCCAGTCGTCATCATCCTCGATTAATTGCAAAGTTGATCCTTTGTTCCTTTTCTGCAAATATTTCGAAAAAAACATGAAAATTCAATTTCTACTGATCACTTTACTTTTTAATTTACATCTAAAAAATTACAAATTCTCAATACCTTAAAACGTTTCATTATGAGAAACGATAATAGTCTGTCCGGAAAGCATAAACGTAAAATAAATTTTTAATAAGAAAAATAAAATCAATTATATACCTACAGTAGAAATTTATATTTTTTCACCTTTTTGAGTTTAGCTGCTTTCTCTGGCCAATCTCAAAATCAGGGTCAAACTGAAACTTAATTTTTTATTTATCACAAAATAATTCTATTAGTTTGTCAATAACAGGCTTCGTACTCGATAATTAATTTTAATAATGTGGCAAAAAGTAACTTAAAGACAGAAAAAAGGAGTAAAAAAGTAGCTATTAAAAAATTAAACTTGACTAAATTTTTTTTATAATTTTTAAATTAGGTACATTCAAAAATAGAATTCATTTCTTTAAATAATTTAATTTCTTTAAAAATTGTTTATTATTTATGAAAATAATTGAATATTAGAAATATTAAGGAAATTCTATTTTAAATAATTTATTCAACTATTTTTGTAAATTTTTTTTTAATTAATTGAATTCTAAAAAGGAATTCAAAGAAAATTTTTTAAAAAAATTGAATTTCTAAAAAGAATTTTATAAAAATCTATTTAAATAATTGATTTAAAGAAAAAACATTAGGTTTTTTTTTTGACGAATTTTAATAAAATTTTGTAGAATAATTATATTTTACGAGGAATTTGATTAAAATTGTATATAAATATTATAATTGTAATTCTAAGATGAGTTTTATTATTTATGAAAATAATTAAATGTTTCTCCAGAATTTTATTACAAATTTTTTTAAATAATTGACTTAATTGAAAATTTTTGAAAATAATTGAATTTCGGAAAAGAATTTGTATTAAATATTAAGTGTATAAAAAATAATTGATAAACTACAATGAATTTTATTAATTATGAAAATAATTGAATTATTGCAAGCATTTTATTAAAATTTAAAAAAATTATTGAATTCCTGAGATGAATTTTATTATTCATAAAAATAATTGATTTATCGCGACAAACATTATTAAATTGTTTTTAAAATAATTGAATTCTTTTGGATGAATTATAATAAATTTTTTAAGAATAATTACAATTTTAAAGGAATTTATTTAAAATTTGTAATTAAAAGTAATTGAATTCCTGAGAAGTAATTTATTATTTGTAATGAATTCTTGCAGATATAATTAAATTCTGGGGAAGAATTTTATATAAAATTTGTAAATTTTTTGAATTTTTTCCAATAAATTTATTAGAATTTTTTAAAATAATTTTTTTATTTCAACTGTTAACAAATTGAAAGTAGTGTAAACATGAAAAAAGTAGCTTTTAGTTTAACAAATAAAAAAAAGTATCAAAATAATAGCAAATCGTAAAAAAAGTAGTAAATAGGTTTTAGTAGATGAGTGCGAGGCCTGCAATAATAAATAAATTTTCTCTTTTCTACCTCAACTTGTTCGTCCTCTTCGGAAGACATCCTTGTATGACTGCGATAAAATCTATAAATAATTAAATAATTAACACAATAAAATAAAATTTATAATATTTAATTTGAATAAGTCTGTAAATTTCCAACCTGTTTGATATGGGGTCCAGAATTTTGGAAATGCAGAGGCCGAAACAGCCCCCCATTAATTTTCAAATTACGTTTACTGTTCGTCATCTAAATATTTTTACAAACTTTATGAAACTACACACTCTTAATATTTATGTAAATTAAAAAAAAAGTAAATTGAATGTATAATTTAAAATTTAACCAATGATCACACCTTTGAAATTATATTACAACAAAATAGAATAAAAACCACACCCTGAAACGTCATGGGTAAATATAAACTTTACAAATTTACTATATTTATGTTGTGTAAGAACATTATAAAAAATATTTAATTTTATTGGCATTTTTTTATGTTTATAATCAATGAAAATATTGAATTCGAATTTTTATATCCAAGGAATTTAAGGCGGACCGGTCACAGCTGATTGCAGCTGATCAAATGACGTTGTTCATCATTTGTCAAACATTTAATGCAAAAATCACTACTTGCAATCTTACCGTCATTTTATCACGCGGAATCTAAAAGCAGGTAAATTTACCTTGTTTTCAATAATTAACGAAAGGAAATGAATAAGATTAAAGGCTCAACTTTCAAAATAGGATTGATTAGTAAATTGATGATTAAATTACACACTTATTATCTGTCTATAATGTGAAAAAATAATATTTTTATTTATTTAGTTTATTTATATCATTTATTTGCAAATTTACAATTTAAAAGTGAATTTATATTTCCCGCTGGAAAGGAATGGTAATTTCCCAGGGTTGGGTTACCATGGAAGTTTTTATTGTAAGAAAAGAGTTTGTTCACATGTAGGGAAGAAATACATTTTTTTTGTTAATTTTTACTTTAAATGTGTAAAATTTCTTTTTTAATTAATAAATTTTAGTAATATTAGTAATTTGTTGTTCTATTTTTAAAAAAATGTACAAGGAATTTGAATTTAACAGTTTCCCTTCTAATAACTGAGTAGTTCATGCCAAGGAGCAAGAACAAACTTCTCAACCCTGCTTTGACAACCAACCAAAGCGGATAAGTTGGGTCAGTTTAATTTTTTACATTTAATCATTTAATCCATTTGATTAATAACAAATTTACAATAATATGGATAATGGGAAAAGAAAATTGACCTCTCGAGCCAGTGATTCGGACGATGAAAGCGAAAGTAAGATTATTTACAAAGTTTAGTATTAATATGTATCTTATACTTTTTAAGGTTATGTTATGTTTTCGCCATGTAAGCATGTTTTACTTTTATTTACATTCGGGTTTCATTTAATAACTTTTAAATGCTATTAATAATTATTTATATGAATCGTAAGTTTAACTAGGAAACAATTATTCTTAGTTTAAAATAATTTTTTCAAAAATTAAGTGCGGTATTTAAACTCAAAAAGTTCTTTTAATTATTAAGGAAATTACGGAATTTGTTTTATTATTTTGTATTGATTTACATTTTGATATTATTAGTATTGTATTTCGATAATTAGCAATATGTTTAGAAAAATACCGTTCGTGATTGTTTTTAAAATTTCTATTATTTAGGAAATAGTTCATCAAAATTGAGACACTTTGACGCTCCGAGACTATGTCCCTATTTGGATACGATTAATCGACAATTTCTTGATTTTGATTTTGAGAAGTTGTGTTCAGTTTCTTTATCAAGAATCAATGTTTACGCCTGTCTAGTTTGTGGAAAGTATTTTCAAGGAAGAGGAACAAATACACACGCCTATACTCACAGTGTTGCCGAAAGTCATCATGTTTTTCTTAATTTACATACACTTAAATTCTATTGTCTGCCAGACAATTATGAAATCGTGGGTGAGAGGATCAATTTCTTATTATAATTAGTATTATAAGTAATTTAATAAAAAAAAATCTTTAATTTTGTAAGAAAAGACAGAAAAATTTCTTTAAGAATTGACATTTATGAAGTAGGTTTAGAAATAGTTCCAGAAATAATTTAAATTAATATTTTTTACAATTTCTACAGATTCCTCGCTAGATGACATTAAATACGTTCTGAATCCAACATTCAGTAAATCTCAAATTAGTCAATTGAGTACAAATTCTAAACTTTCGAGAGCAATCGATGGATCTATGTATTCGCCAGGAATTGTTGGTCTCAATAACATTAAAGCTAATGATTATTGTAACGTTATTTTACAGGTAAATTTTCATAAATCGCTAATTCATTAATTCTTAACAATATTATTATGCAAATAAAAAAAATTTTATTTTCAAATATTAATTTCAATTCAATTATTTTGAAAAATTTGTTGATAAAATTCTTTATGCGAATTCTCGTAGAATTTCATTTTTTAAATTGATTTAAAAATGAATTTCAGTAAAAATTTTAGATAATAATTGAATATTAAAATCATTATAGCATGAATTTTAAAATTTTTTAAAATAATTTAATTTGAATAAAATAAAATTAAATAAATTTAAATAATTAAATGTTTGTGATAACCCTATTATCAATAAAATTTTAATTAAATTCTCACCAAGATGTTAATTATTTTCAATATTAATAACACTTTTCGAAAGAATTTAAATGTCAATTATTAAATAACAACCATTTTGCGTGACATTTTTTCAGGCATTATCCCACGTAACACCTTTAAGAGATTTCTTTCTGCGAGAATCCAATTACAATAAAGTTAAACGACCGCCTGGTGATTCTTCATATCTTTTGGTTCAAAGATTCGGCGAACTTATGAGAAAATTGTGGAATCCTAGAAATTTTAAAACCCACGTCAGTCCCCATGAAATGTTACAGGCCGTCGTATTGTGGAGTAAAAAACGTTTTCAATTCATTGAACAAGGTGAGCGAATTAGAAACAAGGAAAAATTGTTTCGTTTTTTTTTAAATTTTTATTTATTTATTTATTTATTTTTAATGATTTTAATATTTTTTACAGGCGATCCTGTGGATTTTTTATCATGGTTTTTGAACGCTTTACATTTAGCGTTAAACGGAACAAAAAAGAATGATTCGAGCATTATTTATAAAACTTTCTTAGGACACATGAGAATATATACGCGAAAAATTCCACCTCTTGAACTCGAGGAGAGTCAAAGAAGTGAATTGTTAAACACCATGGAATATAGAGAAACAATTACGGAAAGTCCATTTCTGTATCTTACGTGCGACTTACCGCCACCGCCTTTGTTTAAGGATCAATTCACGGAAAATATTATTCCCCAGGTTTGATTTGAAATGAAAATTTAAAATCTTCGAAGAAAGAAATTTGTTAAGTAATAAATTTTAGGATTTTTGATTTAGTAGATAAATTTTAGATTTGCTTTTTAAAATTTACTTTGCCTAAATTTACTTTTTTCTCGCGTGCAAAGATACGAGAAAAATAGTAATGAAAACAATTCTCTATTTTGCAGGTAAATTTGTACACACTCTTGAATAAATTCAACGCAATTTCCGAGAAGGAATATAAAACATACAAGGAGAATTTCATGAAACGTTTTGAAATAACGGAATTGCCTCCTTATCTCATTTTGTATATTAAGGTAATTGTCAATTTGTTTTACATTGTTATTTATTTTTTTTATTGTCATTTCTCAATCGATTATTAATTATTGTTATTTTTTGTTTATAAATTGTTATATTGAACGAAATGTTTGTTTACAGAGATTCACGAGAAATACGTTTTATGTGGAGAAAAATCCGACTATCGTCAACTTTCCAGTCAAGTAAGTTTTCATTTACATTGTCGTTTTTGCAAAGAAAACACTAAAACAAGCTTCGTACTCGATAATAAATTTTATAAAAGTAGCAAAAAGTAAGAAAATTCAATTATTTAAATACAAAAATTAATAATATGTTGAATAATTGAATAATTGAATATTTCTTCAAATTTAATTAATTTAATTACATAATTAAATTCTTGTGAAAAATTGATTATTTATGAAAATAATTGAACTTTTGGCATTTTTTTATTTATAAAAATAATTGAATGTTTGCGAAGAATTTTATAAACATTTTTTTAAAATTATTCAATTCTTTTGGGAAATTTATACTGAAAATAATTGAATTTCGAAAAAATGTTTGCAAATATTTGAATCGTTTGTAATAATTTGATTAAAGTTTTAAAAATTATTTCTCAGAATTAAAATTTTACCGAATATTTGAAATTCTTTTAGAAATGTCGATTTCGGAGATGTCCTTACACCGGAAGTAAAAGCAAGACATCCGTGTACGACGTACGATTTAGTGGCGAATATTGTCCACGATGGTGAACCAGCGCATGGAACATACAGGGTTCATATTCTTCACAGGGCAACTGGTCAATGGTACGAAATGCAAGATTTACACGTAACTCAAATTCTTCCCCAAATGATTACACTAACCGAAGCCTACATACAGGTAAATATGAATTTTCTAAAAATATATTTCCTTTTCACTTTCTCGTTCTTCTAATTTCGTTTAATTTGCCTTTTAGATTTACGAACTACGAAAAGATAAACAGTCAGCAAATGGAGAAACTTCCTCGTAGGCATTTATTTTCCCCAAGGACACTTAAATTTTCAGGTATTTTTCATATTTATTTTACATTTCGTTGTAAATATAATAATTTTTTTTTCAAATTGTCGACAAATTGCGTGCAGAGGAGAAAAAAACTGATAAATATTTATAAGATTTTTGGTAATAAACGAAAATGAAAATAACGTTTGTTATAATTTTTCCCTTGAAGAAGGAAGTGTGACATTCTTTTAATTCTTTTTGTTTTCTTGTGAGAAATATTTTTATTTGTTTTTCTTTATTAGTCATTCCTAATAAAGGATATTTATTTATTAAGTTTTTCTAATCTAATAATTTTTTATTTTTTACTATCCTTGATTTTAATGAAGGATTAGTAGAAAAGTCTAATAAATATCCTAATTACAGGCCTCGCACTCATATACTGAAACCTACTATTATTTTAAATGATTTTAATAAAGTTTTTAGAAAAAATTCAAAAAATTACTATTTTAATAAAAAATTTCCCAAAAGAATTGAATAATTTGAAAAAAGTATTTATAAAATTCTTCGCAAACATTCAATTACTTTCATAAATAAAAAAAAATTCCCAGGAAATCAATTATTTTTATAAATAATAAAATTCTTCACAGGAATTCAATTATTTTTATAAATATTAAAATTCATTGCAGGATTTTAATTACTTTTAATACAATTTAAATTAATTGCTCGAAAAATGCAACAATTCTTAAAAATTTTAATAAAATTCATTATAATTGAATTCGTTTGGGAAATTTTTTATTAAAATAGTAAGTTTTGGAAATAATTGAGTTCACATTAAATTATTTTTATAAATAATAAAATTCTTCTTAGGAATTTTATTATTTAAAATTAATTGGTTGGTTTTGGTTACTGGCCTGTTTTTAAAAATAATTATCGAGTACAAAGCCTTTAATTAGGGATTCCTAATAAAGGATATTAGAGATATTCAATAATTAGGGGAGTGTAGTCAAGGTTGGATCAGGTACTGACTGTTTTCTATAACTTCTCCTGTCTACCGAATTTGACGATTTCCTCTTATATTATTGGAAAGTTCTACCAAAATGCAATGTTTTTGCTAAACATTGTAAAAAAGTTGGTGTCACTATGTGATAAAACGAAATAAGCGCCATTATCCAACCTTGACCACCTATTCAACCTTGACTACTCTCCCCTAGATAATTAGTGATTGTCATATATCTTTTTTCGAAAAATTATACAAACGTTAGATTCAAAAATTGCCGCCAAATAAAATGGACCAATCGACTGCAGTTCCCCCTCTTTTGCCCCTGTCGAACTACGGAGGTTGCTCTGTACTTTAAGCGCTTCGACTTCCCAACCCTGGTAAGAACCTTAGTTCACAGTATTGCCGTGACGGTTGCAGCAGTAGCAGCACAAAATTTTTGCGTACGAGTGAGTAAAGTTTTCAACAGTTTATTTGCAATCCTTGTGATTCTTGTGATCCTTGTGATATTTAATTGAGTCGTAGAAAATATCTGTTTATTATTAATCTCCGCGTAGTGAAAATAGTGAATATAACGATTAAACGAATGTTGTCGGTGTTAACGGCTAAAGCACCGTTGAGTAGAACAACATTGTCTAAACGTTGCAATCGTTACAATGTTTGCAAAATTGCAAAAGGTTGAAATTCCGGTAGCAGCAACGACACTAAAAAGGTATTTAGGTAAATTCTTTTTTTTTTAAATTTAACGAGTTCGAAAATTTTCTATTTGTGTGAATAGTATGCGCAGAGACGAAAGAGAGTCACTTTACGCAGGATAGGTTCGCACACATTAAAGTAAATCCCGCCTAAATGATACAACCTCTCTACTTATTATAAACCTATTCTTAAATATTATGAATATTATAATAAAATTCTTTGAAAGAATTCAATTATTTTAAAAAAATTTAATGCAATTTTTTATAATTGAATTCTTATTAAAAATTTTATCAAACTTTCTTAAAGTAATTGAATTCTTTCGAAGAATTTTAATATAATTTTTAAGAATAATTCCATTTTTCGGGGAATTCATTTAAAATTGTAAAAAAAATTTATATTCTGCAATGAATTTTTTTACTTATGAAAATAATTGAATTTTTGACAGAATTTTATTAATTTTTTTAAAAATAATTTAATTTTTGCGAAGAACTTTATTAATTTTTTTTTTAATAATTGAATTTTTGCAAATAATTTTAATATTTATAAAAATAATACTGAATTTATGTGAAGAACTTCTATCTATTTTTTTAAGTAATTGAATTCTTGCTAAGAATTTTTTTAAAATCTTTTTGAACAATTGATTTAAAAAAAAGAAAGGATAAGAAATATTTATTTTAAATAATTGAATTTCTGTGAAGTTTTATTATTTATAAAGTATATTGGAGATATTGAATAATAATTAGATAATTAATTATTGTCATACATCTTTTTTCGAAGAATTATACAAACGTTAGATTAAAAAATTGCCGTCAAATAAAATGGACGAATCGTCTGCAGTTCCCCCTCTCCTACCCCTGTCGAACTACGGAGGTTGCTCTGTACTTTGAGCGCTTTGACTTCCCAACCCTGGTAAGAACCTTAGTTCACAGTATTGCCGTGACGGTTGCAGCAGTAGCAGCACAAAATTTTTCCGTACAAGTGAGTAAAGTTTTTAACAGTTTATTTGCAATCCTTGTGATATTTAATTGAGTCGTAGAAAATATCTGTTTATTATTAATCTCCGCGTAGTGAAAATAGTGAATATAACGATTAAACGAATGTTGTCAGTGTTAACGGCAAAAGCACCGTTGAACAACACAACATTGTCTAAACGGTCTAAACGTTGCAATGTTTGCAAAATTGCAAAAGGTTGAAATTCCGGTAGCAGTAACGACACTAAAAAGGTATTTAGGTAAATTGTTTTTTTTAAATTTAACGAGTTCAAAAATTTTCTATGTGTGTGAATAGTGTGCGCAGAGACGAAAAAGAGTCACTTTACGCAGGTTAGGTTCGCACACATTTACGTATATCCCGCCTAAATGATACAACTTCTCTACTACTTTCCACTTTTATGTCCCTCATGTCTCTATAGATTCCACGGTGCAACAGTTTGATTTCTGAATTTACCCCTTTTTTTCCAAAACGAAAATGTATGGGAAAAAAATAAGTAAAAAGTAACATTTGTCTAAATAATCGACCATAAAGTTGAGATCGTTCGATGTCATTTTAAGCAAGGTGTATATTTGTTTCGTTTTTGTTGTAATTCTCGAGAAAATAGAGGTTAAATGCGAGTTGAAGAGAGGGCAATGGCAAGCTAGTCTGGTGTACACAGTTCGACAGTAACCGGCCACGCGTTGAGTAGTCAAGTTATTCGAACAGTTCGTTCTCTCTCTCTCGCTTTTTAACAAAAAAAAAAATATAAAATCCACCTTTACAAATAATTATAATTTGTGCATTTTTGAAATTTTATTCAAATCGCGAGTGAGTGTTTGTGTTTACAAAAAAAAAAAGTTGTACGACATGAAAATGAACAATCTGTGGATTACTTTTGAAAAACCAGTTTGAAACATCGTTTTGAAGAAGGTTAGTTTTCAGTTTTTGCAAACAATAAGAACAATTTTGTATAAATTGTTGCCTAACGGTATTTTGAATGATTTTCTTTATTTAATTGATATTCATTTGATTAACTTTTCTTATTTATCGAGACGCAAGAGTCATGAAAAGTATATAGGAAGTTGCTTGCCTTCTGGCAGTAACGGTTATCTTTACAAGAAGCTCAGATTTAACTCTTATTTTTGAATTGTTTCTAATTTGTGTTTACTTGCATTTTTCTACTTTCTCGAATCCACTCTTTTGTTATGATCCCTTTTTCGGGTAAATTGATAATTTATTTTCCCACAAATGTTGTGTGCTTGTATTTTAGAGGGAACAATGTGGTATTTAATCCTTGTGAATTTGAAAGGTATTTGAGTTTCTATAGAACTCTTCTATAAAACTTTTCTAAAGTTTAAAGTGTCAATAGCAAAAATAATAGAATTGTCTAATTTTCTAGTTTTAAATTTAATACCTGGGGTTTATAAATATAAGTATGAAAATTTATCAAACTATTTTTAACTCTTGATTTACTGAATAGTTGTAGGAAAATAATTTTCATTTTTTCCTTTCTACGAATTCGCGTGTTAGAAGAAATTGGAAGTTTTTTTTTTGAAAATATTTTATTAACAGTATTTTCAACTCCTTATAAAACATACAACAGAGTAGATGGTCGTTGCAAAAGGAACGACGGGGTTTTCAGAAACCAGTTTCTTGCATTATTGATAAAAATAAAGATTCCGTGACAGATAGACTCACTTAAAGTAATTCAGTCAATTCCCAGTCGAACTGATTTAACTTGAGTCTAGGAAAAATAAATAATCAAAATATTGTTTTTATTTTGATCGTCAATCAAATGTTGCATGTGAAATTATTTATTTACTTACTCAAGATAGGGTTTCAATAATATTTGTGTCTGTTCTTGTCACTATTTCTAAAGATTTGAAATGTAAACTTAAATCACAGTGTATAATCTTTAAATATTTGTTTTAATTTGTTTTTCACTTGAATGGAAAAATATGAAAATATTGACATTTTTGTGTTGAGAAAATTATCAAGTTTTACACTTGTTTCACTTCCTTTTTTACGTGACAAAGTGCGTCCGGGAATTCAAGAGGGTGAAAACTATTCTGGACACGCAAATAGTCTGATAATAAATGGTGCAAACGGAGAATCTTGTGACTTTGAAATTACGTAGGGAGTAGTGATGGGATATCGATATGAAATATCGGACCATATCGATATCATCGTCACGATAATCGATATTTTGACATCGATATTAACGTTTCGATATATCGTTACCGATATCGATAACATTTTTAATATCGATAATTCTTTCGCAATAATAATAAGATAATAATAATAACTATTTGAAGTACTAAATATAAATAAGTGTAAACTCATATTATATAATCAAATATTTTTAGTGGTTTTAGTGTAAACAAATATTTTAGCCCATTTTTTCACATGTATTGAAGGGTTAAAAGCGGCAAAAGTAAAGTAAATTTTGAGGTTATGATTATTATCCATGTTCTTTGAAAACATCAAAACCATGTAACTTAGAAAGTTTTATTAAAATTTATTTATTTTATTTTTCTATTTAAATAATTTAAAATTTTTTTAATTTTTCTCCTTAACAATAAAGTTCTTTAATTTATTTAGGTTCTTTATATTTATTGATGAATAATATTAATTAATAATTATTAATAATAAATATGCGCATTCAATTTTTTTTAGTTTTGCGCATGCGCGATATCGTGTTTACGATATATCGATATTTGCTTTCGATAACGATATATTTTTAAATATCGATATTACTGATGCAATATCGATAAGTGAAATATCGATGTCAAATTTTTTCGATATCCCATCACTAGTAGGGAGTAGTAGTTCAAAATTCATAGCATGAATTGAAGACAAACATATTTTTCTCAGATTTCAATAGAAAAGGCGATAGCTTCTTTTTTTCATTATAAGAATGAATCTGCGACAATTTGTCAAATTTAAAATTAGTCTAATTTTATATTTTTTTGGAATTCTTGAATATAAAAAGTAACATTTTGGTTTAAAAAGAAAAAATCTGATAAACAATTGGAGTAAAAGTTGATTAACTTTTGTTCTGATTATTTGTCATAATTTCATGTTTTAAAAGAAAAAGACAAATTAAATTTTTAATTTATTTTGGCAAAAGACTGAAAATTTTAATTTTTACTCAAGTGCAATTTTTTAATTTTCTTTGAAATATTGGAAATAAAATTCTTCACACTTTCCCAAATGGATTTTAAAAGTTTTCTTTTTATTTTAAAATCGAGGTTGTCATCGATCAGGAAAATCAGAGAGAAAAGTCGGAGACGAAATCTGCACTTTTGTCATGAAATTATTACTTATAAATTATTTAGTGAATAATTTTACTTGAAAATTTCAAAAATAATTAATTTTTATAAGAGTTGCGTTTACAATTTTTAATAAATGAATTAATTTCAAAAAGTTACAATTTAAAATTTTAGAAAATTTTGAATGAATTTAATTAGAAATTTTATTGACACAATTTAATAATTATACTTAAAAATTTTTGATAAATTTCTTAGCACAACTGCAATTATTTTCTATAAATTTCTCAAAAAAATTCGATAATTCTTAAAATTTGTATAAATTTCTTGTCAAAATTTCAATTATTTTTAAATTCTGTGCAAGAAATCAGTTAGTTTCAATACAATTTTAATAAAATATTTGAATTCAATTATTCTTAAAAATTTTGATAAATTTTTTTGCAAAATTTCAATTATTTTGAATTTTTTGCATGAATTCAATTATTTTTAATAAAATTTCTCAAGTAAATTCAATTATTTGAACATTTTTTTACAAATTTCTTGTCAAAATTTCAATTATTTTAAAATTCACAGGAATTCAATTATTTACAAATTATTTTATAAAATTTTTCCTTCCAATTACTTTTATAAGTAACAAAACTCTTCTCAGGAATTCAATTATTTTTAAAACTTTTAATAAAATTCGTTGCAAGAATTCAATTATTTTCATAAGCAATAAAACTCATCGCATGATTTCAATTATTTTTAATAAACATTTTAAATAAATTTTCCTAAAAATACGATTATTCTTAAAAAATTTATTAAAATTCTTTGAAAGAATTGAAAGAGTCGAAGACTCGGAGTGATCCATTTCTTCATGTTTTCTAATAATATTCTTATTAGTTGTTAAAATCTGAAAAAGGTTTGAATTTGAATCTTTTGAAGAATTTCAATTCCTATGGAAAAATAATATTTAGGTATTTAATATTTATTTTTAAATATTTATTTAAAAAACAAGTTATTGATCTTTTCGAATAATTTTACATTTAAAGAAATTCGTAAATAAATATAATAGAACGGATTTTTTTTTCTGTGAACAGACAGTTTTAATTGAATTTTCGTAGTTGTTGCTCATATCGTTTTAATTGAATTTTCAAAGTTGTTTTTTTACTGAAAAGAAAATTGTGAAGAACCGAATACAAAAGATTGATAGGAAATAATTTTTTTCTTTTTTAATACAAAATATTGTCAATAGCAGGTTTCGTGTATATTTTTTTTTCGAGAGTTATGAAGTGAATTTTTGAAACTTGACGACTACTGTCACACAAGTAGTCGGCGCGACTCGGCGCATACGTCCAGATAAGCGTTGTAATTTTTGTTTCTCGAGCGACGAAGCGCGAACAAACGCCAGACGGTATTGTTTGTAGGTGCATTACGTAAATGAGGGTAGCCCGTGACCATTGTATTCAGCGTGCCATCAGCCATGGAGTCGTTTTGCTGTCCTTCCGCCACTAATCACTATGTTAGAAATAAGAGAGAAAAACGTTTCTTTGCCGTTACGGCAAGTTACTTGTGCATCCGCCCCCTCAATATCTATGCGCCTATACCTCATTGAAATCCCTCGAACACTCTTGATAAGAAACCAGGACAAGAGCCGCACGTAAAAAAGAGAAAATTTGCATATATCTCAGAAAATATTCCCTGATAAAGTTAAAAAACTCTCCTCCACTCTTTTCTCTCGCACAGTTCGTAATCAATTTTAATATATAGAAATTTCCCTTTTGTTTCTAGAAGTATACTTGCCTTTTTTTATAACAGGAAAAGTTGAAAAAATATTTTTTTTTTGGAAATAGGAAAATACTTTTTTTAATTACTAAATGGCAGAAAGAGAAACGAACGTCTAGAATTGAAAAGACGAACGTTTCATGAAGCAGGGAAATCTCAAGAGAGTAGAACTGTAAGAGAAAGGGAGAAACTTTGTGCTCGAGTGGTCGATAATGGTGCAACATCCGCGAGAAGAAAATCTTCAATGGGATATTGTGCTTTTTTCGATATCCTCACAATCTGGTAAAATCATCATCGCTGATGTAATGAGCTAAAAAAAAAAACTATATACATACCTTTTATTTTCGGAAAATTTTCTCGGAAAAGTTTGAATTTTTTAACAATCTGTCTGCACTAAAATGGAATTAAATTTTGATGTTTGTGAATGGCCCCTTATCCTTTCTTGGGAGCGCGTCACATATTAAATATTATTCTAGAACGTAATTAAATTTTAATGGTACATTCATAAATTTTTTAATTTATGAAAAATGAAATTTTTTTTTTTTAAATTTCATTAAAATTTTTTTTGAATAATTGAATTCTTTCAAAGAATTTTATTAAAATTTTAAAGAATCATTGCATTTTTCGAGGAATTCATTTAAAATTATTCTATTAAAAATAATTGAAATCCTGCGAATAATTTTATTAAATAGGAAAATAATTGAATTATTTTAAAGAATTTTGAAAATAATTAAATTGTTTTGAGGAAAATAATTACAGTTGTATTTCAAAAAATTTTATGGAAATTGTATTTCAAATAAATTGAATTACTGGGAAAATTTTACAATTTATGAAAATAATTGGAGTTTTTGCAAATAATTTTATTAAAATTTTTTTGAAATAATTGAATTCTTTCAA